TATGACACAACCGAATTATGCTTAATCAGTATTGAAAAGGTTACAAAATGCAACATTTCTGAAATTGAACACATTTTCAAAAATCCCACGTATATTTTCTTTTTTTTTCCAGAATTTTTAACCGAATTTTTTTTAAAATTTTGAACTTTTGGATTTGCATTAGAGATTACGTTTCTTCAAATTTTTCTCAAAAATGTTCAACTATAAGCTTTGGTGACGACAATTTTTAAGAAGATGAACTTCCGGTAGTGGAAATGTTTACTCAAGTTACGGAAACCTGATGTTTGTATGAATTTTTCGAATTCACAATCAGATTACTTCATTTACCCCCCAGCTACTGTAATTCCAATTTTCTCACAATGAAGTCATAAAATTAATGTTCACCTAGTTGATCAACATTACGAAAATTCCAGCTGCTTTCGAACGGCCTTAAAATTCCTGTTAAAAAAATCTGACTCATTTTCCAAGCGATACGGTAATTTGTCATAATCAATCTTTAGTCATGAATTTTTCATGAGATATGAAGAATTGACTAGAGATTTCAGTTCTCTAGAAATAATTCCAAAATCTGTTACAATTGTAATCTCTCATTAACTTTTTTTCAATTCAAAAAGTGATCGAACAAACTTTTACTTGGCTCGGATTAGAGATTATAATTTTGATATTTTGCTCGATTCCGTCATTTTAATTTCAACTTTGATTGAAAATTATTTGAAGGCGTTACACTAATCAGGATATGACTTTTATTTGCAAATTTTTATTTTTCAAAGTCACTGAATTAGTCAAGAATTTCTGAAAATATTACTGTAGTTTTCCAACACTTTTTTCGGATTAGGCTTCCAGAACCAGAGATAAATTTTAGAACTCAAAAGATCTGTCAGGGAAGTATTTTTTTTCCCAAAAGGACCGGCTTAAGATCACAGTTCCAGAGCTCCAAACTTCAGTATTCAACAAATCATCTTAAAAAAAGAAATTATGTTTTTGAAATTCCATTAAGCTGAATGTGAGTGCTATGATCAGTTTCTAATATACTGTATTGAGACTCAACTTTATCGATTTTCCAGACCTAAAATTTTTGCTCAGAACGTTTACCGAGAACACTTGTTGGGTCTTAAAAATAACAAGGAATATCTTTTAAAAAATTAATTTTTTTAATTGTTGATTATCAATCAATATCAAAGCATCAAAAATCCGCCTCTGTTCTTGATGTTTGAATTGTTCTTACCTTACCTCCCATAATTATCCCTTTTTCTTTTTATTTCACAAACTTCAGCTCTCAATTATTTTCAAATTGTGAGAACCACCTAGAAAACTTCTTTGTTCTCCTTATTTCGAATTTGAAAAGAAAGTCCAAAGCAAAAAAGATCAGAATTTCCTTTCCTCCTACTCGATTGCAAAAAAGGAACTCTTTGGATTTAAATGCATTTTTGATATCAATTTTCTTTTTTCTTCTTTTTTTCCTCTTTTTATTTTTTAAAATGAAATTAATCTGGAAATCTCTGATTCTGATTCTAATTCTAAGAACTAAATCGTAATGCACATATTTCAACTTCCAGACAGAATTTTCAAAAACATTTTCGAAACATATGTTTACCGGAAATTTCATGAACATATTTTTTGACGTTTCATGGGGGTGTATATTCGTAATTGGATAGGTTGGAAACCTATTGCATTATTTATGCCCTTGTTATAATAAAAAATTCGGTAGTTTATGATCGTTGAACTTTTTTTTCAATTCCAGAAAAATTATAGTAACTTTGATCTCATATTCAGAATAAGCCATTTTCTTAATCTCATATAAGAAAATAATTTAGATCCTCTTCATTTTTCATTTTTCTTGTTTCATGTTTGGTTTTCATCTTCCATATTTTTTCTTTATTCACTTCTGACAATCAAAATTAGGGAAGAATCTGTATTTGACAAGGGCATCTATAAAAACAATAGATTTATTTGACATTTTTTGTGGATCCCAGGGTTTTGTTGAATAACAACAACAATAACAAGAAAAAAAGAAAATTGTTGAAATTTTCTATTCGAAATGAAAAAGAAAAAATGAGATAAACTTTGATCGAGCGCAATTTCTATGGAAAAGAAAATTGCCGGGTTTCAAATCTTCAAAGACATTTCTATTCACTTATAGAATTATTTTCGGATTTTTTGGATTAATTTTATATTTTTTTTGACAGTGATGTGATTGTGAGGTGATAATCGTTGTTTGATTTTGAAAATGTAGGCTAGTTTTAGCCTCGTAAGTAGAAAATTCAAATACCTACTTACGGATGGGCAACTCGAAAAGAGCGGGCACTGGGGGATCGAACTCATACCCCCGAGAATCACAAAAGCTAACACTTCCATGAGGCTACCTTCTAGAGTGCAGAATTTATCCAACCAAATCTATAGACCTCATATTTTTCAATACTTTTTCTGGTAGATCAAAAATATTTTTCTCCAACCCTCTCAAGTGTGCGTTGAATTGTGCCTCAATCTCAAGAATATGCGAGGTCTCAACACATTTGGGAAAGTTTTTCTGGTAGTGAATCATAGTATAGACTTCATCCCGTTCAATTTTGAATCTATCAGTTCCAGCTGAAAATTGGGAAAAATATGTTTTTTTTCAAAATGTAACCTTAATTTTTTCTTCAAAAAATAAAAATAGAAAACAATTAAAGGGTTGGTGCTTTCCTGGTGAAAAAATCGTCTGCAAAAAGGCGTCACAGTGTTGTTTTCAAAGTTGTGTGCAAACACACACACGAAAATTCAAAAACAAGTTGTGCGCTAGAGCGCATTTACATGCTTTATTTCGTAGGTTTTAACTCGCTTGTGTTTTTGAGGAAAAACATGGGCTGAATTGATACTAGAATTTTTTCTAAAACTGGAACCTTCCAGGAGCACCTTATTCCTATCTAAACCAAGCAAAATTCCCTGGCGGAGCACCAACCCTTTAAAATCACAATCTGTAAGTCTACCAAAACAAAGTGATTATATTTCCAAAACAAAATTATAGTTTTCATAATTTGTAGTAAATCTATTTCCATCAACACAAGCCGCCCAAAAAAAGTGACAAATTCATTCATTGTTTTCCAACCAACCAAAAATCTCATCTCGCTGAAAATTTTCGTCTAAAAATAAATGCCCGTAAAAGCAACTATTATCTGATTCTGCTTAAAACCACCAATTTTCTCGAAATTCTCTGAATTTCTCTCGACAAAAAAATTTTTCGACTTGTTTTTATTAATTTTAAAATATATGGAGAGTAGAGAAATTCTTGTTTGTACTCTGAAAAATAGCGATAAATTTCTACAAAGTGAGTGGCTGAGTGAGTTGAAAACAAGTTAGAGCATCGAAGATGAACCTATATATTTTCAGTTCTCTGTTTTTTCTGAAATTAGTTTGATATTTTTGATAAATTCTTAATTATTTTTTGAGCAAAGACAAACAAAAGGGTATAAGATTTAAAGTGCAGGTTTTCTCTTGAAAGTTCACAGTCAGTGTTTTTTTCTTCCAGAGACAAATACATTTAATGATCCAAAAAAAATGTCTGAAAATGACAGCGTTTCTCCCTCGCTCACTCACTTATAATTATTAATATGGCACAAAAACTTTCAAAGTGTCATATTATTTATGTGCGTAATTGGAAATTCGTTACTCATTTTCACATCAGTTTTTTAGTTGTGCTCTCTTTGGCGCGAAAAAAAAACGGAAGAAAATAGGTGTCTGTGAATGTGTGTGTTTCGATCACAGAGATCTTGTATATGTATATTTATCAGCTGTCTTTGATTATTCATCTTGAATTTTTCACTAATCTCCACATTTTCATTTTTGATTTTCATTTCAATTTTCAGGTTCTGTATATTTTCATTTCTTAATGATTTTTGATTTTTCAAAAAAAAAAGAAGAGTAATTTTATTTTATTGTTCGATCAGACAATGAACAAACTTATAATTGTATTCATTTTAAAAAGGATTTATGACATATTTTTAACTTTAGTAGAATCTTCATGTAAATGTTGCGTTTTGAACTCACATTCAGAGTTCAACAAATTTTTTCAATAAGAAAACGGAAGTTTTGAGGTGTTCATGGGGAGAGTTAGGATAATCTTGTGAGAATGCTCTTTTGATTGCGGAAGAGGATACAATTTATAATAAGTAGCATTTCATGATCTTCTCTATGCTCTGAATTTTTTAAAACAAAGAATAAACTCTCTGAAAATTCAAATTTCTGGTTCAGAATTTCAAATCTCGCAAATTACCCAAATTTGCCACGTCATTCATTAGATTGCTCAGACTAGACTCTCATATGTATTTGCAACCTTAAATGACTCACTAGAAGTTAGATGAACTCTCAAATGTTTTTAGAACAATGATCCATGAAAATTGTGCTAATTTCCAGGATTTGTTATTTTTATATTTTTCGCGGATGACTAAATAGATAGTGTCATTTGCAAAAAAAAGAAACCGAATATCATTATTATTTTCGATGCGTTCATTTATTCACTCTCTCATTTCACTTTACTTTTCTATATTTTCCGGGCGAGCAAAAAAGTTCATTAGTTTTTTTTGGAGAGATCTTTTAAAAAACACCTCCCAATATTTGCACATATACTAATTTGAAGTTTGATGTGATGGATCCATTTTGTGTTTATTTTTCAAAATTTTCTAGTTTAAAAAAAGAGCCTACTGGTTATGGCAGTTGATTCTATTTTTAATGAGTGGACGAACTTCCGCGTCATGAAGAGCAATTTTTCGTTTCCTCTCCCCCACACACACATTTTTGTGGTGGCGGCGGCGGCGGCAATTTTATATTCTGAAATGAAACAAGCTGCTGTTTTTTTCTCATTTAGGAAAATATTTCTATGAATTTAATAATTATTATATATTTTCAGTGTGTCTTGATTTCTCGAAATGATTCCATCGGAAGATGCGACGACGACAGTCAACGAGGATCTATTCACTGAATCGGTTGCTGATTTATTTGTATCGGTTGTATTTTCAGTCGCACAAATGTTGTCACATTTACTCAATGGCTATTTGACCGCGTTTTTCGTGATCACGGGTAAGAAAAATTATATCAATATTTTCCTATTCTGATGTAACAAGAAACATTTTCAAAAATAAAAATTCCAAGAAAATGTGAACTAATTAATTATGTTTTGAATACATGCATACACGAATCGGAAAGAAATAAAAAAATTACAAAGATCATATTAATAATTTATATAAAATCTTCGATCTTTTTCTGATCTTTGATGTTTTTCCAGGTATTGTGCTGAACTTGTTGTCAGTTTCGATCTTCTTGCGAAAAGAACGTGCCGGTACACCTGCCATACAGTACTATTTGGTGAGTTTGAGTGAAATTTGAGATTTCTGCTTTCTGCAAAACAAAAACTCAGATTTCTGTGACTCACTTGAGTTTTCCAAGAAAGCCAAGATATCAAATTCTAGGCTTCACGTGCTTCACTAAAGAGGAACTACATATGTTTTGATCAAAAGTTTAATCTTCTACAAAGCTCTTGAAATTCTAATTTTGTGTTTTTCAAAGAATATATAATTTTGGGAATTCATAAACGAAGACCTACACTTTTCTTAATAAGTATCTTAAGAGATCAAAAATCTAACAATTTGAGTGTTCATAAAAGTTTGTTTATTATTTATTGGAAGAAATATGGAGCTTTTAATGAAATACGTGAATATTTCCAGAAAGAATATTGAACTTTGTGTGAGGTCTTTGTAAACATTTCGGAGAGCTAGTCTGGAGTTTTAGAAAAATGGAACTTTCAGGGGTTTTGGTAAAAATCCGTTCTTTCGAAAGCCTAGAATAATACAAACCTGAATTTCAAAAATGTCATTGCAAACCCTGTATGATTTTGATTGGACTTGGATTCACCAGAAAATAAATATGAAATCATTTAATGAAAACATCATCAATTCTTATATCTATGACCAAAGTCCGGAATAAAAACGAATATCACACATTTTTTAACTGAAAAATTTCATGAATATTAAATTTTTCATAACAAATATTGTTCCGGGTATTCTACGTGGGTGGCCTTTCGCTTTTCCCATAAGTTTATAATCATTGAAATACTTCTCAACAGAATCAAAAACATCGTGGGTGGTCGAATAATTTTTATTTTGCAGGTTACACTAACATTATGGCAAACAGCCTTATTGGCCAATGCATTCCTACTTTATTCTTTTCCAACACTAGTGTTTGGTTTTCTGGTTTCGACCGGATCATATGTTCATATTTATCCATACGTCTATACTTTTGCCAATACCACCCATACAGGTTCTGTATGGATTGTTTTGACTTTAACTATTGATCGATATTTGGCATTGTGCCAACCTTTGAAACATAGAGCTATTGGTAAAAAACGGTTGGTTTCTTTATTGCGAACCAGAAATAAATAAAATAATGGTTTCAGACGTGTCAAGCGATTAATGATACTTGTATCTTTATTAGCCGTGTTATTTTCGTTGCCAAGATTTTTTGAGGTTCACGTCATCACTTTGACAAACTATACTACAAATGAAACAATTGTTGCTATTGAGAGAACTGAACTCTTTAAGGTTAGAAGGTCTCTTTTAAACAGGAAATATTGATTTTCGATTTTTTCAGAATCATTTGTATTGGTCGGTTTATCATGTGATTTTGGCAATGTTATTTGTCACATTATGCCCTTGCTTAATTCTCTTCGGATTGACTTTGAGAATATCGATTGCCCTGAGATCTGCCATAGCTAAACGAAAATCGTTGTGTGCTCCAAATGCTGAGTTAGATACAAGGGCCAAAGCTATGAAATCTTCAAGATATCGGAACTCAAGGTATATAATTTTCAAATCTATAAACACTTTTTTTACCAACCCATTTCAGAAAAGATCATAAATCGAACATAATGTTAGTGCTGGTGATCACGAAATTTTTAATCTCTGACATTTTACCCACTGTAATTGATGTTTTGGAACATCTTGTTGGATCTTCGAACTTTATGCAATCACCGCTTGCCTCATTGTTTGTTGATTTATCAAATTTCCTAATTGTTCTCAATTGCTCCTCAAACTTTTGGGTGTTCTTTGTCTGGGGACGAAGATTCCGAAGATCATGTCGAAAATGTATAAAAAGCACACACCTTGGAGCATGTATTTATGATTTGGCAAAATGGAATACTGACTCGGTAAGAGTGCACTGGAAGAAAAAAAAAATTGAGGTTTTTTTTAATTACAGGAAGTCTCATTATGTGCTCCGAGCTCTTTCACAACTTTGAACGCGACAAAAGTTTATGGCAGCACAGAACGATCATTCCGAACAAAAAGTCGTCTAGAAATGATATCAAGGTAAGGAGAAGTGAATAATTATGTAAATCGTGCTCTATGAACGTTTTTTGTGCAATGGGAATAAAAATGAAACATTGAAGTCTAGATCAACGGATATCCGGAATATCTTTGGAACTAAATTTGTTTTGATATTTTGCTCACAAATTCGAAATAACGTTTTCCATTTCAGGACCGAAGAATTGTCATCCACGCCAAGCCGAACTTAACAAATCATCTAGAAAAATCCCAATTTTGCCAAAAAAAATCTTCCATTGCCGGTCAAAGGTCCCATCACGAGTTAAACATAAATATAAATTTGCAAATTCACAAATTATTATTTCCGATATTCTCCTTCTTCTGTTTTTTTAGCTATGATTTGCTTCGTTTCGTTTTTATTATTTTTGTGTGTCTCTTCTTTTCGATTTTTCTTCCTTCAATTCAATTTTTTTTTTGATTCACCATGGTAATTTTACGATAGGCAGAAATAAAACGTTTTCTTGTATAGCAACGCCAAAAATTCTTTTGCTTTTGGTATTTTTCTTCTTCATTCATTTGGAAAGTTCAAAAAATGCGCGAGTTTATTATTCTCGTAATTTTTGCTTCATTTTTAGTCGATTTTACAATAGAACAAGTTCAAATCAAATGCTATAGTTGTATTGCGCCAGTTGGAGTCACTGATATTACCACAGTTTGTAATTCGAGTTTGTTTTGTAAGGGACAATACTGTACCAAAGGACCAGATGCACTTTGTAAGAAAATATCTAACAATTTCCTGAATTTAGAAAGTGATCATTCAAATTTTCAGCAAATGGTATAAAACATGGATGTACTGACACACCTCCATTGGACAGCGGTGGAACAAGTTTGTGAAAAATTAAAATTTCAAATCGGGGGAAATGAAACTATCGTAATCTAGACAAGAAGAATACGTAATGCTGCTGTTGCAGCTGAAATTTGAACTAACTGTTTTCAGGCTAGAGAGCACTCATTCAAATCAGACTAGATCATAAGGTTTGGTTAGGAGAAAATACTACAGAATCCTAAAAAAATTGAGTGAAAAACCTAATTCTGAAAACAATATTTTTGAATTTTTTTCCCTTGAAAAGTAACTTATGAACTTTGTTATTCCATTTCAGATTCTCAAGAAAATATTTTTCGACAAAATACAGTAACCGTTGAGATGTGAAGTTTCAGAAAAACGTTATTGAAACTAATTTAAGCTTAACTAAATCTACAGTATTTTTAAAATACTAAAAGTTTTCAAAGACTTCAATTTCCGAGAAAAAATATTTTTGCGTTAGATTTTCCACAGATTTTTTATGAAAATTTGGGAATTTCACATTTAGAATTAGCTTTTTCCAATAACCTATTTTTTTCCAGAATGCAAATGGGTAACCACAAAAACCGGAAAACACGCAAACTGCTATTGTAAAAACATTGACTACTGCAACTCCTCCCGCCAAAACCCTCCACCAATACCAATCTTCATAATCACAATCACCATCTCAATCATTTTTCGACAAATGTTTCGATAATTCATCGTCTAATAAAAATTTGTTGATCGTTGAAATTCTATTGACATTTTCTTGCACAGCGTTTTTTTTTCCGAGCGCAAAGCGAAAAACCTTTCAAATGTTTACACGTCACTCAACTTTGGGTCACACTAACTAACACAGCGCGGCGAATTGTGACCACAAAAAAGGAGCTGGCTGGGATAGATTGGATAGATGAAACTACATAACTGTCAAATAATAAGGAGCGAGCGTAACTTCCGTTTTTTTTTGGTTTCGGAGAGAAAAAACTCAACTTGAGTAACTAAAGCATTTGATTTGTGAAAGAAAAAAACGCGAAAAATTATAATAACAATAATTGCTTGGTGTTTTATTGTTGTGTTCTTTGAATGTGTCAATTGGTTTTGGTTCTATTGTGTTTTTTGTTGCGTTTTCTTCGCCTCGCATTTTTGCCCTTTTATATTTCTCATTCTCTTTTCTTCGATTAGCATGTTGATGTTAATCTTGAAGTTTTAAATTATAGCAGCTTATTTGTTTTTCTCATATATTTCAATTTGCCTCATTTATTTATTTATTCATTTTCTTTGTTCTTTATCTCAAGCGCGAAATTTGCTCTGATAGGTGCGATTTTTTCGCGCTCGATCATTTTGAACATTTTTGATTGATTGATTCGTTTTTGACTAGCTCTAGAGAATGAATTTTTGATCGGGTCATAAATTTTCTGATAATTTTGAAAAAAAAGTTATCAATAGTTGTAAAACTGACATTTCGAATAGAATGAATGCTATTTTTTGAAAAAATCTAGGTAATTAGAGTTTCTTAATCAAAATTGTGTTATTCCTCGTTCCAAAAACTATAGTTTCACAAACCGGAGTTTCAGACTCTGCAATTTTCTATGTACCATTCTTCCATGCGTGTTTAAGTCGTCTCAATCTTGCCGACCGTTTTAATAAAACGTGTAGTTTGATGTCTAACAATAAACCTTTTTTAATGTTAGCTGAACAGTGAGTCGGACAATTTGCATAAACTGCAGATAAAAAATTGTTACGTAGTTTCTGTCAAGAATAATTCTACCTGATTTTAAAATTTGTATAATACAGTTTTAATTTGTTTATCATCTGAACATTTCGAAAAAAACTATTAATTTTATTATTTGATATTTTGCTTTTTTTTTATTATTGTCATTTTTCTCAATTTCTTTTCATCCTGAACTTACGTATCGAAAAAACACAATTTTCTTTCATTGTTTCACCACATTCGGAAAGTTCCAAAACGTTCTACCCCATAAAACTATACATCAGCAAACATAGTAAAAGTTATGTTTTACCTAAAAAAAAACCCTCTAACATTTACCTGTTTTCTTTATGAGTCATAGCACATTGATTTTCTAAATTAATGGGGCGGCTACTTTGTGTTTTATAACTTTTTTTCTGATTGAGAAATGTCAATCCCAATGTTTTGTTAGAACAGCCTCCATTTTTTATTAAAACATTTCTTGAATCTCTTGGCATTTCTTGGCAATTCATCTCATTTCTCACATAGAAAAAGCACAAGCTTCTGAAAAGTTCCTGAAAAAAAACAAAAAGTCTGCGTTCGGGGGGAATCGAACCCCCGTCGAATGCTTGGAAGGCATCCATGCTGACCATTACACCACGAACGCGCACATTTTTCCAACAGCGTTTTCCAAAGATATTTTTCTCTCCCTTCTATTTTCTCCTCTCTTCCCTACGTTGGCCGAACACGCGTGGCCGATGTTTCCTGGTTGTGTGTAGTTCTTTTGGAGTAAACCCTTGCGTTTTTTGTGTGTTCCCTTTTTCTCCCTCTCCTTCTCCTCATTTTGTGTGCTCTCTTGTTTGTCGTTTTTTTTTTGAGGTCAATAAGTAAGTGTACATATGTTGACCAATTGGCAAATATCCAAATCCCCCCTTTTTTGTCGTTTACTTTCAATTTGTTTATACGATTTTATAATAAAAAGTATCAAATTCTTATTTTTCTTCTTCTTCTTACTTATTGAAAAGTGTTCTATATTATTAAATTTTCATAAGTTTTCTTAAAAACTATCGAATTTTTGCAGAAAAATACAAATTCTGGTTCAATGTTGTGATGCCATTGGCCGAGTTCGATTCAACAATACCGGCGGCGTTTGACAATATTCAAATCGTCTTAACACTTGCGGTTTTTATTGTTATGATAACTCTTGTCTCATTATGCACTTGTTGTGGAAATGTCAAACAGACCAGGTATTTTATTTTTTTGTTGAAAATTCTATAATTTTTTCTGTTTCTGTAGAAAAGAGGAGACTGATGATTGTGATTATGGAGTGGTGACAGTTGCCGCCGTTTCAAATTCGATCAATAAACAACCTGTTCACACGGTCAATTTTCGGGAAAATACCTCCAAGAGGCCACAAGATCGACACTCTCAACCAGTCACTAAAATGGTAAGATTTTTGGGGGAATTTATTCAAAAACTAAATTTTTTTAGAAGAGATATACAGAAAAATTAAATTTGAAAATTGAATTTACTGGATGTTTATGCATCAGATTGAAAATTCAAGCTACTCACTTGACTCAAGTGGCATTTTTTGAAGAACAAAAAACACACGATCTTAAAAAGTCAGATGTAAACGTTGTTGAGTGAATTCGAGCTTTAGCTGAATTGAACTACGAAAAAATTATACAGATCAGGTCTGACAGATTTGTAATTATTACTTACATTTAGTAATCAACCTAATAGTTTATTTTAAAGAAAAAACAGTAAAATTATGAGATACCGTGATAGAAAAATTTTGAACAAGGCAATCCCTGAAAATCACAGAACTCTAAACCCACATCAAGAAACCAAGCTCATATTTTCAGAATCATATGTCATTCAATCGTCAATCTGCACCTGGTCGAGCTCTTCCAAAACTACCCGCAGATCTTTACACAGCAATCGATAAAAAACCAAAAGCTGATGATATTCGATTTGCTGATGAAACCATAAACCCAATGTATGAATGCATTGACGCTGAAACTGATTCTTTTGTCGATCCACTTTATTCGAAAGTCGGTGCACCTGGAACATCAAAAGATATCAGATATGATTATCCAATATTTTCGGGAAGACCAAAAGAAGATATGGTATATCAAAGTGCTTCACAAATTTATGCAGCAGGAAGTGAAGATCCGTATAGTTCAATTACATCAGAACGTGAAAGAAATACAACATTTGTTGATAAAGATGGAGACAATAGCAGCACTTATGATCCAGGATATGCTAAAGTCAATTTGAATAACAAACCTAAAATCGCTGGAAAACAACAAAGAATCGAGAGATCTGAAAGAGAATTGGATTTGTTATATTCAAAAATACGTCGGAATGTTCCAAATTATGATGATCAACCAGGTCCATCCAGAATTGAACCGATTCTTCCAACTCAACCAACTTTGATACAAAATCCAAATATTGAACAATTTGATGAACAACAATCAGCTGTTTCAAGTAGAGAACCTTCATATAGATATATTACTATGAGGTAATTACATTTTTATTTTATTGTATGAAAAAAATGATCATAAAATTATAGAGAAAGTGCCGACGTTTTACGAGAGCGTCTTCGTCAACAAGGTCAACTTGATCGACCGATTAGGGAGCATTATTATTCAACAATCGGAAATGAATATGAAACGGTAAGGGATCACATTTTTCTAGATTACGAGAAATATTCTATAACAGATTGCAAATCGTGCCGAGCCCTTAATCGTCACCACAATCTCACCCCCACCCGAAGTTGATATCCCACCACCACCAACCTCACCAATCCCGGAACGAAGTCGACCTGTGTCATTCATTGAGCCGATTCCATCGCCGCCCGATTTGCGATGCTCACCAGTGCCGCCGAAACCGGTTGAGCAGACATTTTCGATAAAAAATCGTGAGTTTTTCTGGAAAGTCAGAATTGATTTCGAAAAATTGAAAGGAAATGAGAGAATGACAGAAAAATATGAGAAATTGTGAAAATGGCTAATCGATTTCGCAATAATTTTTATGGGATTTTTTTTTTGGTTTTAGTTTTTTTAATAGAAAAAATATAAGGATCAATACATACATTGAAAAAAGAAAAAAGGAAATTGAAATCATTCAAGAAATGTTCTTTACTTCAGTTAATTCGGTGTTTGGCTTGAAACTTTGAAACACCATATGTAGAGCTTAAAATTTGAAGCAACGAATAAGTTGAATGAGGTCATCAATAAAGATACTCTAGAATTAGAGTCCAAACAAACAGAAACTTTAAGAGACGTTTTTTGTAAGAACGGAAAACAGGCTGCGCAAGCAAAAAAAAAGTTTTGCTGAAAACTTGTTTAATGATAGCCCCATGGATGGGCATCAATTTGCGCACAATATTACTGCTCAAATCAGCTTCACCATTGTGGTGTGATGGGTGAAAGCTGTATGAGCGATCACTGGAACTTTCCTCTCCGTTGATATTTTTTGATGATCTCAACGCCAAAATACTTCTCTGGCTTAGAAATGATTATTATGTTCTCGCCATGAAAATTGCACCATTTCTAATGGTGAAAATACACCACTTTGGCGAAAAACACCAATGTTATGGTGTTGCGGTTGAATTTCGCACTCTCGCACTGCTTTTATCGGATTCCTCGTCATTTTTTACATACCCTACAAAAATATGAGAAAAATAAACCTTACCCCTTTTTGGCAATTCCACCCCAAAGTTAGTCACCCAAGGTGTGCACCACAGCATTTTTTGTCAAAATCACTCAAATTTTCGATATTTTTGGTCAAAAAAGTTATTTTATGGCTTAGAGTTACTTTTATGTGAAAATTAGAAAGTTTTTTGGAAGGAAACGTGTTATTACACGCATTTTACGTGAAAAATCACGTGAATTTTTTTTTCGAAAAATAAGTTTAAAAACGTGTTTTCTGGGGTTTTTGACTATGAGAATCAACGAGGTAACATTTATTTTTATTGAAATTTCCATTTACAATGAGTTTGACAATACTCTAAAAACTTCACTTGCTAGAGTTCATTTTTATGATATTTCTGAAAATTGCTAAATTTGAAATTTTCAAGAAAAATAAATGTTACCACGTTGATTCTCATAGTCAAAAACCCCAGAAAAACACGTTTTTAAACTTATTTTTCGAAAAAAAATTCACGTGATTTTTCACGTAAAATGCGTGTAATAACACGTTTCCTTCCAAAAAACTTTCTAATTTTTACATAAAAGTAACTCTAAGCCATAAAATAACTTTTTTGACCAAAAATATCGAAAATTTGAGTGATTTTGACAAAAAATGCTGTGGTGCACACCTTGGGTGACCAACTTTGGGGTGGAATTGCAAAAAAGGGGTAAGGTTTATTTTTCTCATTTTTTTGTAGGGTATGTAAAAAATGACGAGGAATCCGATAAAAGCAGTGCGAGAGTGCGAAATTCAACCGCAACACCATAACATTGGTGTTTTTCGCCAAAGTGGTGTATTTTCACCATTAGAAATGGTGCAATTTTCATGGCGAGAACATAATAATCATTTCTAAGCCAGAGAAGTATTTTGGCGTTGAGATCATCAAAAAATATTAACGGAGAGGAAAGTTCCAGTGATCGCTCATACAGCTTTCACCCATCACACCACAATGGTGAAGCTGATTTGAGCAATAATATTGTGCGCAAATTGATGCCCATCCATGGGGCTATCATTAAACAAGTTTTCAGCAAAACTTTTTTTTTGCTTGCGCAGCTCCTTATTCTAAAATTTCCCAAATTACAAAAAACGTCTCTTAAAATTCAGAAAATAAACTATTTCGCAATACATATAAACTTTTATTCCAGGAACTGAAGAACCCTTGACATTCCGAAGTTTGGAAACATTGATCGGAAGAAGAACGATGGAAGAAAAAGAAGTCATAATTGAACAAAAATCCATAGTAGCGTGAGTTATCTTTCACCACCCAGTATTTCAAAAAAAAAACATATTTTTCAGAGTTGGTGTACCGATTCCATCAACATCATATTCAAGTACTAACAATATTATGAGTCGCAGTATGGATAGTGAGTTATTTGATTCGACAGATAAAACATTATTTAACCTAATTTAATCTTTTTTTAGACTCTTGGAGTTCTCACAATTCCAATCCAGTTCACGAAGTTACAATCCGCCGACTTGATCGACCTTATGAAGGTCCAAGTGTTGATTCAATCATATCAGGTCGAAGATATCGAAGTGGACAAGGATTGGCATTAGATGATAAGGCTGTAGATCCAAATGAGAGCAAAGAGCAGACAACACCAGAAAAACCGGAGAATCCATCGGCACCGGAATCTGCTAGACCGAAAAGAAAAACTTCACGGCAAGAATCCGAAGGTATATGAACTTATTTTGGAATATGGGTTTCTAATGTTTTTTTCAGAAGAAAAAATCCGACGACTCGGCACAATTTACACTGGAAATGATTATGTTTCATCTGTTGATTTAACTGCTGAAAGACCGTGGCCGATGAACAATCAATAAAAACTCAAAAAAGAAAACAAATCTATCGGGTATATTCATAATAGTTCTCTTTCATGCAAAATGTTTCACTTTAACAAAATAGATACTAGTCTATTTTCCAAACCAAATTTATTTATTTTTTCTAATGTTTTACTCACAACTCCTGGCTTTTTAACGCATTTTTGTATCATACCAATAAATATTCGGTGAATTTCTTCGAAGCTGTTTGTTTTAAAGATAATTCTGAAACTTTGAACTTCAAAGTTTGGAAGTCTACATGTTCCGCTGCTAAACTTTAGGCTGAGCCAAGAATAGACAATTCACAAAAAATATACAACATGAAAGTTTTTTATTACAATAGGCACAATTATAATTAAATAATTAGAAACCAAATAATTTCGTACATATTAGACAGTCAATTAACAAATTTTTGTGATTTTTGCTCATGGTCTAAAGTGAAAAATCGAGATCAGATATGGAAATGATTACCTATAAAAAGGGTGGTTAAAAATATGAATCAAGATAAAATAGGGTACACAAAACATGATATGATAGCAGAATGGATAGGGTTAATACTGATTTGTGTTAAGATTTTGGAAAACACGACGTTTTTGAGGGCACAGCCAACGGTGTTCCAATGCTTGACGAGCTGATAGACGTTCCAATCGATTATATTTTAGACAACGATCAATAAGATCGACAGACGCTTGACACAAGAATGGGTTGATTCTGGAAAATGGTTGGATTAGGGTGTGGTTATCAAAAATATGGGGGAGGACTTACTGTGCTATACTTTTCAATGGCCAGCATTTGAAAGAATCTTTGTCAACAACCGCATCTTGTGGCCAATCATGAGGCAAAGGTGTTCCAATTCTTCTGAAAAATGGTGATTTTAAAGGTGGAATTCGAGATTATGCAACTTCAAATAAAATGGAAATTTGGGATATTTAAAGATGAAGTTCTAATTGTGAGCTCGCATTTCTCAAAATAATTATTTTTCTGATGTTTCACGAACTTTACAAACTTATAATAATCTTCTAAAAAATGAAAACTCACTGAAAAATCAACTTCAGTTGATCAGCCTCATTTTGTGCTGGAAACAATGCTTGTCGACTGAAAATCTCGCTAATAATACAACCGACAGCCCAAATATCAGACGATGAATCATAATATGATTGAAGTAAAATTTCTGGACTGCGATACCAAAGTGTGCAGACCAATGTTGTGAAAGCACTTGTATTCGAATAATTACGGGACAACCCAAAATCGGCAATTTTGACAGTTTGATCACGATTGATCAGAATATTTTGTGGTTTTAAATCACGATGGATTATGTTATGAGAGTGGAGGAATTCAATTCCATGAAGAAGTTGCGCCGAAATATGACGACATTGATGTTCGGGTAGATTTTTGGGAATATCACGAAGAAATGTGTATAAATCCCAGTCGCATTTTTCGACAAGCATATTGATTTGTACATACGCATTTTCTCGAACCAAACGATGGAAAACAGCGCGGAGTCTGAAAGATTTTTCTTTTTATTTTGTCTGAAAATGAGGGAGAAATCGCGCTCTAATGAAATTTTGTTTGTTTGTTTTTTGTTTTTGTAGCTAAAAACAATGTGTAAGACCTGTGACTGGATTTTTATATTTTTTCTTTTTATATTTTTAGAGAATCCTACTAAAATGTTTCTTGATTCATAAAAGGCTTCTTCTCAACTGAAAATTGGTCTCTGATACTTGAATTGATCAAACTTCTAAAACGAAATAAGATGTTCGAATGAAAAAAGTTTATAAGGATTTCAAGATTCAGAAATTTCAAAAAGTTTGAAAAATTTGCAGAATCTCTGTAGAGCGTAATCTTGAAAAATTTATAAAATACTTTCTTTATAACCATTCAATAAAATAATTTTCGGATTAAAAACTTGCTTGAATTGTGAAATAGTTGTACTTTCAACTAAATTTTTGTTTTCAAATTGTTGACTTTTCAAAATCAACTTCTTCCTTTAAACCCTGGGGATTTTTATTTCAAAACTTTTTTTCATTTCAAACTCTCCCATAGTTTCCAAAAATGTCCTTCTAAAATGTCTACTTTCCCAGGAGTTTTTTTCTGTTCCGCTCAATGCTATTATTCATCTTTGAACCCTGGGAAACAGTTCAAAAGCACTATTAGTAATACAAAGTGCAAGTTTATCAATAGAGCGCGTTTTCTTTCGCTCATTTCATCATCGTTTTCAGAACTATTTTCAGCAATTATTTCTACGAGGTAAAACTGACCCTAAAATATTTGGATGCCGTTTGACGGATATGCTTTTCATGATGGATATTTCTCGTAAAACACTTTGCGGTATTCCATCGGGTCCAGATATTATCTCCATTTGTTTCAACGCGTACTGTAAAAAATTCTCCTTTTCACTTTTTTTTCACACCTCGCGATAAAAAACTGTCTAAAAAAACTCACTTCTTGATGATCGATTTTGCTTCGAACATGGTGTACAACTCCATAAGCACCTCTCCCTAATTGCTGAAAAATAATTGAATTGAAATTGAATCTCACAAAAAGAGTTTTGCTCACCTGGAAGAACTGGAAATGTTCAAGTTGTGGCGGTTCCTGCCGCCGACAACTCATCCGGTTCATCATATCTTCCAGCTTATATACTTCCATTCCCCCACCTGAAATTTGAACAAAATTAAAGTTATTTACAAAGTGGTGATCTCAAAGAAAAAATGAGGTAAAACGGAGTGCGAGCGAGCAACACAAAGGAGTGACAAAGATGAGGCGATGACCTTGGCGGGAGGGACGCATAAAAAAAGGCAAGACAATCGGTTTTTTTCTTTCCCCTCACACTACCCGCGAAAAATGGGAAGAGGAAGAAAGTGCGCTCCACCGAAAAAATGCTTATTCAATATTTTTAATGGGGGGGAGTGTGCGTATAGGGGTATCTGCTTTCATGATGATGAATGTTTCCAAAAAAAAATTTGTGCTGGTTTTGAAACAAAACATTTTGCTCTTTTCTTTTGGTGTGAAATATTATTCTTCTGACTTTTTTCTGACAAACGTTTTCAAGCAAAATTCTTTCTTTTTCCAGCCAGAAAATGAATGTTTTGCGGACAGTTTTTCCATGCTTCACACCGTGTTTTGATTGCGTGGAAGGTCCGAGTTTTGATAGTGCGGCTTATGCAAAATTCAACGCTAGTTATCAACCAACTGTTAGACTAGATGTTGGAAGAATGGGTAAGTAATGATAATAATAAATATGCCAAAAAAATCGATAAGAGAGCAGCAAAAATATTGTATTATAGGTAAAAACGTGGTGATATTAAAAGAAGGTGAGCGAATTTGCGGAGTTGGAGCGTCAATTGCAACTGTGCCGATTGTTCAGAACAAGGCGTATTTTCATGTGACAGTGCAACAAACAGGTGAGTTATATACGTATTTATAAAAAAAGATTAGGATTGACATTATTAGGAAAAATTAATAATGTCAGAAGGATTAAAAATGGGAGGTTTCTCCGACAGAAATCTATTTTTTCTTCTTATTTTTAATCCGATCCTATCCAAGAAAAAACGCAGGGAGAAAAAACCCACACACACATACACATACAATAAATCTAAATACCGACGCTAAGAGGACACCCAACAGTATTGACTTTTTTGTGTATGTAGTGTGGATAGCGACGCATCTCATTATTAGCCTTCTTCTTTTTGTAGGCACTTGGGGTGTTGGTCTTGGTCATAAACAGTCGAATTTTGAGAAGATTCCGAGCACAGATCAATTTTGGGGGATTCGAGAAAATGGGGATATTGTGAAGGAGCAAGAGGTTATTGGGAAGATTGAGAAACCGATTGAAGAAGGAGATGTTATTGTGAGTTTTGATCGAAATTGGAATGAAATTGAGATGGATGAATGAAGATGAAGAAAATATTTTGAATTCGCAAAAAGAACATCTAAATCAGGGCACTTTCACATGAGATTGGTTGAAAATTGTTCACATAATTATTATATCAATAATTTTTATCAAGAAACAATAGAGAAAAAAACAATGCAAGTTGTGTTGTAAAAGATAACCAGAATGTGAGCTTAGCAGTTAACATAGTTTTAAAAAAGTGGTAGATCTGAAGGGTAAAGATATTGATTGAAAGAGAACGGATTGTTTCAATTTTGACCACCCTTAAACTAACATGGAATGTTTCTCAAAAGTTCTGAAGCTATCAAAAAAGAAATTCTACGCAATGTTTATCGAAAAGCTTCAAACAATAATGTTTTTCAATATAGTTCTCTGTCATTTTTGATAAGCTTCACTGACAGTTTTGAAAATAAATAAATTTCAAAATCTTATCCTGCGTCATTTCAAAAAATTGAAAAAGCCCAGAACTCTGAATAATTTCATTTTTTCCAGGGTGTCACCTATGACCACATCGAGCTTCGATTCTACATCAATGGAAATCCAATCGAAGATGTGATAACTGGAGTCAAAGGACCAGTCTATCCGATGGTTTATGTTGATGATTCTGCGATTCTTGATATAAAATTCAAAAATTTTGTGCAACCACCGCCTTCTGGATTTAGCGAAATTCTTGTAGAACAAACTATTTTGTGAATTGATTGCTTATTGTTTTCAGCTTCTTGTGATCGTCTTTTTTTATTTACTTATTTTGAAAAGAACCAAATATAAATATTTCGAATTAATTTCCTGTTTTTTTGGAGATTCTTTGTTCTATTTTTGTGTAATAACAAAGAAATCTGCAGGTTAACATTTTAAGGAAATATGTATACCCAAAAATCCGGACTCGTAGTTTTTTTTTGGGAAAGAAATGCACTTTTCAAAATTTTTCTCTTTAATTTTATTCATGAGTTCTTGGAAGTGTTTTATTTAAAAAAAAACAAATAAATGAAAACACTATGATGAAACTTTTTGAGAAGTTATTTCATATCACTTTTCAGTCCCCTTGTGAAAAATTTATATCTTGTCTTGAATTTTGAACCAAAACGACCAAAAATTCTAAAATATTAGTTTTTAAATTGAAATCTCGTTGATTTATGTTGCACATATGGGAAAAATCCGGAACCTTTCTTTTATTTGAAAAAAAATGTCTTTTAATTTCAAAAATGACGTAACGTTTTTTATTGGATTTCAAAATGAAGAAAGTTCGAGTTATTTTTCAAAGATAATTCTAATTATTTTTATTAGCTTTCAATTGTTCAGTATCAAAATGCAATATTTCAAAACATTACGGTCAGCCTATATACTATGATCATAATACCATACACACATTCTGATTGGATGGTCCCTTGGAAAAATTCAGATGCTTATTAGAATCTCGAATCGAAATAAGGAAATAATATAAAATATTGGTTTGTAAATTGAAAAAAAAATGAAAAAAAAAATTGATTTATGTTTCACATATGTGAAAAATCTGGTACCTTTCACCCAGGAGAAAATATGTGTTTTAATTTTAAAAATGATGTCACGATTTTTATGTACATATGTGAATTCAAAATTGAAATTCTACAGTTCTTAGAAAATGTTCTCACGGAAAATAGCAATTCTGTTATTTTAATGGCTGATAAACTGTTTTTATCGGCGAAAATTTCTATCGATTAATTTTTCGAAAGTTTGTAATCTTCATGAATTAAATTCCGGAAAAACACATGTTTCGAAATCGAAAGAATCCAGTCTTACTGAAATTCTGAGTTTTTTTTTATTCATAGAACACATTTTTAACATATTTGAAATTTATTTCAATTCTGGTCGTACAAAAACACAAGAAGACAAAGAATAAAGTTATTATGTATTTTTTTTGGCAAGCTTCAGAATTACATTTCAATTCTAAACTATTTGAAATGGGGGTTATCAAAATGTAATCAAAAGCTTTTGTGTTTTAGCAAATAAGAAAATGGGTTAAATGAACTACCGAAAATAGGGGGAAACACGGGAAAATACAGAAAAGAGTTTTGTGAAATGAAAGGGTATATAATTGAATAAATATAATTATTTTTTTTTGTAATTTTTTGTTATTTTTTCATTGGCCTGGTATCGTTATTGATAACACTTTCTTGAGTTATTGAGCGGCAGTGTTCAACACAGCCGACGCCTCATCAACTTTGCTTCTGAATAGCTCTTCATCTTGGAGCATCATGATCAACTCTGAGTTGTCAATTTCAAGCATCATTCCCGTGATTTTTCCAGCATCTTTGTGTCCAGGGAACATTTTTTCGATTTGCGCATAAATACGTTCACCGAGAAGTTGTTTTTGTTCCTGAAAATTAATTTAATTTAAAAAAGTGTTCACATGTTTTTCTAAATGATACAAACCTGTGGAGCAGCTTGTGCCAACATGTGTGAAGTGAGCGGTTCTTGTCCGGAAATGACGATTCCAGATTGAGCAGATTGTGGTGGGCCTGAACGTCCCTGGTTGCCGTAATATTGTTTTTGTTGTTGCGGTTGTTGCGCTGGTTGTTGAGGCGCTTGTGGTTGTCCTCCACGTGGCTGTTGTTGTTGTGGAGGTGGTCCTTGGCGCATATGCATTGGTGGCATTCCTTGCATTGGTGGTCCGCCACGTGGTGGTCCTTGCATATTGTTGCGTGGGCCCATGTTGTATTGTGGTCTTGGTGGTTGATTGCGATGAACTCCTTGCGCATACACATTTCGGTTGTTGTTGACTTGTGGATATTGAACAATAAGTGGTTGATTTGGATACATGTTCCCTGGGCGGTTGCCAACATTTGGTGCTCCACGCATTGGTTGGAATCTTGTTTGAGCCTATAATTATAATTGTTTTCCCATAATCTGTTTTTCCATTAAGAAAGATGTGTATCGCAAATCTTTTTGGGAAGGGGCAATAGATAATATCATAATTATTGCCCTTTCCCAAACACCTGTCTTTTGTTCTACACTTCAAAAAGTAAAGACCTACCGGGATGGTGTTGGTGACAAAGAATCCACCTTGCGCATTTGGATACATATTTGGCACAGCTCCTGGGTGCATGCGAAGTGTTGCCAACTTTTGCATATATTGGGATGCGAGTTGGGCTTTGCGATCCTCTTTGCGTTGAGCAAGCGCAACGTAAAGCGGTTTGGTTCCAACCATTTTTGAGTTCATCTCGGTGACAGCGTTGGTTGCCTCTTCTGGTTTTTCGAAGCATACGAAACCGAATCCTTTCGATCTTCCATTCTCATCAGTCATAACTTTGGCGGAAGTGATGGTTCCGAATGAATCGAAGTGCTTCTTGAGCTCCTCATCATTCACATTCTCCTCCAAATTCTTGACGTACAAGTTGACTCCTTGATAACGTTGAATTCTTTCTTGCTTCTTGGCTTCATAAGCTCTCTTCAATTCGGATGATCTTTCTGATTTTTTTTGCGCGCGGCAAACCAACAACTTCAATTCAGTTCCTTCCAAAATTTGATCATTCATCTCTTCAACAGCTTTGGCTGCATCTTCAGCTTCAGCATAAGCGACGAATCCGAATCCTTTTGGTTTTCCAGCAGCATCCTTCATAACAGTTGCGCTTGAAATTGTTCCGAATTTTTCGAACAATTTGACCAATTTCTCATCATCAAGATTGTCTCCAAAGTTCTTGACAAAAACATTGGTGAACTTTCTTCCGGTGTCTCCGAATTCGCGTAAGCGTTGTCCTCTCGATTGGAACTTTCCAACATAAACTTTCTTGCCGGAGAGAAGCATTCCATTGACTTTCTCAATCGCATTCAATGCGGATGATTCGTTCTCAAAGTGAACGAAACCGTATCCACGGCTGATTCCTTCTTCATCAACAGCAACTTTGCAAGATGCAATGTTTCCGAACAATGAGAAAGTGTCGTAGATTGACTTGTTGTCAATGTCTTTGTCCAAATTCTTGATGAAGATGTTGCAGTTTCCAGATCTTCTGGCAGCTGGATCACGTTGCGACCACATAATGCGCATTTGCTTGTCCAACATTGTTTCAAAGTTCATCGTGTCGAGAGCACGTTCGGCTGCAAAAAACTGGTTTTTTCTACATACATATATTATTTTCATTTCCCTCGCTGCAAAACTGTTCTGTTCAACGAAAAACGGTCAATTTTTGACCAAAAGAGAGCGATTTGTTTACACAGCCTCGGTGCACACAGACTGACTGATTGTTTCTTTCTTCCCCCCTCCTCCCTTTAAATACATACCATCAGCTGGTTGTTGGAAGTTGACATAAGCGTAGCCGAGGGACATGCGACTCGCATTATCGCGGCAAACACGGATCGACAATACTGGTCCAGCAGCGCTGCAAAAATATATTGATTTCCTCTGTTTTTTCTCACGCCATTTTATTTCTGACACTCACCTAAACTTCTCGAACAACATTGATTCAGTGACTTCCGGGTGGAGGTCGCCGACATACAACGATGCCATCGAGTAGGTTGGCGCTGTGGCCGGTGCGCCCGCGTTTTGTGGTGGTGGCGGAGCCGCCATAACATGTTGAGCATTGGCTGGTGGTGGTGCGGAGATTGGTGCAGCTCCGTTGACTTGGGTTGGTGCGATTTGAGCCATTTTTCTATAAACAATTTTTATGTTCTTATTGATCTATTGCTTGCACTTTTATCAATCCACATCATTGATACCAATTTTTGTTTTATCTTGATACTACTATTCTACATATTCCGTTTATTATGATTGAAAATATGTTTGGGTGGGTCAGATATGTATAATGAAAAGTCGAATCAATCATCGATTATATCTTTTTGCGCGCAACAAGAAGAAAAAATGCAGATTTCCGCGACCCGATAACTTTCTTCTTTTCTTTTCACTAGATTGGATTCGGTTGGAAAACAACTTTTTATATTATCCTATCCTATCCTATTCACCAAATGAATTCATGAAAGCTTTCAGAAAAACTTACACTTGTGGATATTAGAAAAAGATAGATGACAGAATATGTATATGACAATAACAAAGAGTAATAAATGACCTAATAAATGAGCAGCTAGTAATGGTGAAGGGTGCCAAACAGACTGATGTGCTAAAAACAAAAAAGGGGGAGGTACGCGCATTATACACCTGCACAACAACATAATTGCATCAAAACGCCCTAACCGCAACGCGACACGCATTTATACCAACGCTAACTTTTTGCATATAACACAACACAACACAATGAATGGGAAAAAGACAAAATGAACATTTTTTCTCATTCGAAGGGTGATATGTGTCACACGATTGCAATATTTCGAAATATACGTTTTTTTTTGGCTCATGGAAAGGGGGAAAAATATGAGGCAATTTTTATGAGATGTTTATGAGATATTCACAAAAAAATTCCACATTCACAAGAATCAATACTCAATTTCAAAATACAATGACTTACCAGTTGGGATTGTTGTTTTGAAGCAGAATAAGACAAGAAAGTAGAATCAAAAGAATAGTCTTCGAAAAGGTGTGATAGATTACACGTAGGTTAATATAAAATATAAATAATTTGGGATTTTATTAGAGTTTTTCGGATTTTTTTGGAGAGTTTTTTTTGTATTTTTAGTATAGAATTTTAGCTAAAAAGAGACCGGCCACTCGTGTTGCGGCCACCAGACACAATGACTAGCCGTATCGAAAAAGATGGAAGAGAACAGTGAGGAGAGAGTGAGGAATGATGATAGAGTGTTGACGGCTATAAAACGCGTTGCATTGAGAACTGCGTTGCGTTGATGAGAAAGTGTAGATTGTGTGGAGAGTGCGGAAAAATGGGTCTCGTTTGGAGTCCCTTTCGAGATTAATTCTTTTTACGGAATAAGACATCGTCATTCTTAGATTTCGGAGATGACTTTTTTCTTCTTCTTTTTTTATACATCGTCATCATTATCTATGTACGATCATATTATTTATTAGTCTAGATCATTTTTTGCGGTTAATTATTTGTACTTCTGTGTGTTTTGTGAAACTTGTTTCTCGTAAGATTTAAAAATTCTCTTCATTTTTAGAACCAAGCGTGAAACTTTTTTAAAAAGTATCAAGAACATAGCCAAACATCTATAATACTATTGAATAGTTAGGCAAATAAAGTTGTTTTATTTATTGCATCATTATCAAATCATTGTTTTGGTTATTTTTTGAAATTATTTCACTAATTTCGAATTTAATTTATATGATTACTTTTAATTTTTTTCTCACGTAAATAATATTTGTTATTGATTTTAGATGTCTTCAAATTGTTTTTGAAAAAAGTTCATTTTTTATTAACGTGTTGTCCTCGTGGTCTCTTTTTTATTTTATTGCTAGAGTATAGTTCCAAACTTTAAGTGCATTGATAAATAAAAGAATCATTCACTGTAAAAGTATGGTTTTTGAACACATTGATCTAATTTTTCTGATAATCTTTAGTTTGATCCTTCAAGTATTAGAAACTTTTCTAGATCATGTCTCTCATAAAACACTTACTTATATAATGAGCAATAACAAACAAAAAACATCAGCAAACACTGTTATTGCTCATTGCTATTTTTCAAATTCAATCTCAAAAAAATATCTAGCATTGAGCTCTTACTCTGAGTTCTTTTAAATCAGATTCACAGAAAACTTGTGGTTCGTATTTGAATTCTGAATTTAAATGAAAAAATGAACTACATTATTATGCATGAGCTCTATTACTGTTTGGAATTAGCTCATCTTGATCATTCGGCTTCTATCAAAGGTAATTCGATTGTTAATTCTCTATCAGGTTTCGTTAAATAATAAGAATGAAAAACACTTTCACATCTCTAGGTCGCTCTAAAACTCGTTAAACTAAAAACAAATAGGATTATCATATGATTTTGATAGATCTTTCTTGTTTCTTATCACACATCATCAAACTATTTTTGTTTATATCCACTTATGTATATCAAAAATCATTTTTGACGTAGAATTTTCAGACAAAGGTTTCAACTTGAATAATTAAACTTCCTTAATGATAATCGGTAACAATCAATACGGTGTATCTCTTCATTTTCCTATTTTTAGTCTTACGGAAAACTAGTAAGGAGAGAGAAGATTATTGTGCTTTGCTAGTTTAAATGAACTTGAAAAGAACAATGATAACAAAACATGTATTATTAGACGTGTGACTACAAATTTATGCGATTTTTTTTGTATCTGGCTTTTTTTTCAATGAGATTCGGATATTGAATATTCTGATAGATCAATATTTTCAAGTGATAAAAATTTTTCCCGGAAAAGTTCGTGGTTTCTCACTCACAATCAGACAAAAACCACCAACTAGCCGATAAGGTGTGACAGTCAGTTTTTGAAAAAAAAAAGATAGTAGACCAGTGTGTTCATAGAATAGGCCGATGTTCATGAAATCACAAAAATTGATACGGTTCTGACACCTCCCAAGTTTCATTTTATCGATTTTGAATTATTAACCTAATTTTGTGTCAAATTTTAAATTTAACCCAACGTAAGAAAATCACAGAAACAATCAGGTATAGTTTTAAATCTGGTTATTTTTTCTCACGGTTGTTTAGCGTTCTATGACATGTCATTAGACGTTTTTAAACTACTATGCATTCCCTTTGTTTCTCTGCTCCTAGATTTCTTATTGTTGCGAAAAATTTCACAATTAGTTGTTTTTTCGTAATTGGATAAATTGATATGGACAGCTTATTTGTATGAAGTTTCTTTTGTCTAGTATCTGTTTGTATCTTTATTTAGACGTGAGTAATCTGTGCTTCAGTAGAGGTCTAGAAAGACTATTATTGAAAAGTTCATTATTCATAAGTTCTTTGAACTCAAACAAGAGTCGACAATTTTTGATTGTTCTACAAAGACCACAGACAAGAATTGAAATATAATTCCTCATGATTATAAAACAATCAATTTTTTCGAAGCATATGATTTTTTCATATCAGAAGCGTAGGCAATTTCAAATTGTTTACTTTGAATTCCTCCTGCAAAATATTGTATTGTTTTTGTTCCAATAAGAACAATTTTGTTGATAAAATAATTAAAAAATAAACGATTGACCGAACGTCAATGATGATTCACTTTTTTGCAATAAAAATGTATTTTTATCGTATTACCCTCAAGTTAGATAACAAATGATTAACAATTACTCTTCTTCTCTCCTTTTTTTCTCACGAAGTTTTTCGAAAAAGTGCGCAAAAACTATCCGTTTTTTATCATCACTCAATTCCTAATGTCAATAAATAAAAATATAATTCGAACTCATCGATTTTTTTCATTCTTCTTGAACTTTATGCACTTATTTCAAAGTTTCGACAAAAATCAAATATTTTTTTTCAGTTATGCATGTAGATCCCCAATTAGCCAGAATCGAAGAAGAAGAAATCGAAAGAGATGGAACACATCCACCAGATAGACAACTATTCGAATCGGAATTGGAACATTATCATAGGAAGATTAATGCGATCAGGGAACAAGTGAGTTTTTTTTGAAAATACTCCAAAGGAAATTTCAATAAATAAAATTTGTTTTGCAGATTCAACAAAAATCAACGTGGTGTAGTCAATTGAATCAGAAACGAGCTGAATTTCAAGAAGCCAATCAGAAAAATTCAAAAGAGTTTAATGAAAGCAAAATTGCTTATGAAGACGTCAAAAAACAAATTGAAGCCAAAGTAACTTCACAGAATCTAATTCAGTACTAGTGAACTGTTCCTAAATATATTTTTCAGAAAAAACAACAACTTGATCTCGAAAATGATTGTCGTATACGAAACAAAGCTAAATTGATGGAAGTTCTTGCCGGTCATGAAAAACGATATAATTCTGCAAATATGACTGCGAGAAACGAGTCAATCCTCATTTCTGAAATTGATGGTCTCAAAAGGAATTTGATAAAATTAGAGTAAGTTTTTTTTAAAATATTAAAAGAGCTTCATTCAAAAAAGAAGAAATATTTAAGGAAACTTGAAACATTGAAAGCTGAGTTGTCGGCATTGGAATTTGAACGTAATGAACATCGTGAGAAAAAAGAGAAATGTTGGAGAAAGTTCAATGAATTGAAAAGTATCAAAATTGAAAGAAAAGAAAAGGAACGAGAGATTGAATTTGATAAAGTTGAATTAGAAAGAGTTTGTGCTGATCGACGAAAACTTATTGAAGATTACAACAACAATCGGGATAATTACAAACAATGGTTGACTAATTCGAATCATTCAAGTGTACCATCAACTTTTCCAATTGCTAAAAAGACAAGTAAGTTTGAAATTTAAAAAAATACAATTTCGATGAGTTTGATGTTTACTATCTAGTAACTGGTCAATTGTTCATCATTCATTTTTTTTTCAAATTTCAGAAGCGATCCTCGTTGATGAAGAGTTGGAACCGTTCTATGAAATCAAAAGAGATTGCACACGTCTTCTCAACTACCTGGAGAATCTCAAAACATCAACTCAACTTGAAGATTCAAAAGCTGAAACATCAAATGAAAAAATGGATACAGATGATGATTCTGCAGATGAACTTCCACCTCATCTTGTCAAAAATAGATGTGAAAAAAGTTGTCCAGTTCGAAGAAATTTGAAAAAATCAACACAACCGATCTCGCATAATATAGATATTTATAAATTATTTGGTGCTATCGAAGTGAGTGTCCCTCAACATTATTCCGATGTTCCTGATGCAATTCAAGCTGTCAAAGAAAAATTGGAGTTTTATAAAAATCAAACTATTCATGAGTTTGATTGGGCTGATGAGATGAAACTTGGTGAGCGTTTTTTTCTTCTTACATATTTTAAAGTTTTTTTTCGAAAGTAAATTAATTTTTTATAGATCTCTTGTCTATATCTCGCACAACTAGTGAATTCGATTCAGCGTGCTTTGATGATTCGGTATCAGATTTCGGAAGTATATCGAGTTCCAGACGAGTTTCCAGTCGACAAAGTGTTCAATCACCAATCCTATAGTTATTTCTAAATTTTATCAGTTTTTATTCCATGTTGTAAAAAGTTATCCATATATTTATTTGATTTCCTCATTGTCCCAATAATCAGTCATCCTCAATTCTCTCTAGCAGGTCCTTCAAATCACTTTCAGATATTATTAGACCAATTTTTTCGTTTCTTTGTTATGTAAATTTATCAGGTCTATTTTTACTGTAATCAACAAAAAAAGCATTTGCCGGTTCAAAAAAAAGTCTTCAAAATCATATTGCCTCTAGTCTTGAATAGACTGTGTTAATTTTTGCATTTAATAAATTTTTCCTATGGAATTTGAAGTTTGTTTGATAATTCGTTCAGAAAAATTATCATAGATATTTAGGTGCGCTGAAAGCCGATTAATGTTTTGTATCAGAAAAACTTGGAAAATTGTTAAAAATTTTGAAAAAAAAACATTTAGAAACATGAATTCAGAATGTTGAAAAAATTGATGTGGATCTGAAGTTTTGTATCCAGCCTGTTGAATTAGAAAATATCTTTTGTTCTAAATCAAAGAATCAACAGGAATATCTCTATACTTCAACATCGTCAGGCTCTCCTTAAACCCATCCATTTTTTTCCGAAAAATGTTGAACATTTTCCAGAAAAAATAAAAAATGAAACAAGAAAAAGTTGTCACATATGTTCGAGGAGCAACTTCAAAACCTCATGAAATTTCATGGATAACAAAAAAAGAAGACGAAGAAAAATGGAAGGAAAAAGAAGAGAAGTAATGTATGCAGTCAAAGACTTTTTGCTGCTCTTTTTTTGGCCATCTTTTCTTATTTTTCTTTTTCTTTTTCTTCGTCTTCTTTCTTCTTCTTCCTGCTCGTAATTCCCAAAATCCATATAAATAGAGAACCTCTCTCTGTCTTCTTCCCCGCGTTTTCTTTTCATTTTTTTTTATTATTTTCATTTCACGCCATTTTAGTTTCCCCCCCCCATTACTTTGTATGTTTTTTGCAGACTCTCCACCATGAAATCACATTTAACACTTTTAATTTTATTATCCGCTAATGTATTTTGCATCAAACGAACGGCAAAAGATTTGGAGAGCCAGCTTTACGAGGATTTGCTTTTCGATTACAATAAAGTGCCACGCCCCGTCAAAAATAGCTCGGATATTTTGACGGTGGATGTGGGGGCGTCCCTCATTAGAATTATTGATGTTGATGAGAAAAATCAAGTGTTCACAACCAATCTGTGGCTGGAAATGGTAGGAACTTGAAAATTTCAGGGGAGAAACTTGAAAAAGAGAAGCCTAATTCTTATCTGTAAAAGTCTTAAAATTTACGGTGGCATCAAGGGAACCAGTAAATTTATTTATGATATTTTTACTGGGTTTCATGCTTCTTCGAATTTCATCACAAAAAATTGACTTTTTCCAACGACACTGCACTTTAATCCACCCATACCCGGTTTTCGTGAAAAAAACATTTTCTTTTTCAAAAATTCATTTCCAATATTTCAGAAATGGAACGATGCAAAACTAACATGGTCGCCACAAAAATACGGAGGTATCAAAACCCTTCATATTCCAAGTGATTTTATCTGGACTCCTGATTTAGTGTTATACAATAAGTAAGTTTTTCATATGTTTTCTGAAAATTTTTTAAAAACATTTAATAATTTCAGCGCTGCTGGTGATCCAGACATAACAATTTTAACAGATGCTTTGGTTACTTATGAAGGAGTAGTTTATTGGCAACCACCAGCAATCTATAAATCATTTTGTCCAATTGATGTAACATGGTTTCCATATGATGAGCAAAATTGTGTAATGAAATTTGGAACTTGGACATATACTGGTCAATATGTTGACTTGAAACAACTTCCCAAAGGTTAGATTCTGCTTGAACTCTAATTAAAAGATCAAATGTTTCAGAACAAGTTGTCATCGAAAAATCGTCGACTGCAGATGAGCAAGTTGAAGGGATTGAGCAAGGAATGGATTTGAGTTTCTTCTATCTTTCCGCTGAATGGGATTTACTACAACTCCAATCAAAACGCCACTCGGTTTTATATGCATCTTGTTGTGGACCAGAAAAATATGTAGACATCACATATTATTTTCGACTACGACGAAAAACCTTGTTTTTCACATGTAATTTGATAGTGCCTTGTTTCCTTATTTCAATTCTCACTACTTTCGTATTCTATTTATCCGACCATAAAATCACATTCTCTATCTCGATTTTGGTTACACTTACTGTGTTTTTCTTGGTGAGTTTTTTTTCAAATTTTTCGAGATTGCGAATATTACACCGTAATTTCAGGTTCTGATTGATCTTATGCCTCCTACAAGTTTGGTGATACCAATGTTTGGAAGATATCTAATCACCACTATGATTCTGGTTGCATTATCTACTGTGGTTTCTGTTATCACTGTGAATTTCCGATTCAGATCTGGATCAGCCCATAAAATGTCACCATGGATTAGGGTGGTGTTTCTGCAGTTTCTACCAAAGTGAGTTGGGGTTTTTTTTAAAGTTCCTCTGAACATCACTGAAACATGTTTTCAAAAAATCAAACATTTAAGAAAAAAAACCAATTATAAATTCCAGAATTCTAATGATGAAAAGGCCCGAAAAGAACGAATCAACAAAACAAACTTCACTTATTGACCCAGCCAGTTTAGTTGGACCAAGTTATGCAAATTCTGCGAAAGTAAGTGTGTTGTTTGTTTTGCCTATAATATAAACAAGGGTTTCCAGGCCGCCAATGATTATCGAAATGAGAAAAAGATGAGTGGTCCCATCAATCACTCAAACGACGTTATAAAACTGCGTGAAAAACCAAGTTCTCAAGCAGTTCTCAATAATACTTTTGATATGAGAATGAGAAATACGGAGAGTAAAGTTGAAACAAAGTTGAAGCCATTTTTGTGTGCACAAAATAATACAGCCCCAACTGTTGCTTTTCGAAAAACTAAAAAGGACAAAACAAAAACTATGGATGATATTGTTTTTGTGAATTTATTGAATCAAGTTCGATTTATTGCTGAACATTTTCGACATAACGAAATGGAAGGAGAGGTTTGCTCGTTACTATATGCCTAAATAAATTCAATTTCAAATTTTTTTTGTTTTCAGATCTCTGATGATTGGACATTTGTTGCAATGGTTCTAGATCGACTCTTCCTCATTATCTTTTCCGTGCTGAATATTGGCACAGTATTTATTATTATTGAAGCACCAGCCCTCAAGAATGTCGAATGGCCTTTAAATATTACAGTGCCTAACAAACCACTTGGACAAGCCAATTTATAACAAACCTCAAATTTCAATTCGGACCAATTTTTTTTAGAAATTATAAATTTTTAAAATAAGAAACAATTTAACCCAAAATTTTATCCATTAATCAAACAAAAATTATTTTTCTCAGAAAGGGTTTAGATTTAGTAATGTGGAGCTTCATATCCATAATATTTGTTATCACCGTGATATGGAGCAGAATATTTCTTGTCATAACCATAATCATATTTTGGTTCGTAGTATTGTGCTTCGTGACCATGCCCATGGTTGTCGTATCCTTTGTCATAATATCCGTCAGAATGGTCTCCATATTTTCCATCGTTTTCATCGTATGATTTTTTGTGGGCATCGTCTTCGTGTCCATATTCAGAATGACTATCTCCGTGTTTCTCGTGGGCTTTCTCTGAAAATATTGTTTTTAAAACTGATTTCAGACCAACTACTGAAAAAAGGAAAAAAACTAACTGAAACCATCGTGACCATCTGCGTGATATCCCGAGTTATCCTTATGTTTTTGTCCTGCGGCGTGTTCATCTCCAGCATATTTCTTTCCGTGTTTTTCATCAGTATGATATTGTTCCATATGATATTGTGGTTGAACATATTTATAATCAAAGAATCCAAAAGATTTTGTTTTCAAATCTTTGTTGTAATTTGATTTGTCATCTGAATATTTGTTTCCTGATCCAGAATGATGCATTTCCTTGTTATGTTTGTGATCTCCACTGTTCTTGGCAGCTGCGTCGTGTTCAGCAGCCTTTCCATCGTGAGAATAGCTGAAGTTGTTAAATTATATTCTATTCGGAAGAATATTATCAAACAAGCATAGAATTTATAGAACAAACTCACTATTTATCTCCATAATCGTGTCCAGATTTTTCACCCTTGTGGTGGAAGTTATTGGCATGAGCCGCGTCGTCTCCGTGACCATATTTAGCGGAGTCATGCTCGTGTCTACAAAAGTGAGACATATGTATATAAAAACATAATAATATGAAACTCACTTTGAATAACTTGTTGGATGAGCCAACGCACATCCAAGTAACATCAAAGAGGCGATGGTGAATTTATTGAACATTTTCAGTTCAGATACTGATTTCTGCCAAACACAATTCGCTATTTATACGCTTCATCGAGGTCGTACTATTACTATTGTTATTATTATTATTTCAGTTTTTGCTTCTTCGACCCATTTCATGTCCGGTTTATTTTTTCTCTTTTTCTTCTTACATTATTCTGTCGGATGTAGTAGTGCAATAATAATTGTTATTATTACTATTATTGTTGTATAATGGATAACAGTAGTATAAAAGAATGATCAAATCTTTATTTTTCGACATCTGAACAAAAATGTTCACTTCAACTAAAATTGTATTTTCTTTTGCTATTGTTGCACTTGTTGCAGCTCATCCAACAAGTTACTCAAAGTGAGTTTACATTTTTTTAGATTTCATTTTTTAACACTTGGTTAAACACAGTTTTTTTCAAAAATAAGTCGATAGTGTTGTAAAAATTTTTTTTAGACACGAGCATGACTCCGCTAAATATGGTCACGGAGACGACGCAGCTCACGCCAACAACTTCCACCACAAGGGTGAAAAATCTGGACACGATTACGGAGATAAATAGTGAGATTTTTCTCATTGTTTACCTTTTGATACTTCGATGATCAAAAAATCAAACAATCATATTTCAGTTACTCTCACGATGGAAAGGCTGCTGAACACGACGCAGCTGCCAAAAACAGTGGAGATCACAAACATAACAAGGAAATGCATCACTCTGGATCAGGAAACAAATATTCAGATGACAAATCGAATTATAACAAAGATTTGAAAACAAAATCTTTCGGATTCTTTGATTACAAATATGTTCAACCACAATATCATATGGAACAATATCATACTGATGAAAAACACGGAAAGAAATATGCTGGAGATGAACACGCCGCAGGACAAAAACATAAGGATAATTCGGGATATCACGCAGATGGTCACGATGGTTTCAGTTAGTTTTTTTTCCGTTTTTCAGTATCTGGTTGAACTTTTTAAAATCAATATTTTCAGAGAAAGCCCACGAGAAACACGGAGATAGCCATTCTGAATATGGACACGAAGACGATGCCCACAAAAAATCATACGATGAAAACGATGGAAAATATGGAGACCATTCTGACGGATATTATGACAAAGGATACGACAACCATGGGCACGGACACGAAACACAATACTACGAGCCAAAATATGATTATGGTTATGACAAGAAATATTCTGCTCCATATCACGGTGATAACAAATATTATGGATACGAGGCCCCACATTACTAAATCTAAATTCATCAAAAATTCCACTTTCATTTTTCTTCTTCTTTCTTTTTTTTTTCGATTTTTTCTCCTGGGGGAAAATAAATGTATGTTCATTTCATTAACTATTCGGTTTCTCTGTCATAAAATTCGCACATAACTTGAAATTGATTTTTTGAAGCATGTTTTGTCTGAAAAGAAAATAGAAACATGCGTCACATTTTGTGAACAAAAAACTTTTTTGCTATTCATGAATGTTTATTAAAATGTCAAAAAAAAACGAAGTGGTATGAAGTGTTATGACAAAGATTTGCATAATTTGGAATCGGAATGAAAAATCACGGAGTATTCGAATCAAACAATCAACAAAATCAGTTTTTTGTGATCTATGAAAAAATGTATGCAAATTTTTTTTTATTTCAAGGGGGAAGGGTTAGAAAATTGATTTTTAAAATAAGACAATATTTTTTTTTCAAAAAATTGAGAGAAGTTTGGTAACCTTTGAAAAGTCAAACGATCAATCAAAAACCGTTAGTCCAAACAATCTTTCCTTTCTCATTTTTCGCTATTTTTTGTGTTGATCTCATCAATGAATTATCAAGTTTTTGTCCAATCTCAATGTCATTTCATTTTATGTTTGGTAGTTCTTTACTTCACTCTACATACATAGATCATTCTTCCTTTATTTCTCCCAGTTTAACACGTGACCCTAAATCTTATTTGCATCAATGATTTTGATACCATCGGAAGATATGAAAAACCAAACATGATGATGACATCATCAAAAAGATAAAAAACTTTTTCACTTAATTCCCCCACGATAAAAAATCAGGACCAGCTGTTGCTCCTTGTTCTTCCAATTTTTTTTCGGCATTCTTCCGATTTTTTTTGCTCAAGCTTGGTATGTATCCGACATTTCCGGAATAAATCAGCTGCAATTATCAGTTTTTTCACATACCAACATCTATTTTCTATAAATTTTTCTCTGGAATCTGCAAATATTATTTCACTTTTTAAAAAGCATTTCTCATAGGGAGTTTCCTTAAAAGGAAAACAAATAAACAAACAAACCAAAACCTACAAGTTTGATCTTTTGAATGTTCTACGCCTGATGTGTCACTAACATTTATATTTATATTTCCATATGACTTCTTTGAAATGAATAGAAGTGATCTCTGCAATAAAACCATACAAAAGTGCCCGCCCATTTTATCGTTTGCCCGATTTCTCGTGTACAGTATATAAATATGATAGATTACAACCCAACGATCATTCCTCAATGATACCATTGATCTGACATGATTTTCCAAAGATCAACCGGTTTTCCTTCTTCTTCAAAAATTTGACTTTATTCTATTTTATTTTGTCATCTACATAATAACATAGTCTACTCGTCAATTTGTCCTTTTCAAACTCTTTTTTTCCTCTTCAGAAAATCAGAAAAAATCTAATTTATTTTCAGCATACATTTTTCATTTCCCCCTGGAAATCTACAAGCTTTTTTGACAACTCTACAGAAGAACAAATGGGTAAGTTGTCACCTGAGATCTCAAAAAATATAAGCATGTAAAAAAACAACAAATTTTTTTCCTCCACACAACACACACTCACGAAAAAAGCCTACTCTTTCATCCGTTTTTCTCCTTCTTCTTCTTCTACTTTTTTTCCGCCTTTTTGTCATTTTATTCTTGAACTAAACTTAACATGGCTCCTCAACTAAAACTTCGAAGATCTGAAAGAATTATTGAAAAGACTCGAACAGTTGTGGTATTTAAAACGATTAAAAAATCGGAAGATAAAAAAGAAGAAAAAAGTTGGAAAGAAGAAGAAAAAATGTTAGCAAGCGGAAATTAGCATCTTGCTTTAATTTATTTTCAATTTTTCAGCATTCCGACAAAGTCCAATCGATATTGTACCACAAGATGTGTGCCACAGCGCCGAAGATTGTAAGGTAAGTTGAAATTTTTTGCCTAATTTTCATAAGTATTCCTAGAACCCATTATAAATTTAAATATTCAGGCTGACACTTTGAACATTGACTACAAACAAGGCGATTGCTGTGACGTCATTGTGAATGAATCAGGTTTTCGTGTAAACGTCAAAAGAAACTGTGTAACTTGTAAGTTCTTCATATGTTTTTTGCTTCTTCTTTCATTTTTTTTCGAAAAAATAGATCTCTGACATAATATATCTCTCCCCCTCTTTTTTTCCCTTCTCTTTATTTTTTTTTATCCGTTTTTTTCAGCACTCACAGCTGCTCATTTGCCCGCAAAATTCGAATTGGCACAATTCCACGCTCATTGGGGTTGCAATGGAAAAGTTGGGTCGGAACACTTTTTGAATGGTAAACAATTGAGCGGAGAGGTTCATTTCGTTTTCTGGAACACTAATTATGAATCGTTTGCTGAGGCTGTTGAGAAAGATGATGGACTTGCAGTTATTGGAGTGTTTTTGAAGGTTTGTGCATTACTGTAAATTAAAAAATTATGAAGAGCTTCCGATCTTCTTGCAAACATTCAAGATAACAATGTAGTTTTTGAAATTTTTGATAAGAAAACTTTCTGCCTGGATAAACAAAAATCCTTTAAGCTCACTACAATTTTCATATAAGCTCACTACAATTTTCTCAAAATTTTTTCTCAACAAAAAAAATAGAATACAAAAAACGGAAATCATATTTCCCACGAGTCTGGAGAAAATGTATGGAATGCAGCAATACCAACTTTGAATCAAAAATTTGAAAGAAATCAAAAACTAGAAAAGGGAACTATTCTATATCACTCAAAGAACAGTCATTCTTTTTTGTCCTGTTTTGTACCAATTTTTTCCCAATTAGAAATGGGATTAAAAAATGATGTTACAAGAAGTCAATTTCAAAATTTTGCAGGAAGGAAAATACAATGAAGATTATCACGGGCTTATTGACACTGTTCGAAAAGCAACCGGAAACAATTTGCCACTTCAAATGCCTAAAAACTTCCATATTGAACAACTTCTTCCACCAGTTGATAAACGTGATTTTGTAACATATTTGGGATCATTGACAACTCCACCATACAATGAATGTGTGATTTGGACACTTTTCACTGAACCCGTTGAAATTTCATATGGACAATTGAATGTGTTACGGAATATTATCCCTGAAAATCATCGAGAATGCCAAGATAGATGCGGACGCACTATCAGATCTTCACATTTATTAGATTTATAGATTTTTAAAAATTATTTTTCTGATTAGAAAAACCTCCCCACACATGTATTCACCCTTCTACCCGGTTCCAAAATAGTATTATGTATTGGTGCTATTTTTCTATACATACTATGTAATATATTATTGCTTTCAACAGAGTTTTATGCCAAAAAAAACAACTGATAATAAAATATATTTTCTCAAAAGTGATTTCTGATATAAAACCATCTATATTTGTTTGTTTTGGAATCGATTACGGCGGGAAAAATTGGCTACAGATTCCTGATAATGATATCAATAAGTAAACATAATACGTGTTTTCGAACGATCGCGCGAAAAAATTCTTTGCGTTGTGTTGTCATGTGACGAAGAGAAAAAGGTGAAAAATATGATTGATTGGGGCGCAAAAAATCATATTTTTCAGGAACTTTTTTTGTGTCGTTCGTTTAACCTGGGGTTTGTATACATACAGATAGCAGAATAGAAGAAAAAGAAAAGAGAAAAGAGAGAACGTTTCATTGACAAAGTTATTATTTACAAATTCTGTCCATGCAATGTTTTCCAATCGGTTCGCAATCTCTGTCAGTTCGACACACTGCAAAAAATCAAAATATTGTTCCAAAAATTCATCATGATTATTAATTTCTATAAGTTATTATTGTTAAAAATTAACTTTTTTTCGAAAAAAAAACCTAGGTGAGAAACGTAGGTTATGTAGGTTTTCAAATAGGTAAAGAAACATTCAAATTCCAAATTTCAGGAAAACAATACTTCAGAATATCGCATTTGTTTGAATTTTTTCACGTTTTTTTCCAGAACAAATTGAATGAACTTTAAAAAATTTGACAGAAATTTATAATAACCAACTTAACGTTATGAACACTAAATTTTCTGGAAAATACATTTGATTTCAACGAACTTCATCAGTTTCAGCATAAATTTCCAGAGTTAATAAAAAGTAGTGTATATGTATTTTGTTTCTTAACTTCAGTTTCACTAACGAGTTTGTTTAAAGTTTTGAATTTCAATTCCGCATCAGTGTTTTTTCAACAAAAACATGATTTTCTTAAAAAATCAAATTTGAAATCAAAATACGAGCTATTTTTGCTAATCGAATCAGAAATTGATACAAGTTGTTTTTGATATGAAATTCATGATTTCAGACGTCATCATACTCTGAACACTGGAAATTAATTACAGTTTTTTTAATTTCCAGAAAATTTGATGGATTATTTTCAGGTCTTCAGTAAATCAAAACCTCGGAAAATCAGGTAAAAACTCACAAGTAGTTCCAGATTGAACATGTTCATTCACCCCCATATAAGTTGATAGTTTACAGTATCTATCCACACAAAGATAACCATTTGAGCAATCATCATGATATCTGCATTTTGTATGAGTTTGAATTTGAGCTTTTGGTTTACATCGATGTGTTTCTTTAGGAGCTTCATTAGAGCAACCTAAAAACCTCGGAAGATTTTAGATTATTTTTTCTGATGTTCCAGTCTTACGTCTTGGCACAATACAATACCCATTTGAATCACAATGTTCATTCGATGCACATTGGCTTGAATATGAACATCTTTTACTGATTGAATCTTTTTGTCTTGGAGGGCATTGGCTATTATGGACACATTTATCTCCTTGATAAACATATCCAGCACGGCATTGACAACCAGAACGAGCACAGTCTTGCCTGAAAAAAATATTTTTTTTGAAAAGAAAAGATTCAAATAATCATAGCTTACTCGCAATATGGATGTTGGTCATCACAAGTTGGGCGACATGTTTGTAAACATCTTGCGTAAACTTGGTTCTCACCGCAGATTGCTGTGCAGATGTTTGCTAAAAATGAAAAAAAAATTAATTTCACTTTTCATTTTTTACATCATTTTGTCAAATTTTCAAAATTATACGCAGTTTCTTCTTTTCAAGTCAATAAAATGTTTTGAAAACCAGTTCAATTTTTTTTGCAAAACACAAAACTTCTTTGTCACAGCTGGATAGTTTTTATTTACAGCAAAATGTGAGAAAATGAATGATAAACCTAACCTAACCAAGTCACCCCAGCTACAAAACTTTCTCAACTTACCATCGCGTCTTACAATATTCGCGAAACAGATCGCTGAAAACGTGAGAGCTATCAAAATATTTCGTATCATTTTTCTGATAAAGCTTCTTCTCGAATTGACCTCATTTTATATATGTTATATTTTTTTCAATCAAACATATGTTCAAGCAAAACTTTTTATTGTTTATGATCTGAACTTTCTGGAATGAAACTACAAAAAAATCAAATTGATGATTGAATGAGTCAATAAATGTACAATTGGAAGCAAAAACAGAGAAGAGCAACAAAAAGAATTAACCAGAATATGAGTAACATGTTCCGTAGTTACAATATCTGTTTGATCCACAATCTGAATTATATGTGCAAGTTGAGGATGAGCCATATGTATTGTAGTTACTGTTGCTATTGTACATGCTAGATCCAGTGTTGGATGTCATTTGACAGTAGTTATTCATACATTTTTGATTGTATCCGCAGGATGAATCAGAGGTACAGTAGTCTAAAAATAGAAAATTATTCAATTATCTCATATGTTAAGTAATTCAACTCACTTCCTTGGGTGTATTGTGCATTGGTGTACATATTGGTTGATCCATATGAGTTAACACACATGCTGTTGCTGCAAGTTTGTCCAGTGGCACAATCTGATGAATATCTACAGTATGATCCACTGTTTGATGATGAATATTGATAATTATTCATTGAGTTAGATGAGCCATAGCTGCTTTGACATCTGTTGTTCCTGCAGGTTTCGGTTGATTTGCAAGCATAGTTGGAGCTACAATAAGTTCCAGATCCTGATGAATATTGTTGATTCATGTTGTAGTTTGATTGTGTGTTTACTCCTCCGTTGTAGCTCAATGTGCTCATGCATTGTCCATTGGAGCAAACCATATTGTTTGAGCAATCGTATGAAGAGCTGCACGATTGGTCTGAAAAATATTTATATATGAATTTGAAAATCCATTAAAAATCTTACATCCATTGGAACCATAGTTATTGTTATAGTAGCTGGAAGAATATGTTGCAGCTGAAGCGAAACCGCAGAGAGCCAGAAGAACGAAGAATTGCATGTTTTGCTGAATGATTTACTCTAACTTTGTTTCGTCTTTTTATACTATTTTTTTATTTACCTTTGGCTAAACATAACTCTTTTTTCATTTGGCAAGTAAATACATGTTATGGGCAGAAAGTCAACAGTTTTTTTCTACTTTGTTGATGAGTATCATAATTGAACTAAAAATAAAGAAAAAACTTTTATTTGATATTTGGATTGTCTTGTGATATAGTTTGTCTCTGTTGAGTTTTCTGCTTATTTGATCTCTCATTTTTTAATTGAGTGGCCGCGTGTTAATAAAACATTGTTTTGTGTAATGTTTGATCTGAAAATCCACATCTTGGCTGTTTTTCGTTGTAATTGTGTTCGGCGCGTGGTTTGTGGCAGACGATGAGTCACTGGATTTGAGCATTTGTTTATTGCAAACGGTTTGCTCTTTAGTTTCTTTGGTTACTTTTGCGATACTGTAGTCAATTATTTGTCTAAGGAGCCACGTTTCAACAAACGATTTTTAACCGCCAAGAGTCACAAGTTTAGGTTTGATCTTTTTGAAGACTTATTTGATATTCTCACTAAAGGCTCAATATGAGAAACTGTATATGTTGCAGTTAGCTTTCACGTAGACTTGATTTTGGACAAATGCCACAATTCGTAAGTAATTTCTGAATTTAAATTTTTTTTAATTGAAGTTTTTTTTAATTTTTTTGTGTGCGGCGGGTGGCGGGTCTCGCGGGGTGACCTGTTGTGGGGCGGAGCCTTGTTTTTTCTTGGGAAATTTGCATTTTTTTTGGGTTTTTGGATGAAAGCAGCTTTATGCGACTCAAAATCAATATTCCATAGACCAAAACACGGCACTCCAACCGGAGAACGTATTATTTCCATCAGTGGTAAACTCAATTCTCAAAGTTTCACCAGTTGAGAAGAAATAAGAGTCATAGGATGGTACAGTTCCAGAAAGAGATCCTAATTCTTCTCCCGATTCCTCGTCGTAGATCTTCACAAAATCATGGTATTGTTCGGTTTCGAATTTGTTAAAGTACATTGCCACTCTGAATCAGGTCAACGTTGTATAAATAAAAACATAAGTTCAAGTAACTCACGTTCCCCCGGGATTTCGAAGATAATAGGTGCAATTAAATTTATTTGGATAATTATTTGGATAATTTAGCGATGTTATAAGACCATCTGTGTACAACGATATTCCGCATTCCGATGCGCAGTTTTTCCCAAATTTTGCGGACCAACTATATTGTTCAGATAAATCACAATTGCTTTCACATTGATTGAAAATGAGTTTTATTTTTTCATTTGGAGATGTTAAAGGCATCATTTTATATTCTTCTTGATTTTGTTGAACAATAACAGCTAGAGGAGATGAATTTGAACCAGAATATAACTCGATTGATGATTTCTGAAATTTTCCTGACATATATTTTTGATCTTGGGTACACTCACCGAATCCAAATAAATATTATCGAACCATATGACAGCTGTACCATTTGTGACATGTAGATCATAATAACTGGGTGGAATTCCGCGATATTTATTGTAAGACATGGGATAGCTCGGTGAGTATATCTGAAAAAATAATACGACACTCCGCAGTTACACCTTCGGAACTTGAGCAAACTTTTGACGTAAAAGTTTAAAATTCAAAAATTGTTGAGAACAAATACGACACTCCGCAATGACATCCCCTTTTTTGGAGCAAAATTGTTAAGTTCAGAAATAGCTAAGGATGACTACGACACTCATTTTTTTTTGAAATTCAAACTTACAGTGCCTGTTTCTTCTCTGTACACAGATGTTGTTTGACACGTGGAATTCACAAACTTCCATTTACAAATAGCTGGCAACTGTGTTTCACATCCCATACTGTTCCAATTTCCATCTTTCAATGACATACTATAACATCTTCCATTGCTCATGCTAGTGAAATTAATATTCTTGAAATCCCATTTTGAATTATCACTCCAATAGCTTTCAGAATCTGTGGATATCATCGCACCAATATGAATTGAAGTGGTTGTTGGATCAAGAAATAATTTTGAGATGAATGTGTTTTCAGCAGATGTGTGAATCGAGACAAGACTTCCACTTCCAGAAGATATTTGCTCACAAATATTCAACGCTTCATCATGATATAAATCACCTGCGATTGGATAATAGCAATGATCTTCAAATTTATGAGAACAGGTGTCGGCCTCACAAACCGCTGCTAGATTTGAAGTGGAACAATCTGTACTCACCCATTTTCCTGTGGATGGCATCATTGTAACACAGTTCCCATTTGGGTGTTCCTTTCCTGCTTGAAAATTCTGGTAATTCGAAGATTTTATTTGATCATCCCAAAAACAATTGGCTTCCGAACATGTTAGACCAATCCATAGGTTTCCTTGATCCTTGGCAAATTTTGCAATCGCTGTATTATCGATTGCGTTATGAATTGACACAAGATTTCCGCCGAGTCGATTACACTGCTTTTGAAAGTAATCTCTTGTATAAACCGAACTCTGATAGTTTTCAGCTAGCAACTGTAATCATATCGATTTTCTTAATTTTGCTGACGCATTTTAATAGCTTTTAGATTTGCTGACGCTCATTCAGTAGCTTCTAGATTTGCTGACGCATTTTTGACACATTTTTTCTAGATCTCACCACTATACATTTGTTATTGATTGCTGTGAAGCCATCTCTACAAATTGTTCCGTTTGCCACGTGGAAGAGGAATAGAAAAATTGAAATTTTCCACATTTTCACGGAAATAAACTGCTTTGCTCTTATCTTTATAAGTTCTATGCTCAATTTTGTGATATTGTGATAACAGAAGAACAAAAAATCATCGTACTTATTGTTCGGAAAATGAAGTGAGATCACACGTCACTTCAGCTTCGAATGTTTCAATGTTGCGACAAAAATGATCTAAGACATTTGAAACTTGCTAATCTTCAGATTAATCTATGATCTATGAGGAAGTGAAGATAAATTATTTATTGAAATATTTTTTGATGGTTTACCGGGTTGTTTTCGGAATCTTATGTAAAATCAAGGTAGATCCATAAAAACCACGTTTCTGATCAAGATAATTGTTGTCTGTCTAGAGATATATGATCTTATTATATAAGATTGAAAACTTTTAATTTTTCTGTGAGTCGTTGAAAAAATGTATTTATTTTTAATAATACAAACATTATGTTGGCTTTTTTCCGCAAGCCACAGCTGTCGAATAAGATGAAGTTGAAGCCGCATGCAGACCGAGAAGCGTATATGTAACACCGTAACCCACCACAAATAGCGAGTCACCATATCTACCATCTTGAGCAGCGTCGAAGACTTCAGTACCAGTGGTAAAACCGTCGCTCCAAGTGTATGCTGTTTTCAAACTACACGTAGCTGTTTCTGGGCAATATTCGTGGTCTGAAAAAGTGTTCAAGATCTCACGCATTTTTCTGATGACCCACCTGCACATACACAATCACTTTTAACAGTTGCACCTAGAAAAATGTAAACAAATGTTGTGGGACTTCCGATAAGTAGAAGCTCTTCGTTGTTTTCGACAGATGAAATCACAGCACCAGCTTCGGTGCATTTTTGAAGGGCTGAAGTTTGGGTTGCTGGCGACGACAAACTCAAAACTTTAATACACCATGCACCCATGATTCGCTCGACTTTTGTCCAGCCAGCTTCGCACTCCAAGACTAGAAAAACAATTATTTTATTGTTGTCAGCAACCTGCCACTTACCCTTTGCTGGGGTTGTAGTAGTATAACCAGCAGCTAATTCAGATTCAAGAGTTTCAATAGCAATATCAGTTTCAGATCCAAGGAATGTTTTGTCGAGGCGAAGACAGGCGACTTTGAAAACACTGACATTTTTTCTATATCCTGGTGCGGAGTTTACAAGAGCACTTCCAGTGTAGCTGAAAATAGTTCTAGCTGTGTTTTTAAATAACTTTGTTTGAGTTCATTTGATGAATTATATTTAGCGAAAAGACCGTTGACAGTTTGTCCATTTGCATCGCATGCCAACAACGCTTGAATTATTTCTCTTGATCTAATATATCTGATGGTTGGTGTGTAGAATGCCTCGTTTAAAACACCTGGATAACTTGGAAGATAGAATCCGATGTTACCACATGGATTGCGGTGATGATTATCATAATCATCCTCATAATCATACGAATCGCCATCATATGGTGGTAAATATGGATATGGATGGAATAGTGGTGGAGCTGGATAATGTGAACCACCAGTGTTTGTTGATGGATATGATGCAGCCACTGTGGCAACAAGAACAGAGAATACAAACATTGTTGTGAGATGTAATGCTGAGAATGGAATATTGCCGCGTTTTATAGACGGAAATGTTGTGAGATGACTAATGTTGGAGAACTAAGAATGCGGAAGAAAACGCTTTGAAGGAGGAATGAAATCATTTCCATGGGAAGATCAGGAATATTAGGAAACAGTAAGACTTTTACAAAACCCCTCGAAAACTTTTTCTTCCGCATTCTCTGTTCATCCTACAACACACACATGTATGTCGTGAACTCTTGAACCAAAAAAATCTCAATTTTTCATCTTTTTCATTATCTGTTCAAACTCATTTGGAAATGTTTTTTGATCAATGATACATGAAATAAATGTGCTGAAGTGTTCAGATTCATATCCGATTTAATAGTCCCCAACTTCCGAAGTTCAATCCAACATAAATGTCTACATATGTATGTGCATATTCCCCATTTCCGATGCAGAATAATATATGAATGGATGGATAAAAAATGTTTGTGGTAGGTATATTGAAAATGTTTCAAATTGAGTATGCACATCTCTTTCAGCGTTAGCTACACAAATAAATGTCATTTTTTCTCATTCTCGCGCATTTGCGAGCACGAAAAAACGAGTGAATGAAATAGAATAAAATAAAATATGATGCACTTTTTCAAAGTTCTGCAAAAAATTTTTTTCAAAAAAAATCCCAATATTTATGAAATGGAAAAATACATAAAAATAAGGTAATTAGGGAAGAGAAAATAGACAAGATGAAGAAAGGAGGGAGTAAAATAAATTGCAAATCATAACATTTTTTGGCATTTTCAAAAAATTGGCGAGAACACGGACTTGGAAATGACTAGTAGATAAATATTATTTGTTTTGTTATTTTTTTTCTGAAGGAAAAAAAATAATTTGTTAGGAAGGAAAAGAAAGGGGAGGGGAAAAGATTCATAACATTTTTAATTATTATTTTTTAAGTTTTGAAAATAGTTTTATTGATCCTTCTTCATGAAAGCTCCAAACATTTCAACCGGCACTGGGAATACAATTGTTGAATTGTGTTCAGCTCTGAAAAATGTTGATTTTGTTTGCTTGATGGAAAAAATTGGGGTTAGATTTCAAATTTCTGAAAATAACTCAACTTCAGAGAAGTTTTTTTTTCTGAAATTTGCGAAAATTTTGATTATTTAAGGACACCAACAATCTAAAACCCCAAAGCTTCAAATTAGTACTTCTTTCGGAATCATCTATCCTAAATATCCAGAAAAATCCCAAATAAGTTCTACTCACGCAATACTATTCAACGCTTGCAAGTGTCTCAATTGAAGAGCAACAGGATTGGCTTGAATAACATCAGCGGCTTCTTTCAAAGCTCTTGACGCTTTTTGTTCTCCTTCAGCTGCAACAACTTTGGCACGAGCTTCACGAGCCGCTTCGGCTTCGGCCGCCATAGCACGTGTCAATTGTTGAGGAAGACGGATATCTTTCACTTCCACTCTTTCTACCTAAAAACAAGAAACTTTTATGTGATTTTTTATGATAAATCATGCAGAAATTGGATATTTTAATTGAAGAATTGATTCAATAGTTGTGCCCATTTACCTTAACACCCCAATGTTCAGTTCCTTCGTCGAGAATTGTCTCGCAAAGTTGAGCGATCGCTTCACGTTCCGTTAACATTTCAGTCAAAGTTTTCATACCTGAAAAAATTGGAATTTGCTGGATTCATGTTGTATGTACTTTGAAATTTGATACTTTTCGGGAAAGTTCGCAAAATTTTCGGGTTTTGGTGTTTCTTCTACCGTAGTGTTTTTGGAGTTGTTTGGTGGGAGGATTTTCGATTTGAAGTTTATTTTTTAATGATTTGATTGCACACTTTTCAATTTCTTAATTTTCGCAAAAGTTGTTCACAATGTGTTTTCTAATCTTTGCCATCCGTTTTTCTTCACCCATACAATCAACACAATTCTCAACAAAAAATCCCCTTTCCTTCCTGAAACCCACACATACATTCATTCACACAAAAAAATCCTGATAAACAAGAAATGCCCCTTCCCCAACCAAAAAAAAACGTCGGAGAATAGAAACTATGTCTCTTGGGACAATTTTTGGGCAAATTGTGTGCACACACGTCAGGCTTATTCATCTCTTTCTTCTTTTCTGGTTTTTTTTGTTCTGTCAAAAAAAGAAGAAAACTTGAACAAACCAAGAGCATTTCTCAAAGTTGTTTGAGCCAACAGTTTTGTTGAATAAATCGCATCATCGACATTGTTCACTGATGCGATTGGATCAGATGTTCGGAAATAAACGACAGCATCGACAGAGACTGTTACTGAATCTTTGGATAGAATTTCTTGAGGAGGTACTGCATATGACACGACACTAGAAAAGTGGATAATTGGGTAAACTCGTGATGAATTGGGGTAGAAGAAGAAATTTTTAAAAAAACACGAGGAAAATGACTAACCGAAGGTCGATTTTACGATATGTATCGATACATGGAATGATGAAAATCATACCAGGTCCTCGAGCTCCGCCGAAAACCAATCGACCGATTCGGAATATGACAACTCTTTCGTATTCTTTGATAACCTGGAAATTGGGATTTGAAAGAGTTTGATGGGAATTGCAATGATTTGGAGGAAAAAACACTCATTGTCAATGGAAAAATTGCGTGACAAAGTATAATTTTTCATTTGAAGATAATGTAGCCCTTCTGAAAATTGGGCTTTTTTGCAGAGCTGAGAAGCGATTATGAATAAAGAATATTTGAAGTTAGGCAATAAATTCAAGTTTGATTTCACAGTTAAATTTGAAAATTACAGCGGAAAATTTTGAATCGGCTTTCATTTTTCTAGTATCGGAATTAGATGGTCATTTTTTTCTATGGTTATTTGGATCACCTAAAAGAAAAAGGATTTTTCCGCGTAAAATTATGATGCGAGTTTAACACTTCGGATCTCTTTAGATTGAAAAGTCGATATTTTGGGTTTCCAAATTGCAAAAAAATTTAAAGATGGCCCCATTCAAAAACTCCTTTGTAAAATATGTTGTTTCTAAAATTCTTCATACATTTTTGAAGATAATAAAAAATTCCGTTTCCCGAAATTTGAACTTTAACGTCACATACATCTACTTCAGAATTACTAATCATCCAGGCTCAAAAAAATCAGCAATATTTTTTAAAATTATCTACAGTATTCTAGATTCCTTTACTTAACTATATTTCATTCTATTTTAATTTTCCTGTTTATCCATTTCTCCCCTTTCCTTCCCTTTCACAAAGAAAAAACCGAACGAAAAAATGAAAACCAATCAAAATCTACTCCAATGAATAACAAATCATTATTTTTCCTCTTCTCTTCTCTTTTTTTTGCTCAATTTTTTGGCTAGTCCAAAACTTGGCAAATAACAATTATTCTTCATTTGGTTTGTGAAAGGCGAACATTTCGAACACACTTTTTGGCCGATAAATCATTTAGTCTTGGACATTTATTCACGGAGAATTAAATTGAATTCATTTTAATTTAATTTAATAAGCACAATTTATGAAAACCCAAAAGAAAATAGCTTACCTTGAGACATACACACATTGAAAATGGGAATGTAAGTATAATAAGTAGCCATGATAATGCTTGAAGTGCATAACCAAATATTGTTCCTATAGTCTCATAATCTGGAGGTACATCCTGCAAAAATAATCACACATAAAACAACAAAACAAGCAGATTCTTGTGTGATTGAAAAACAGGCCACTTCAAAATGTTATTTTTTTTGAAAATCATTTTTTTTCGGGTTCGGTTGGGAAATTGATACACATTTTTCAGCAGCAAAAAATCAATGAAAAATTAATTCTCAAATTCGAATACTCTCAGTTGAAAAAAAAAGATCCTGGCTCAACTTCATCAATGTTATGCTGCTTAAAAATAATATCAAAAATTCCCAGATTCCAATTTGAATCCTCCCATGAACCAGAAAAATGTGTGTATTTTGTGCATTTGTTTTGTTAAAGCGGATAGATTAGTTTGAAAGAATAGTGAAAATAAACAACACATTGAAAATGTTGAGAAAAAAATAGAAGAAGAAGAAGTTAGTAGTTGGACACACAAATAATAAACAAACTCGTGCCGAAAACAGGTGGTGAGATGAAGATCCCCGCCAATATAGGTTACAAAAGGTTAGGTTCACATTTAAAAGCTTTGGTAAAAAAAGCTTTATGCTTTTTTTTTGAGTTTTTTGTTTCATTGAAAATGTGTCTGTTTTTTTTCATTTTTAGTGGCATTGGGTGAAAATGGTGAGTGAAACACGCACTTGCTGTGATACCTGATTTGACGATGGTGTAACCCATTGAGGTTCCGTTCTTTCTTTACTTGACATACCCTGCAAAAAAAAACTTTTTATTATTAGTACTGATTTCAAAATATAAAGGTAGAAAGAAACGATCGCTTTCGGGTTACCCTAGTAACGTTTTTTTTAGTTTAGTTTTGTTCCGAAACGCGCACGACACATTGAAAAAAACGGACGGACGGAAAAAATAAATCGTTTTCGTTTTTCCCTTGAAAAATTTCCAATGAGTGTGTGAAGTAAAAGATGAAGAAGAATAGAAAAAAAAACTATTTTCAAGTGCCACCAACGTCTTCCGGATAAAAAAAAGGGGAAAAAAGAGGGGAGCTCAAAAAGAGCACCAAGGATATGAAGAAAGGAATGAAAGATTTGCACTTCCATTCATGCGTTAAGCGAGGAGCTTCATTGACTTTTGAAAAAAAACTTTTTTTGGGGAAAGAACCTCAATAATATTCTATTCTACAATATTCTACTCAATTAACGTGTCAATCAAGAGTCTCCGGCTCTGCTAACAAGAAAAAATGGGCCACCGAGCCAAAAATAAAGTAACACACATATAAGTTTTCAGAACAGAACAAAAAAGTAAAATCAAAACAGGTGATTTTTTGGGGGTAATGTATTGTTTCGGTGTAGTAGCGTGAATGAAGAGAAAGCAAAGAAGAAATGATTCAGAAGAGCATGTGTGTAGCGGCTGAGAGTAATTCAATAGGCTGGCTCTCTTCTTTCGCCAGCCACACGGACACGCCCCAAGTTTTTTTTTCGAAAAATAGAAAAAAAAACGAAATGCAAAAAGCAGAATGAAATAAAATAAAATGAAACAAAATCTACCAAGTTTCGAATAATTTTAAAATTTTTAGAAAGGGGATCTGGATTAGGTAGATCTCAAGAAACAGCAAAATTTTTCAGTCATGAAAAAGGTGGGAACACACGATTAGAAAAATATAATAAGATTTTGTTTTGTCGCTGTTCCCAGATTTTTTAGTACAAGAATGAAAATATTTCAATATAAATATCATTTTTCGCGTCATTGAAATTAGAAATAAAATATTCTCAAAATCCACTTTATGATTTACGACTTCTGATAAATCATACATCCCGTCATTTTTTTAATATTTTAGTTATTTCACAAAGTTAAAAAAAGTCAATGAAATATCTTCATAATTGTATTATTAAAATATTTCTTGTTAGCAAATTTGAAAACATTCATTAAAATTTCCCAACAACAACACTATAAATGAGCGAAAAAGTCGAGCCGGGTGGGTAATTTGATGTGACAGCGGAAAGGACGCAAAGTTTTGGGCAAGAAAAGAGCAATTTTTGATTGAGTGCCTCAGGTCGAGGAGGGTATAATTATATTACTCGAATAAATAACAAGTACACATACATCACATGTGTGTGTGCTTTTTGGTTAATCGTCTTTCTCTTTTTTTTTCTGGATAAATTTGGGGGTTGGTTGATGATTTTTGAGATGTGATGTGATATATACAAAAAACATGTACATGTTTTTTCAAAATTTTTGGAGCGTGAGGAAAGGTGAATTTTTGAACAACTCAGCTTTGGTAGATCACAGATTTAGTTAGTGACTGAAAAGAGTTCTGGAAAAAGAAAAGGAAAATCTAAAATTTGAAGAGAAAAGCTGGAATTCTGGAATTTAAGCGCGAAATGACTTATAAACCAAATTGGTTGTTTTTCTGATTTTTCTGTTTCTGATCTTTTATGCTCAAAAAATTCAAGAATTCAAATATGTAACTAATCATTTTCTATTTCGAAATTATAGTAATTATTCTAAACATTTTCTGAAAATGTTGAAACATTAAATTTTCTCCAAAAAAAAGTCACCTGCTTCACAGCTACACTGTTGCTTCTACGACAAAAATCCAGGTGGTTTTTCGAAGCAAAAAATCTCAAGAGAATGAAAAACGAAAAATTCAAATCCTTGGTAACAAGCAAAGTAAAGGAAAAAATCAAACATTCCCTCTTTTTCTTCCAATTAGCACAAAAAAGGATATCTTCTCGTTTTTTGCTCAAAAAAATCTCATTTTTTGCTTTCTGGATCTCAAGAGAATTCGTTGAGCAAAAGAAAAAACGAGCAAAAAAACTCTCGAAAAATTTTTCCGAAAGCCGAAAAAATGAAAAAGAAGAAGAAGAAGAAAAACGAGTTGTACATAAAGAATGAATGAATGACAAGTTAGTAACATTTTTTGATTAGCGGCATTTTTGACGAGAAAAATATTCAGAGCAGAATACGAAAAAATGAACGGGTTTGGTTGGGTTTGAATGAATGAATGAATGAATGAAAAATCGCGCGGCAAGCAAAAGAGCAGCAGCAAAAAGCAGTAATCCGGTTAATTCTCAACAAAATGAACGTACATGGATAAAATGCCATTAAAATTTATGTTGTTCTTCTTTCGCTTTGCTCTGCTTTGTCGATTTTTTTCCAGTTAATCGAGAAAATGGTTCAACTAGTGATTAATTCATAAGAAATTTTTTTTTCAAAAAAAATTCGAAGCTTTATGAATAATTAGAGGGTATAAATAATGCGATTAATAATAGGGATTAGCAAGAACATGTGGACATCATCGTCAAAAATCGTCAAAAAGTCCTGTCATCGTCAAAAAGTCCTATTTTTATTGCTTGGTGATTTTTGGTTTTTCAAGGATTTCTGATTTTGAGACAAATTTGATCTGAATGTGAGAAAAATGTTTGAAAAAGTATACAAAATTCAGATTTTCAGCTACGAAATTGAAAATGCTGGAATAACTTTTTAATCGCTGAAATTTTTTCAAGCGGTCGGACCACCCACGAAGCTATTGACTTGTAACGGTCTACATTGAATATTGAACCAGTCAAAACCCGAAGAACTAAAAAGAAGTATGAAATTCAAGTCCTACTGTACGCAAAAGTGCGTCACGGTGTTTGCACCTATCGCGACATAGGCACTTTAAAATTTGAAAATAACAATTTTTCAGCTACTAAATTTTTTTCAGCTTAAAATATCAAAATGAAACGTGACTTTCAACAGCTACTATTCGAAATTCGAAATGTTGCTAACTCTAGACAGCTGAAATTTCATTAACTTTCTTATTTTCGAACAAACAATTCTTCCTTGAAAAATGAGAAAGCAAGCAAAAAAAAGGAAGAGAAGTGAAAAATATCGCGGAAAAACAAGTAGTCAGTGTTTTTGACCAATACAAATTAGATGCACACCACCCAAAAACAATCATGTGTCGGTTGAAAAATGCAATGCACAAAACTAATTTCCCGCCGACGAATTTTCCCATCCCTCTTTTTCTTTTTTCTTTATTACATCCTTCGAAATCTTTTCACAAGCTAACATTGAAAAAAAAGTGTTTTTTTTTGCGTTGAAGATTTCACATATTTCAGAAAAAAAGATCGAAAACTAAACATAGTTTCGATTCGTTTCGAAATAAAAAATGCATACAAAAACTATTAGTTTTCTTTTTTTTTCTGTTTCTTGAAGAAAAAATGTATTGAAAAAAAATGAAAGAAGAAAAAATGAAGCAACAACAACTATGGAATTTCTGTCTGTCATAAACACAACTTATTGTGAAATGAAAAATGAGCGAGAAAAAAACGAACAGAATAAAAAAACAGGAAAATGGAAGAAGAAAAAAAAATAGAAAGAAAAAAATAGTAATGAAAACTCATGCATAAAAATGTGAAAAACACTCCAATTATTTCTTTTTTCAGCTCTCTGGGAACGCAAAAAGAAAGGTTCGAATAGCAATCATTCTACGGTATTTTTTATTATTTGTTTGGAATGGGATGACTATAATTATGCCAATCAAATGAAAATATATGAGAAGATCTCGATATTTTCAATTTCCTTGTTATTCTATTTTTCGATTCACCCAGGTTAGGTTTGTAAGCAAGAGAAAAACTAATTATTTTTGAATGCATTGGATTCAAAGATGAGTGTGAGAAGAATATTATATTAGTTGCTAATTTTTACGTTTCATGTGAACCTTGAAGAAGTGCTAATGTGAAAACCGCTCCAAGACTGAAAAATTCTAATATTTCAGTCCTGGGCCCGGAAAATTCAAAGATTTTTTTTGGCAACTTTCGTGAACATTTAAATGTTTTGGGGGTTCATTTTCTTCTGTTGGGCTTTTGTGATCAAAAATTACACACTGTGAAATATTATAAATTTTGCAAAATCATAAGAGGATTTGCAAAATTCAGAAAAATTGTTTTCATATAGAATAAGTCAATAAGAATTATTCGAAAGTTTTCTGATTTTTCTAAAAATCATATAATTCTGATAAAACCAAAATAAAAATACATCGAAATCAGAAGATCAAAACGACTGAAAAATGCTAATGAATTCAGAAGTCTGCAAAGTTTGTGAGTCATCAAAGTACATTATGAAGAAGCCTCGCAAAAAATTATGTCTATGCTCTTCCTTCTTCAAAAACTTGCTCTTTCCAAACATTTCAAAATCTTCAACATCCTGAACCAATTGACCAGATGTTTATGAGTTTCAAAGATGCGAATATGTTTGTTTAAAAACCGCAAATAATTATTTTTTCAACATAAATATTTTTTTTTTCAGATTTTTCTCCTAACAAAAACAGCACATAAATAAATAAATATATACAGGATCAGCCAAAAACAACACACACTCAATTTTTTTTAATACATACACCACACCGGGATTAGTATGAATATAGTATTTTCCCGAAAAACAACTTTGAATCATAAAAAGAATATTATAAAAGTGTCTGAGTGAGTGGAGCAAAAAAAATAGTGAATGAGGGAATAAGCAAAGTGAGTGAAGGAATGAAGAAGAAGAAGAGACACGGACCATTGAGATAGCAAAAGTCAGAGAAAGAAAGCACCAAGTATTTTTGGGTGTGAAAGAGAAGAAGAAGAAGAAGAAATGTCTGAAGGAATAAGAAAAGAAGAAACGAGCATATACAATCGATTCACTACTTCTTGCTCTTTTCTTTTTTCTTCCCTTTTTCCGAATTTTGTGCCGTTAGTACCCTCAGGGGAAAGAGAATAAGAATAAGCAAAAGCATAAGAATGAAAATAGGAATAAGTATAAGCATCAGTTGAAAAAAGAAGATACAAAGTGTGTGTTTCGAAAAAAAAAAGAATTATGACGGTGTATTTTTGAGAGTCTTGTGTTGTCTTGACAAATTAGGTTTTCTCATCCCTCCTCTTCCTAACTGAATATATGGAAAAAGGAGAAAAAAAAAGTTTTGAAACAGAAAGAAATGTGATTAGGCTTAGAAACGAAACGAACGAGAAGCTTTTTGAAGTGAAGTGAAGTGAAAAACTTAATTTTGTTTTTGGCCAAGACAGGAAAAATACTAGAACAATATTTTTGCGAGCAGCACAACCGAAAGAATTTTTTGCTGTGTATGTGTGTTTTTTTTTTTTTCACAAGAGAGAAAGGTGCAGGTGGAAAAAGTGTATATATGGCGAGGAGCAATTTGAGGAACACCGGATGTTGGTAATTTTGTTTTTTCCCGCAAATGGAAAATGTGTGTATTTGACAGAAAGACAGGAAAGAAATAAAGAAAGTATTGCCGAAAAAATATATTACTTTATTAGAGCCGAAGAAAAGGAAAAGGCGAGAAAGTACAATTTGGCTCGTTTTGTTGATTAGGAAAGTTAGTTAGCTAGAAATGTTGGATTAGCTGGCTTTTCGTCTTTTTTTTTTGTTTTTTTTGGCGTGGCTTGCAACGAATTATTGGAAAACTGATGAATTTCAGAGTTTCCCAATAAGAAGGTGAAGAATTTGAGGGTAGAAAATTAACCTTCAAGTGGTTTTTGATTTCTAGAATATGAATTCTGAACTGGGAATTTTTTATTATGATTCTCACATTCAGATCTACAATCAAAGCTTGAACAATATTTTGTTTTCTGTTCTATTTTCAAAAATGGAATTCCTTGAAAAATCTGACAGCTACAGTTACAATAAAAACATTTCAGAAACCTTGAACAATATGAAATTAATCAATTTCAGCAGATTTTTGGGTTATTTTTTCAACCAAATTATTCTGATCACAAAATATTTGTCAAACGTTATTCCTTGAAAAATCTACGAACGACCTATCTAAAAAAAACAAAATTACACCCTACAAAAGAGGCCATCATAAATCTCTCATATTTTTTGAAAAACATGAAGAAATGATTTGTGAAACATATATTTCCTCTCACACTCATCACAACAACACCTGTCATTTCAAACCAAACCCAACATTTTCTTTTTGCTGTCCAGCAAAAACCTTTTCATATCATAAACAAACTTCTTCTCTTACTTATTTTCACAAAAAAATGAGGGCATACGAGCAACAACAAAAAAAGAAAAGGCAAATGAGAACAATATTTACAACAATAACAAATTTTGCCTGCTGAAGGCAGCAACGAAAGAAAATTTGTGTATACAAAGAAGACGCTTTGACAGGATTCCGTGGGAATGCAGCAGTCTAATTGTTTTTGGATTAGAGTAGAGAAGCTATTTTTTTAACCAACCAGTGAGATGCAAAGAGGCACGAAAAATATAGAGGAAACCCGAGATTTTCTCTAGCCATTTTTTCTTCGTTTTTTCCCTTCATTTCATTTCAGATGAAAAATGAATAATCGTGAGAAAATTATAACGAAAAAATAAAACGAGTCATGCAGGCAGGCAGCCAATAATAAGAATAATAAGTGCTCAATATTCATCTTTTTAAAATCGCCGAAGCATCACAATTTTTGGTATTTATATTTAGAGAGGAGAAGAAAGAAAGCTCATTGTTCAGAAATTACATATTCTGGATATTTTGGGCAATGCTAGGACATTTTTGTCATAGGCTTTTATGCAACGGGGAGACTTTGAGTTGGGAAACTTTAAGTGAAATCTTGAATCACAGAGACGATTCATTGATGTGGATCATAAAATGAATTACATTTTTTGAAAAGGGTTAAGTTTTTTAAGAGAAAATCGCGGTCTCACTGATGTGACAAAATTCTAACTAGTAAGAAAAATTCAAGAAAGTACATTTTCCATGAAATAGCTTTCTGAGCACCAGTTTTTGTATAAACCTATCAATAATCAACTAAAATTATGGTAATTCATGAAAAAAACAACAAAAAATACGAGAATGAAAATTTTTGAAAAACAAAAAAAAGAAAATAAAAGTAAAAATGGAAATGCGCCCTATTGATAAACATTGCATGTCGCACTCTCTCAAAAATGTGTGTGTTTTGTCGTTGTTGTTTTATTAACAGACTAAAAGCGTGTGAAATGTAGCTTTGGTAGGTAAAAAAAAGTTCCAATTGAATTGCACAGTTTCATTTTCAGATTAATTTTCATAATCTGAAATAAATGTTGCAATTCATAAGTATTGTTCCAGCATCATCAGAATCTTCTTCAAATATCAATCTTCAAAAATCTCTGAAAATGATCAAAGTCAAAATTCTTTTATTAAAAATCCAAAAGAATATTTTTGCTAGAGGAATTTCACGTGAAACAGTTTATTAATATCAATGAACAAACTTTCAATTTCCGATAGAACAAAAAACAAAGAAACAGTTGTAATTTCAGCATTCTTTGCTTTCTATTCTTTCAAAACAGGCCTATGAACTTATCAATGAACAACCAATTTTCAGACATTTTTTCAGCCAATAACATCTCCACAAAAACTTCCTTTTCCAAAAACTATGTCGCCGTGTTATGCTATATGGGTGGAGCGAACAACGACGAAACGAAACACTTTTTTTTTCTCCGATCGTACTTTTTGCAAAAATGATTGGTTTTTTCCAAATATTATTAGACACTTCTTCGAGATTATTAAACTATCCTTTCCTTTCAGTTTTTCAATTTTGTCTAGCAAAGCAGCGTTATCATTTTTATCATTTGTTGTTTTCCGTGGATCTAGCGCAATAGCTTTTTAAAATCGTATCATTCATTGATCTGAGCATTATGAGCTTCAAAAGTATCCGATTTTCTGGTTGGTTTTTATTGATTTTGGATGGACTGAAACATATTCATTTGGATTTTCCTATACTTTGGGCAACTTTAAGACAACTCTAGCGTTATGTTTTTCAAAAAAAAAATCCAAGCTCATCTTCATGAGCAAAATAACAATTTTCAAAAAAGTGAAAACATACCAGACTATCGTAAAAAATTATTCACAAAAAAAGACCGCGCAAAACGCTTACTAATCATTTGCATTGTCTCATTTGCGACTCCCAATTGCTATACCTCAACTTCTTTTTACCCTTTTAATACTTTTTTTAGGTAGATAAAATTTTTTTAATCTTAATTATTTATTAATAGTTTTTGCTTCTCACAATGATATTTCAAAATAATTTCTTAAAAACTAGGCTGAACTCCATTTCGATAATTCGAAAATTCTTGGACCACAAGATTAACTTGTTTTAGATTTCAGAACACTCTTTGAACATTTTGGAAAACTCTGAGAGACCAATTCTGCTCTTATAATTTCGCAATACATTTTTGACAGTGTCTTACCCGATGAGTAATACCCATAGGAAGTTTTTTTGTCTGGCGATTCTTTTGTATGTTTGTCTGCGTCTCTTCCATTAACACTACTATTCTTATACACTGGTCTATGTTTTTTTTTTCGAAAAAAGACACGACACTATTTTTTGAGGGCAATTATTTTGATTAACGCTTTACCATAAAGTTTTTTTTGCATTTTTTTGGGAAAATCTTAAACTTTTTACCAACTTTTTCCAGCTAATTCCACAAACATCGATAGGAAAATGCATGGTGAATACGAGCTTCCAAGTAATGGAAAACAAGTTTCATTCTTCCAAAATTCAAAACACTTTTTATCCGTCAGAAACATATTGGAAAACTCGATCAATTGCGATCTACACAACAAAAATGCATTATGGGAATGTGTTTTCCGAATGGAATCTGAAACAAAAATCAAACGACTCTGTGTGTTTTGCGGTGCTTTCAATAACGAGGTCCAGAAGAATTGGACTGAATCAATGAGAATGGCTGTTCATATTATGAGAGTGAGTTTTTTTTGGGGGAATTGGGGGTTGAAAATTTGAATGGATGAACCTTTTTTAATGTTACAAAAGCATCACACTTTTAAGAAGTTAGAAATTTTTTGTTTTCAGAAATTCCGAGTGGAAAAAATTGAATCGACAACTTTCGAAAACGACATTGAAGATGTTCATTGGGAAGAGTGAGTTTTAAGATTTTCTAACATTACGCTGAGAAAAACTAGAGTTAAAAAATGAAAAAAAAAGATTTGTTAACAAAAAAAAAAAAAAAATGATCGATGATAAACATGATATCAAAAGATCATCACCACCCTACGTACTTTTTCCAGCAAAGCTTGCCTTCGCCGTGCATTTGGCTTCAAAGCAGAATAACTGCAAGACGTCGATCAAGCTACTCGCAGCTCTGTTGAATTTCTGATGTTTTTCTGATTGTCTCAAAACAGCAAACTAACTAAATTATAGTTGATCAATCAAATCAAAAAGATATCATCAAGTTTTTCTTACAATCTTTTGATATTTTATTATTTGTTCATATTTTCAAAGATGCCCCCTTCATACATACTTTCACCTGTTGCAATTTTCTGATTTTTGTTGTATTTCTCATTTCCTATTTCCTACTAACAGTAATTCAGTTAACTTGATAATGTTCGTTTATAGTTTATTTCCTTTTTGTTTGTCATCAATAGTTTTTTTACCTTTTGAAATGAAATAAATAAATGGATCTACCTATTGAAAAAAACAAAAAATACTAACTGGTTTTGCAAATCTCTCTCACATCAGTTTGGATTTTTATTTTTTCATTGAAATATTCATGTATTTGAAAAAAAAACTGAACTTTGTGAACTTTATCTTTAGTTTTATATATCACTTTGTATTCTAGTAATTTTTCCATGACAAATTCTAGAAAATAAAAATTGAAAAAGTTCCCTTCTCATTTTTTGCATACCTAATATTCAAGACAGTTTCGAGAAAGAAAAAATGAAACAGGTTTTCAGGTATACTGAAACTGTTGATCTATGTTTATTTCCTGTACCAAATGACTATCATTAATTTTTCCCAAGGAGACCAACACAAAAAAAGAAAGTTCCTTTTGATCAAATCGAATCAAAATTCCATGAACCTTCTTTTTCAACCCGCTCGCCAAATTCATTTGTCACGTGTCTTCTTTTATAATTTCAAAAAATCAGTCTTTTGATAAATATAAATATATGAAAATCAAACATGCATTTGAATATTGATAAATCATCTTTTTTTCTTCTTCTACTATTTTTTATTCGAAAAAATTAAATAAAGATATGCCTATTTCAAGTTGACACGTGGGGGGATTTCTCACTTTCTGCAACAACACAAAAAACATAAATTATTTGATCATAAATAAATATGCTAAACCGTTTACATGTTTTTTTTGTGGTTTATTTGTTTCAATCTTCGGTTTAGTATATTCAATATTCATGTTTTGCACCACAAACAATATGATCATATTTCCATTTTTCTTTCTTTTTATATCTCTTTTTTCTATATTCAGTTTGTTATTTTTCATTCCAGATTCCACCTTTTTACATTTTTCTGATGAGATGGTTCAATTAAATACAGTTGTTCCAACTTCTGCATTTCCAAGACCTAAAACTACTCCCCAATTGGGTTTGTATGTATATTTGATTGCTTTTTGCGCCGTTATTGGTGGATTTTTATTCGGATATGATACGGGAATTGTTTCTTCTGCGATGCTTTATGTCCCGAAAAATGAAGATATGAAACCGATGGGAAAAGTTTGGCAAGAAATTATTGTCAGTGTGACTCCAGGTGAGAATTTTGAGGTAAAAAAAAGTACCCTTCAACATATCATTTACCTTCAACTTTCAGCAAAAGAGTGGTAGAATTTTGACCTTAAAATACATAGTTTCTGTGTAGTATGCACTCCTTTGTGTGTAATAATAATTGTTTTTGATGATAGAAAATCATGTTAAATTTAAAAAAAAACTTTTCAAAAAATAAAATAGTGTCAAAATTTTCTCACCGCTTCCGATAAAAAAGGTTTATGAGACATTTTAGACTATTTTCCCAACGTGGAACCTATTCAAGAAGGTTGGGACTAGGAAAACTATGTAAAATAATGTAATTTATCTACATAGTAAGGGGGAACATTGTAAAATTTCACATAGTTAATTTTTCAGGCTTCGCAGCTCTTGGAAGTTTATGTGCTGGCCCAGCTTCTGACAAATGGGGGAGAAAAAAAGTTATATTAGTATCATCCTTCATTTTCACATTGGGTGGTCTTCTTTGCGGTATCGCCATTGAAAAATATATGCTTCTTGTCGGCCGTATTCTATTGGGATGTGCGATTGGTATTTCATCAACAGTTGTTCCGATGTATGTTTCAGAATCTAGTCCAGCACATATCCGAGGACAGCTTTTAACTGGGTTTCAACTTATGATAACGTTTGGATTACTAGCTGCAAACATCCTTGCTGGCGGGTTTAGTTATATCGATCCAACAAATCTTGGATGGCGTTTGATGATGGGATTTGCTGCGGTTCCTGCAGCTATTCAATTTGTCCTATTCTTTTGTCTTCCTGAAAGCCCAAGATGGTTATATCAGAATGGACAAACTGAAGAAGCTAAGAATGTTCTACAAAAAATCTATTCGAATAATAATTTATGGGTGACTTATGAGATTGGAGAAATCGATGCACTTTGTAAGGAAGAAAAAGTTGCGATGGAAACTACAAGTAAGGGTTTTATAAAGATTTATTTTCTATGTCAACATTTTTCAGAAGACTCTTCTACTCTTGCTCGTATCTTGAAAACTCCACATGTCCGAAAAGCCCTGATTATTGGATGTGCACTCCAAGCTTTTCAACAGTTATCCGGAATTAATACAATCATGTTAGTTATCCTAATTCTATGCTAATTTCAAACCTCTTGACAAAAATAAATCTTTAGGTACTACACCGGAAAGATTATTCAAGCATCTGGTATTGGAGATGAGCATACTGTAATCTGGATTAGTGTTGGTATTTCAAGTGTCAATTTTATTTGCACATTTATTCCAATGTATTTGATTGATCGAGTTGGAAGACGAGTTTTGTTAACTGTTTCAGTTTTGGGTGTCGCGATTACACTTTTATTGATGGCATCATCATTTTATGCAATCAATATGTGAGTCTTTTGTCTTCTTACATCACAAACTCAATTTTTTTCAGTGACTCAGCTCCAAGTATTTCTCCAGCATTCCCATTGCAAGGCTTCGAATCCAATAAATGCTTCGGATTCAGTAATTGTGATTTCTGCGTAACCGATGAAGCGTGCGGTTTCTGTCAACCAGTGGGAGTTGAGAAAGGGTATTGCTTACCAGTCAATAATGATAATTCATTATCTAAAATTGGACCTTGTATGAATTCAACAGAAACAATGCTCGCCAAATATGTCTGGTCACCTGATGTTTGTAAATCTCGTTTCACTTTCTTGCCGATTGTTCTTATGGTTGTGTATCTTTCGTTTTTCTCATCAGGTGGGTTGATTTTTGAAAAATATGTACATTTTTGAAAATACGCATATATCTATCTAAAGATTAGAAAAAAAAGAGAGAACATAAATAGAAACGGGAAATATTTGGATAATGAATATGTAACACCGTGAAATGAGTAGAATAACACAAATATCGAGTTACATTTTCATTCAGAATAGTAGAGAATAGTGTTTGATGTTGGAGAAAAGGTTTCTCGGTTGGGTAAAAAACAAAGAATCATAGACTAATCAATTTCCTATTTCAAAAATACATTGTATTTTTGGAAGAAAAAACTAGTTTCAATTACAAAAATGTCATGGCCTTTCAAATGTTATTCTGAAATCAGATACAAATCAGAAAATTGTTGTTATTTGATAAATTTTTAATTAAGAATATTGTTATCAAATTCCAGCAAAACCCAGAAAATTTGTATTTTTTCAGAATACCCTTTTCAAAAAATCAGTAAAAATCTGAAATTAATGTTATAATGTAGTTAATAATTTTTTTTTAAATTTTGATAACTCAAACCGTTTTGATGAATTCTCTTTCAGCAAACAATCAACTGTTTCTTCTGAAAATGATTTTCTCAATTTCCAGGCTACGCTCCACTCCCTTGGGTGATGAATGCAGAATTCTACCCATTATGGGCAAGAAGTACGTGTGTATCAATAGCAACAGCAGTCAACTGGTTATTCAACCTTGCCATCTCTCTAACATTTTTATCTTTGACTGAAGCCGCCACAAAACATGGTGAGTATGAATCATTGTGAGGACCCATCAACAAAAAACAACAATATCAATAAAGAAAGTTACCCAAAACGACAATTGATTCTTATTCATAACACAAATATTAATTTTCTTTCTTTATAGGTACTTTCTTGATCTATGCCATCGTCACCTTCATTGCTCTATTATTTGTGTCATTCTGTATACCTGAAACAAGAAATTATAGCATTGAAGAAGTTGAAGTGTTATTTATGTCAAGAAAGAAACGAGAAGAACAAGCGGAACATTTGAAAGATATTATTCAATTTAAACCACCTATCGATTCAACACTTCAATTTTGATTCACATAAATTTGGGTAAAAAGACACTGTATAAAGATATATATTTGAAACAATCCCGGTTTTGAAATAAATAAACTTGATTTATTTTTTTGTCGGAACGTTTAACAATGAAATATAAAGTGTTGGTGACAAAATGCAATGATGACGAATTTATTTTCGTGATAGGAAAAATATTAACTGTTAATCGAAAAAAAAAATTTTCGTATCCCACAATTTTCCAGAACTCAATATTCATGAAAATCGGTAATCCTCATAGAGTTGTAATAACATGGTCCCTCCTATTCCTCACAAGTGGATTTTTAAGTGTACCTGAATCCAACCAGGTGTCCACTAATCCGGAAAATTATGAAACAGGGAATATATATTGGAATTAAATCACCGGAATTAATTATTAATGAAAAAAACTCTTTGAATTCTTTTTAAAGCTTCGATTCAAATTTTTTTATCAGAGTTTTCCGAGAACTAAAAAATTGGCTACCGTATTCTTGTAATTCGCGCATAGCAGTACCACTCGACAACAATATGATGAACAAAAAAGAAGAAGAATAGGAATAAAAGTGCCGAAAAAGGAACAGACACATACAAAACACATGCATACACTTGTCGTCTTTCTAATTAGAAAATTGGTGATGAAACTAATACTGTTCCTTTTTTTGGTCCACCCCTCCCCCTATCTATTGTGTTGAATTTTTGTGCACAAGTGCTAAGTGGGCGGTTTGCTAAAGCACAATAAGAGTTAGTGAGAAGCCTAAAAATGTTTGGCGGCACTTTTTCAAAAGGATGAATAAGACGAGAAAAAGAGAAAGAAGAGCTGACTGACAGTAAGTGAATAGTCCTGTATTGCCTAATTTAGTTTTGTGTAAACTAGACGTTTAGCATTTTGATTTTGCAATATTTTTCGAAAGTACTGTAGTTTTATTAGTTTTTATTGTTAGAAGATCTGCTATTTGAAAATGTGAAAAAGTGATTTTGGTCAGAAAATCTACAAGATTTGTATATTCGCAATAGTCCTATGGTTTTCTGAGCCGTAAAGATGATTTTCCGGTTTTTTTTTTCAAAACAAAAAGATTCCAGAAAATCTGGAATGTTTTGCTAAAAGCCTTTCGATTTTTTGCGTAGATCAAAAACTATTTTTTAGTTGGTTCTGTCCAGGACACGTCGACCAAACTGCTGCAATGGATGTACGGTTTTTCGGGTTTTCCACCAAGTGCTACGAGAAAATACATCGACTAGAATTCATGAAACTTCTTATTTCCATAGATTTGAACACGCTGATCACGAATATGTAATCAGTTTTCAAAATGGTTCAGTAGTTTTCTTGCATTTTGATGCATTCAGTCTCACACCCATTGCAGCTGTTTGTTCTTTAGTGGGTCGACGTGAGGATCTTAGTTTCATGATAAAATTCATCCAATTTTTTTTAGATTTCTAAGATTATTGAATGTAGACTCTGAATGTTCACAATTAAGCCACCACAAAATTTTACGCTAAATTCACGTTTTCTCTTCAACGTTTCTCTACACTTGAAATTGATGTAACCAACACTTCTGACCAACACTGAGCTTCAGATTTCTTCAATCACAATTGTGGAGAAATTGAAATATTCCTGGTTATAACAAAAAATCAAAAAAGTCGGAAGAACAAACGTTTTTGTATCTCTTTTCCCACTTTATCGGACGGATCAGCACACAGAAAAATAAAACTAAAACATTTTAAAAGCATAATGTTTTCTGATTCACCGTCAAGAAATTCACTGTAAAGTGAATTATCTTCAAAATGTGCCTTCCCATTTCATATTTTTTATTTTACTGACTTTTGTATTTTTATTTTAATAATATTGTTTAATCTATTTCTGGAAAAAAGTATCATTTCACGTGAGATTTTGTAAAAGTAGTGAGTTTTTGCTCTTTACATCATATCAATTCCCATTTTTTGTTTCTTTGTGAAAGATATCCTCTTATCATTCCTTTTAAACTGAGAACGTCTAAAGGTGAAAAATAGAAAATGTAAAAATGCATTTTATTTCAAAAACACTGTTTTTTCAATGGTGGTTCCACAATAACACGCAAAAATTTGAACGCATTCAATTCTACAGTACTTTTTCTCCGAAAAAATGAACCTGTAACAAATGATTTCCTTCTCTCTTTACTCCCAAAAATATTAATGTTCATTTTTTTCGATTTATTTGTTCATACAACTTTTGTCTCATCTAATAGAGGTCAATTAATGAACCATGTAAATGTCATAGGAAGCAACTGTGTAAAAAATTGAGCAATTATCAAAATATGTTAAATAAAAAAATAGTATTGTCACTGTTAGGTGATTAAAACCAAGAATTCATTTCTGAATCACTTATGATGATTTTATTTATCTGAAAAACAAAAACAATTTGTAATGCTCAATTATCTTTTCATTATTAATCAAATTTTGATAAAAAATATTTATTTCCTCTACTAGAGAATTGGACTTGTTTTTGAGTTATTTTGTAATCGCCCGATTAATTTCCGCATAAAGTTTGAGAAATATATTTGATTTTGATCTGAACTATTTGATTATTCTGAAACTCTCTGGCGTCGACTCGGAATCCCTTCGGGTTAGATAATTTTTAATCGTACTGTTGGAAAATGTTCATTGATTTTTCATCAGGTTTCATAAAAAGGTTTCTTTTTCTTCGTATTCTTCTTTAAAAATCATTTTTCTGAAACCAATAAATTTTGATCTCAAAGATTTTCGGTGATGAATATTTTTCAATTTTTATTCTCCCTCTCTTACTTTAGAACTAGGATTTGGTGGCACAGATCAGCATTTACTTTTATTGAAATTATAGATCCAATAATTTATGAAAAACTTGGTAGTCCTAATTAAGTCATAGACAAACTTTCTACGTCTTCTGAAATCTTTTGAAATCCAAATACTCATAGAAACTATTTCAAGATACCAATAAAAAATTTTCTTTTTTGCTAAAATCTTGACGAAAAATTGAATTGAAAAGATTCCCTTGTGAGATAATCATCAAAGTATAATCAAAAATAATCACCTATCTTGTTTTCTTCTTCATTTTCTGATAACTTTTCACCCCTGGAGACTCCAAATCACAAAACAAATGGTGGCATCATTTCGATCTACACAAGCACTTTTAATGAGCATGCTTGTTTTATAGAAAATAACATCAACAAGAATGTGTGAGGTTTCTCAGTCGGATGCGATTTTTTAGAAGATTTTTTGAAGTGAGCATATTTTTATTTTTATAATACTAGAAATATCATTCGAAAACAATTTTAACAAATTACAAGCAATTTTTTTTCAAACCGCCTGGAACATTTTAAAAATCTTAAGATGACATGTAAGCTAGATTACATAGCTCTATTTTTTGAGAAATTAACCGAAATTGCCCTTTCGTGAAACAGCGAGCAAAATGATTATTCATCTGATCAGTCTTAGGACCGAATTAGAAGATAATTCGAACTCGATTCACATCATAGTTCTAGTTTTTTGTCTCGCGTCGGAAAAATCATCTATTTCTCAGCCTGTTAGAAATGAAGAGTGCCCTATGAGAGATCCAATAAAAATGAAACTAATTAAGATGAGCAATCAGAAAGCTGAACACATATCATAAAAACGATATGCACCTGTCGCATCCGATCTCTTGACAAAATTTCTATTTTGCCCATATTTAGCGCTTCTTCTTCTTCTTCTTATTCCTTTTCTTTCTCACATTTGCCTCTTCAAGCATCCGTTTTTTCTTATATCTGCTTCAGAAAATAAAAAAGAGCCCACCCAACACCCGTCAAATACCCTCTTCCTCTTCTCCTCTGCTTTTCCCCTTCATCATTCATTGCCCAAATAAGAGAAAAAACTACAGTAATCCCATCAACGATTGAGCATTGTTTGCCACGCCCTTTTCTGCGTTTCTGTGTTGAGTGCTTCGCCTTTTTTCACCGGTGGTGTGCTTTTTTGGTTTTGCTGCTTCTTCCTTGGTGCAAGATATGCAGAGGTTAGTTTTTGAATAAAAAAATTGTGGGAGTTTGATTTGAAATTAATTAATTTTAGTCTTCATGAAAAAAATTCAGGGAAGCACTTTTCAAAGTTTTTAGGATTAGGCTTTCCCCCATTCGGAATGACAAAAATATTATTCTTTAGTGTTGTTTTATTAATCATGTAAAATTCTGATTGAAAAAAGATAAAGGTGGGGTTTTCTGTGTTTTTCATACAGTAAGCTAGTCAAAAAATAATAAAACAATATTGGATTTTCCACGGCTTTTCCCACTTTGTTTGAAGATTTAATAAGTCGAATCATTTTTGTGCTTTTCGACAAACAGATACAATTTTATTGTTTTTTTTCCTGTTGAAAATTGATGAATTTTCAGAGAAGAACGTGAATTGACTGATCTTGATGAACCATCTCTTGGAGCAATGACATTGGTGCAACTTGAAGAATCTAAACCGTTAACTGCCACGTGTAAGTTTTCTATTGTAGCTATTCAGAATTTCTCGAAAAATCTGATAACTTTGAAATATTCAAAAATCCATTCAATATTTTAGCAACGATTTCGTCTGGCTCGTCCTCAACAGATGAAAATATTTGCATTGCATGTGGTTTTCAAATAGCTGATCAATTTTTACTAAAGGTTTGTCTACTGTAGCTTTTCGAAAAATCTCTACCCCTCGATTCCAAATTAAAAGCTTCAATTTAATTAATCGCAAAAAAATTTGACCTTTTTTTATTTTTCACATGACAATGCCATTTCTTTATTTTTTGAGACGAAAAAGAAGGAAAATTCCAGTCACCTGAAAATACCTTTTTTTGTATTTTTTGTTGTTGGGAAAAGTTTTTTGTATGACGCAACTTGTAGGTATAATTCGGTTTATTTTTTTGAACTTTTTTTTCGGAGATTTTCTGCCGAGTTTGAGATTTTTGGACAACTTTGGTTTTATGAATGTTTAAAGGGGACCAGAGGAAAAAATATCACGGCTGTAATATTTCTCCAAATTAGGCAATCAAATGATTAATGTTTTCAAAAACTGTCAGATTTTTTCAAACCAATTATATGTAATTTTTTCTGGAATATTTTAGAAATTTCACGGTAAACTTCATGATATTTGGAATATATTGATTTTCTATAAATGAGCTGGTTGATTGGAACTTTTTCATAAAATCTATTTCAATTTGTAATTTCATGAAGCAATTTCTGAATTTCCTAAAAATCAAAATTCAAAACTCCTTTTAAAAGTTGAAATTTTACATACTTTTCATATTTCATGTAATTTGCTTTCAACTTCGACAGTATGATCGAAATCTCCCCCAAGAGATTTCTAAATTTATTTTTCAAATTTCATCCGACCACGGAGTTTCAGAAACCCCCCTCTCCTTTAACAAAATCATAACTACAGTAACCTCAAAAATAGTTGTGTTATGATTCATGAATTCTCAAACCTTTCCTCCCATTCTCTCTCTCTCTCGCCCAACAATTTTTTTCCAGGTGATGAACGAAAGTTATCACGAGCAATGTTTGAGATGCACATATTGTCGTCAACATCTTGGTGCCGATCGAACTTGTTACGCAAAACATGGAAATGTCTATTGTCAAAACGACCATCAAATGTGAGTAGTTTGCGTGTAAAGTTGAGCAAAAACCACTTGAACACCTCCAAAAAGCTCGCATATACATATGTATTCATTTATTAATAAAAATCATAATAATAATAACAATAATCCAAGGCAATCCACTTGAGGGAAATATTTCTAGGGGATAGAAAGAGGAATAATTTTTTATTGCTCATGTCAGATTAGGTTTACTTGACATCTTGTTCACCTGCACTTCTTATACAAGAAGCTATGTAATTATTAGCAATGATTTTTTCTTCTAATAATAATGAGAATGAGGATTATACATAATTAGGATTAACTTTTTTGAGGGTGATAGGTAGGTAGGTGAAAAACACCTTGTAATTATGTGTGAAGAAGACAACCGGCTTGCCAGATGCTTTGAACCTAAACCAAAATCTCCTACATCAACATACTACCGTATACATTTTTGTTTGCTTTTCTTCTCTTTGATTCGATTCGAGTATGGAGAAAAAAGATGGACGTGTAGCTTTCGAAATGTGTTTTTGTTTCTTTTTGGGAAACGGAAAGGAAATGTGGAAAAAAGTAGAGAAACCTAGGGGAGAGCATTTTCGAAAATGAATATACATAAAGTTTAGGAAAGGGTCAAAGTTTCTAGGAAAAGTTTACTGTAACTGTGTTTTTTTAATATTCAAAAAAATAGTTATTGATGAATTTCAGATCTTTGATTTGTCAAATATTCTGATGTCGTGATAAATAATGGAAAAATAGGAACTGATTTTATTATTTTTTCAATTCCAAATCTAGAAGGCACCGTTTTTTTAAAGATTGAGAAATATTTTTAATGTTTCAGAAACTATTGATATTTATTTCAAACCATTCTTGATCTAAAAAATCCAAAACTTTACAAATACTACCCAATAAATAGCAAAATCAAAATTTCAAATAAAATGTTAACTACAGTATATTTTTATTGTTTTTCCTGATCTCATCTTCCTAAATTTGATAATCCATCAATCAAATTACCTAATATTAGTAACTGCTCCCTCTTTTTTTTTCAATTATCCATGTCAAAAATTGAGATGCGCGAAATCACATCCGTTTTTTGTTCCCCCTGCCCTGTCTTCTTGTCAAACAACATAAACCATCTGCTTTTTGTTTGCAGGCTATTCGGAAAACGATGTCGACGATGTGTGGAACATTTACAACCAACTGATATTGTATACAAAGTTCATTATTTGTTCTATCATTCGCATTGTTTTTCGTGCGCTCAATGTCATACAACATTCAATAAGGTATACACTTTTTTTTTGAAAATTGAAAAATGAACAAAAAATAGCCAGAGGGCTCTTTCAATTGCACAAATAACGTTTTTTTCCATATTTCAATATTTTTTCTAGGGGGACGAATATTTTTGTTTGGATGGTGAAATATTTTGTCGAAACGATTATCAAAACGTCTATCAACTTCATGCTGCATCAGCGGAAAACAATGCTCTTTTTGAAGAAGCGAGATCTGAAATCAACAGAAAGACGCCAAAAAGACCACGAACTATTTTGAATGCACAGCAAAGACGGCAGTTCAAAGCGGCTTTTGAGAAAAGTTCGAAACCGAGTCGGAAAGTTAGAGAGCAATTGGCGAAGGAGACTGGATTGAGCGTTCGGGTTGTTCAAGTTTGGTTTCAGAATCAGCGAGCAAAGGTGAGTAAAACAAGATCAGAACCTTTTCAGATTGTCATTATTAGGAGAAATATTTTAAAAAATACCAATACAATCTTCAAATCATATTATTCTTTTCCAGATGAAGAAAATGGTGCGCAAAGAAGGCGATTCCAACTCGGATGTCTACAAAACTGGTCCTAATTCCGAAGGTCGAAGCACTGAAGATATGCGAAGTTCCGACGATGAAGAATCAATATTTAGTGAGTAATCAAAACCAAAAAAAAAGATGACACGGATACCATTCGGCAAAATGTGTCATAAAACAGGCCATACAAATGATAGACAATAGATTTTTGTTTGGTACCACAAAAAATTAATAAAAAAAAGAGAAAAAACAAAAAAATTATTTTAGACCTCGACACGGACGAAATTGATATGGACAAAGCACTCGGGCCTAACTTAACACCAACATACACAAATCCAATTCAAAAATTATATAATATGACGTCATCAGCTATTTATTTTCCATATGCTTCATAACAACATTTTTGTTTTTTCTCAAGTCTTCAAGTTTTTGTACATTTTCCTCAACGAATTTATTGGTTATGGTTTTAATTTTTCCCAGAATAATTTTTGGTCAGTTTTTTCTTCCTATGTCCGTGGTGGACCGCTTCATTTTAATAATCGATATATTTGCATTTTCTATCCTATCTAGTCTTTTTTTCACAATCAAAACCATATATTTTGTCATTCATTTACTATTATCATTTTGTTTTTTTTTCACTAATATAAATAAAATTTCCAATTACAGTATGATTTCAACACAAAAGCATTTGATTTTTGAACGAAGACTTGAGCTTGAGATTAGGCGTGAGCATCAGACCAACTTTGGTTCTTTAGAATAAAATAACTAGTCCATTAAAAGATTAGTGAGAATGAGAAACCTTACAGTTTCTGGTAGTACGAGTCAAGTTTTGAATGAATCAAGTCATAATGTTTGAAGAATTAGTGATTTTATGTGGGCTGGAAAAATCTCTAATTCTAAATGTGAGTCATAATGAAAAAAAATTTTGAGAAATATTTTTTGGGTATCAAGAATTGTGTGTTACTCCAACTCAAAAACCCTTATTTCTGTCAAACAAAAAATTTATTTGAAACATGATGAAAAAATGACGAATGTGACCGGATCAACCGACGGCAAATTGGCACAAAATATAAAATATTATAATGAGACAAACATGAGCAATGAGAGGAATTTTTTTAGTATCCGATTGATTTGAAATAATCGGCAAGTGCTCCAGTTGTCTTGCTGCATTGTTCTGGTTGAAGTCCTTGCTCGTAAATTGAGATGATGACGGCTGAAACAAAAATTTTAGCATAAGTAATAAAAAAACATTTGATAAGGATTTTCGTATAAAATTCCATTTATTTTCTGGTTTTGAAAAAAAGTACCTTGCGTAGTTTTATAAATAAAGAATCCGGAGGCTCCTTGCTTTCCAATAATTCGATCATCGTCCGCGTTCAAAACCAAATATTTTTTCTTCTCAAATCGAAGTCCTGTTCCAAGAAGAGCATCCTGAAATAATTATCTCTTTTCTTTTAGTTTTTATTGCCAAAAGCATAGTGCGATAGATCTGGGTAAATATTGCACTTTTTTCATCGATTTCTCTGTTGAAAAAGCCAATATTTGACAGGATTTCTGGAGTGAGTGCAAATGGATGAATGAGAAAAAAGCGAACGAAGAACGAAATGAAATGGTCTATGTAATCTAGTTATCGCATATCGCTTTCTATTGTTGCTTTTTTCTGCAGAGAAAAAAATCAAAGAATAACAAACCTGTTGAGCAAACGATTTTCCAGCAGCAACAGCTTCCTCCACATCAATCTAAAAAAATTGGAATTTGAAAAAAATGGGTGGTTTAAGAAAAATTAATTACATCAAAGTTATCTGATTTGGCCCAAATCGCTCCGTCAAATCCACAAATAGCAGCTTTGCTCACATTTCCAGAACCAATCAAATTGTTGTTGACAATATCTGGCCAGGACATGATTCAAACTGAAACAGCAAAAAAAAATGAAACAGAATTGACAGATTGAAATTACGCAAAGCAAAGAATAAATAAAACTGATATTTTTTGATCTCAATGTTTGCTTGCTTGATAATTTATCCAAGCTTGCAAAAAAGAAGGAAAAACGACACCACACCAAAAAGAAAAGTACTACTAACTGAAAACTAAGCCAACTAAAACTAAAAATATCAAATTTCTTACACGTAATCAATTATTCAAGACTGGAAACATACAAAACTCTCAAGTGTTCGTTTTTCAAGATTACTAGATTTCACCGCCTTTCAACTCAAACAAAGAACAAAAAAAAACGATTTTTCCAAATATTTCTTGGTGAAAATAAAACAAGTGAGCAAATGAATGAATGAAAAGATTTTCGAAAAAAATAGAGGTGAACAGGAGGCATTCCGAAACAACAGAAGAAAGAGAGAAAAGTGTGGTGGGGTGGATATAGGACAACAACATTAGAGAGACGGGAGATTGTGAGAGAGTAGCAGACTTGCCCGGGCTCACAATGTGTAATATCGCGAGGGAGGCAAAATGAGCAAACTTCTTCGTCTTCTGCTGTGTTGTGTTTCTTCAATGGCCATTGATTCTTTCTAAATGACAGAAATGATTTCTCGAAAATTGAAGAATTGATGATGAAATATCCGTTCGTTTCGTCATTGAAGAATCTTTGTGGTTCGGGAGACATTGAAAAAAAGTGATATCTGAAAGTTCGGGAATATCGATGAATCACCAAGAGCAGAAAGCTTTCGAAATCTAGAAAAACAAAAATACATCCGAATTTTATATTGGAGGGGAGGGGTTACCACAACGATTTTTTTCGGAAATTTCATATTCTGATGATTTTCAGAAAATCAGTTCCACAAAACTAATTGTAATTTGAATAAAAAATCATAATCTCGTTAAACAACATCAACACTGTTAGAAGTTCTACGGATCTCGGGATACATTTATTTTCATCGGTGAAAGTTCAGAAAATATTGAAAACGTCTTGGCGTTTTTCGAAAACTCAAAGTAACTCAAATAATTTCACATTTTTTTGAATTTCTCCAGCTTCGATGTTCGCTGCTCAATGTTAATACTATTTTCTGAAACAGTTGTTTAAATCATTTCGAATGACCCGAGAAAAGAAAATTGAGATTTATTTTGATGTGCTGCCATTTAAAACATTTTCAAATCTAAAAATTCTCAATTCCCAATACCAATTATATTTTGAACATTCCAATTTCAAGTTATGTTGTTCATAATATTTCCAAAAATCTTCTGACCATGTTTCGAAATCATTTTTATCCATCAAAATTGAAGATACTTGATCAGCAAAAGTTCAAAAGAATTCAACTTTTGTTTTCGATTCACCAGATGTTCCAAGAAAAAGTCGTGTTCAGATTTCGAAAAAAACAACCACTTGATGATTCATAATATTTTCTGTTTTTCTATTGTTCTTTTTTTGAGGGAAAAGATGATCCGTGATAAAGTAAAAATGTTATCATGGGGGCGTTTATCCGAAAATCAAAGAATAACCGCAAAAATTTCAGGAAAAAATGTGCCATCGTGAAACAAAACAAATATGCTTTTGAATTAAATGGCAGAATTGATATCTGTGATGTTTTTCTGAAAAGGGTTCAATATATGTTATGGTAAAGAAAGATCCCTGAGATTTTCAATAAAATACACGAATTCTCCAATGTACACCAATGCACTTTTCATTGTCAAAACTTATGTTAAGTGCAAAGATCCACTTCTAAGAATATTATTTTGTGTTCAAAGAATAAATGCGTGTTTGAATTCAACAAAAATTATTCTCACAGTCAAATTTTTCTGAAGTTCCTGGTTTGTATGTTCGGAACCAGAAGTATTTAAAAATGCAAATAGTCTAGACAAATTTGAGTCTGAAACAAATCACATCAAAATTTCATGAGAGCGATAGAAATGTCAGAAAATCAAATCCGGAACCAAAAAGGTTTAGATCGTGTCTGTGATTTCTTTTCTTGGATACATGATAATAAAAAAGGTTATTATTGCGTACCTCTTTTGAAATATTGTTGAAAATTTTCCTTTTTTTCAGGATTATCTCTTTCAATCTTTTTGAAGCAGATACTTTATTTGTAGTTCGAAATTGTTTTTTCTGGTCCAAAAATTTTTTAAAAATTTCTATGACACTCGTAAAATTGTAGGAAAATCTTTAAATTTGAAAACTATTGCCAGATTTTATATAAAAAACGATTTCGTTTTTACCCGTGTGCACTATATTTCAAGAATCAGAGATTCACCATGTCACTCATCTCAATCAACAAAACATTCAAATGTTGTTTTCTACTCGATCCAAAAAATATTCAATTGACATGTGGTCCCTATAGACCAATAAAAAACTCGAATAATAAAAAATCCAATTTTCAAATAATAATAGAAATATTCAAATTCCCACATATGCTTTTGATTTAAACGTTTTTCAAAACTGCTTCCAAATGTTGTCTCTTCTCACCAATAAAAAATTCCAATTCAAAAAAAAAATCGTTTTATACATTAGAGAAGACGTCAAAAGAAAAGTGAGCAATGTATATTCTTGCTATGTAAACTTTCCTCCACAAAAAATATAATAAAAAATACAAGAAAAATTGTGAGCAATGTTGTAGAAAAAAATGTACAATTTGTAACTACTACACGACAAAATAAGACAGAAAAATTCGAAGCTTTGAAAAACACCCATTCAAGATTTGTACGCAAGTACATGGGACGAGGAAAATATTGAAACATATACCCAAGAAAAAATAAAAACTGGCAAGTCAAGACAGAAAAAACATTCTACAGACAAATTATTTTAAAATTAAAAAAAAAGAAAATATTTAGGAAAATACTTGCTTTGCTGAGATTCGATGACATCAACGGTATCCTAAGTAAATATTAAAAAAGAACATATGAAAAAAAAAACAAAAACAAGATAATTTCCATGGGAAGGGAAGAATCCTGAGGAGGAAGAAACGATTTTTAAATTCAGAGAAGTTGTTCAAACACAAGCTTGAACATCGGACACACTTTTCATCGTTGGTTTTAAAATGTTGCCGACACGATCAGTTGCACTTTCAATATCCTGAAAAACGAAAGATTTTCATACATAATTAATTGAATTAATTTTTTGTCTATTTTTTTTCTCTCACTTTCAATATTTTGAATTCAAATTTATTAAACCAAAGTTTATGACCCTCTCTCCCGCATTAATAAAATCGGATTAAAATAACTATGGCCATCATTGGCATTTTTTTTTCGATATTTTTTTTTAATTTGGTCATACTTACCTTGATGAGTTCCGAATGACTCATCAACATTTTTGAGACGGAATCATCATCGGCGATATTGAACGAGGCAAGTGAGGAGACCTAGAAAATATTTAAAATGGTTTCTTGGGATTTCATATCATAACATTTTTTCAACATACATGCTACATCGTTTTTTTTTTCAAAAAAATTATCATATTCATTTATAAATAAGCAGATAGACGTGCTCACAAGTTTGTTAAATTATGATTTCACAATACATATATAGATTTCTCAAAACAATACTCACCTCTGAATTATCAGAACCTTCAGACAAACCAATTGGTCTGGTATGATAACTGATATCTGCTTCTTCTCCATATCTGAAACAAATTCATTGGTTAGCTATAAAAACATGAAGAAACCTAGATATGATAGGACAATTACGACATGGAACAACGTGCGAAAGCGTTTGTTTTTCTCGTTCAAAAAAATGAAATATGCATAGTCACATTCATAGCAGCTTGAATGCCAATTCAAAGTTCTTAGAAAAATCAACTTACTTTGTTGGTGAAATAACAACTGCTGGTTTCTCAGAAACTGTTCCCATCAATTGTTGAGCGAGCAAAATGACGCCTGAGCCAAGACTTCTAGAATTTCTCTTACTATCTCCCTCTTCTTGCTCCTCTTTCATCATGCTCAACACCATCGAATCATCATCCTAAACAGGAAAATTATTAGTTTTTATTTTTGGAAAGGGGTGAAAAGTGCATTCTTTGTGACGTATTTGAATTATCAGCTAATCGCAATAATTTCCTGTCAAAAAATGTCAGCAAAAACTTTACTTTTTATGGATTGTACATAAATTGTATAGTTTTTGGGTGCAGTAAAACATTAAAGTGTTTGTTGACAAATAATTAAAATTTTTTTGAAATTTTGAAAGTTCTTGGTAAAGTAGTTCTTTTTTTAAAAAATTGTTTCCTGAAGTTTTTTCCCAGAAAATTGGAATTGGTATCAAATTACTGGTTATCGTTGAAATGTTATTTGCGGAACAATAAAAATTAGTGATCAAAAATTGTCTTGGTTTTTGAAATTGTAAAAATGCGTGAATCTAGAGGAAAATTCGTAGGTAGATCAAAAACTATTTTTTTTTGCCATATTAAAGATCAATCCTAAAATTCTACCAACCTTCTCAATAATATATTGATCTTCATACGGTGGTGGAGCTGTTGGTGCATAAGGTGGCGGATTTCCGGGAATCCCATTACACTCCGAACCCGCATAACTGCTCTCAGTTTCCGTGTTGTCAATACAACTTCCAACATCCGAACTTCCGGTCGACCTTTCCTCGTGAATTTGCTCACTAATTCTCTCCAAATTTCGCAGCGATGTTGTATAGTCGTTTTTCTTTTGCCGAACCTGCAAACATTTTACTTTGCACATTATTTCCGGTGTGGTTTTAATGATGTATTTGTACATATTCTTTTGCTTCCCTTTCCTTTACTTTTCTCTCCTCTTTTGAAAAAAAAAATGAATGTGTGAAAATGAGAATGAAATTGGTCCCTGGTCCTTTTCAAAAAAAATGTGCATACCTCAGACTCTAATCTCAAAATGGATGCTTTTTGAGACTCAAGTATGCGTGTGAACTCGAGACGTTTTTCGAAATAGTGTCGTGATTTTTTGATGGCCGAGCTAAAATAAAAATATTGTATATAAAACATATCAGGTTTCTATAAACCAACCGATTGTCTTTTTCCATCGATCGAATTTTTTCAGCCAATTGCAACATTGAATAGGCTTTTGAGGCATGAAGTGCTTCAGCCATCATTCTTTCTTCCTCAACTTCACTGACTCGTTGAATATGATGATTAAGAACCTGAATTTACAAAAGAAATTTATAAATAACTGTTTAGTAAATAATCCCCAAGTGTTCATGATTAAACAAACAGAAAAAGAAATGACTCACTTCTAAACATTCTGGCAAAACCGAAGTTTGCCGCGACAAACTATCCTGTGTCAGTGAAACTTGTTGTTTTGCCACGCCGAGCAACGAGGTAGCTCTTTCAAATCGCTCAGCCGCTTTTTGAGACTCATCACGCAATTTTCGCTCCTACAAAAAAAACATAATCCATGAATAATTCATATTCTGTCTCTATTTCCGGAACAAAAAACCAACCTCAATTTTCAATTCATAATAAGGTCTAGCTTTCGCAATTTGGTTTGAATATTGTTTCGATAACTCTTTCAACTTTTCCGACCACATTACTTGAGTTTCCCTGGAAAAGGCAAATATTTGAAAACTGGTTTTTTTTGGGGAGAATTGAAACTTTGGTAAAAATAGAAGCGAATCGATTAGTCAAAGTTGTTTTTTGTTATTTTTATATTCAGTCACGTTTTTCAGGTTCAAAGAATGATAAGACTTATGATTTTTGAAACAAATCAGGGTCAATACAGTGAAAAAAACATGGATGACTTAAGCAGGGAATTTATAGATCTTTCTTTTTTGGTCAGGTTTACAGAGAAGTTGATGGATAGGCTTTCAGAATTTTGGCCAGGCTTCAAACAAGTGAAAAGATCTACCTTTATCTTCTAGAATTTTTGACTAGGTTTCCATGAAATTGATGAATCTACCTAGGACCTTCAAAATCGCGGCCCTTTGTACCAGGAAGTTTAGGAATATATGCTCCCCACCCTTCCTCATAAACCCTGAGAACCTTGAGAATCTTCCAGACTCTCTGAAAACCGAATTTCTCCCTATGAACTTACCGAAATTCTGCTCTTGCCGAGTCCAGCTGAACTTCCATTTTATTAATAACATCAGTCGCAATATTGAGTTTCTCCAATTCTTCATGAATCAAATTCAAATGACGATTTTCTAGCGGTGGATGTTCGTCTTCTTCGTATGAGAAACGACTATCCCGATCGCTAGCTTCTGAAAATTCTGATTTTTTTGTTGGGGAAACATGAGAGAATTTGACACCTCGGCACATGGTTTTTGACAACAGGAATGAAAATTTGCCGATTTGATTTTTTTGAGAACAGGGAGAACAATAAAATTTTGAATGCGATGGGGGCGAGAATAATGTAAGACAATGTCAACGATTAAATTTTGTTCGTGTTTTGTGTGTATCTAAAAATAGCCCCCCTTTTTCAAATTTCAAATTTTTATTGAAAAAAAAACAAAATCTTACCTGTCATTTCTGATGATGAAGTTGCTTCTATACTCATTTCCAAATGAATTTATATTATATTATTTTATACCAAGCAAAAAATTAGTGGAATAATATATACATATTAAATTTCACTCAACTGATGTGTTTCCTGAAAAATAATAACATTAATGAAAAATCAATGTGACAGGATTAACTGGGTTAATTCGGAAAAGATGATGACGGATGATGAACATTCATCAGAAAAAAATGAGATAGCCGAAAAGCAAAAAAAAAACAACATTGAATTGAATCAAAAACGCGTAGTGTCCATTAGTCGAAGAGAAAAAGGGGCGGGTATCAGCCAAAAAAAAAATATTTGAAAATGTGAAAAAATGAAGAGAAGAGAGGAAAAGATGATAACGGAAGCCGGGGAGGGTTTTTTTTTCATTTGTGGCTGGCTGGTTGATAAAATTGATTGGTGCGAATTCAGTGACGTTATTTTTTTCAGAATTTGGAGAATAACAAAAATAAGCTGGAGCTAAATAAGCTCATCTACAGAAATCGCTTGAAGATTTATAAAGAATTAGAAAGAAAAACATAAATAGAAATAGATTTTCTCACATTCAGTTTCACCTTATCAGAGAAATACAAGGTCCGGGAAAATGTTGGAGCTGAACTTTTTTGAAACTGTTGAAAAATAACTTAAGCGAACCAACCCTACCAAATATTTATTTGATCTACGGTTTCGAAAAGAAAGCTTTGGAGAAAAATACACAAACTGTGAAAGTTTTTGCACTAGTTTAAAATTTATAAGAGTTTTTATGAGTTTCCAGGGAATTTTTGAGGTGAAAAAGATTTTTGGGGCAGGGTATTTTGAAACTGTTTCAAATAGATTTTACGAATAACAATTTTTTTACATAACGTTCAATAAAAAAAATTAAAAATGATAGGTCAACATTTTTCGAAACAATTAAACAGAAAAAAAAATGATTTTTCAATATGACTCATAGCAATTTTCTGCACTTTCTAATCTCTCACTAACTTGAGAAAAAAGAAGAGAAAATTAAACTTTGCTCAAAACCAAAAAAAAAAACTTTGAACCTTCGGAACCTGAGGCAACAAATCCGGAAAATGTTGTAAGGCAAGGCAAAGCAAGCACTAGAAAAGAAGCATGCTTTTTGCCGTACAGTCAGTAATGCAAATATTTTTAGAGGTTAAGAGGAGCAAACGATGGAAAAACGAGAGATGAAGAAAATGAATGTATGTATGTTTATTGAATGTGTACATACATACATATACATTCCAATTCCACTCACTGACTGTCGCGTGTATGACACTTTCACGCGGGAGTCAAAAGACTTGTTTGAGCATCGCGGAAAAAACGAAATATGAAAATGAAAATGATGAAATAACATTTGTTTGACAAGATAGCAAAACAATAATAATAATATGATTTGATGAGAAAAGAAGCGGCGGGAAAAACTGGAATTGTTGTATCATTTTTTTTTCAATTTCAAAAATTCGTAGAATTTTTTGATGGTTTTTGAAAAATAATTTTAACAATAGATAACAATTGTTTTAACCTCATATTTATTTTTAAGAATATTTAACTGTAATTTCATTGATTTAGAAATTCCTTTAGAAAATTCGCAAAAGTTTATAAAATTCATTTTTGAAATTGAAAATAATTTTTAAAGAAAACGAAATTTTAAATGAGTATATTTAAAAATTTAAAGAATTTTTTCGATTTGAAAAAAAATTCAAAAATTGGAATTTTTCCAAATGACAGCCTCGAGCCATTTTAAAAATTCACCGAATTTTTGGCAAAAATAGAATAGTTCAAAAAGTTTATTATTATTGTTTATACAGATGGAATTATATATTGCGAAATAAATATTTTCATCTATATTCCGAAAAACTGATAAATATTTTTCCGGAAAAAACAAATATTTTCAACACATTCGGAGGTTAGGCAAATAAAAGGAAAAGAAGTGAATATTTTTCAGATAATAAAAAAATGAAAATTGAAAATATTTTACAAAAAAAGAAAGACTAATAACATGTGAAAAAAAGAAAAGGAAGAAAAAAACTAGAAAAAAGAAATAAAGAAAAGACTGTCAGATGAATATAAGAAGAAGAAGAGAGGAAACGCGGAAAAATTGGAGACGACAAAATATGTTTGGAGAGACGCAGACATTTGAGTTCATAGTGGAGACGGCAACGAGAGAGTGTCAAGAAGTGAGAGATGCAGAGAAAATTGAGAGAGGCAGAATGCATGTGCTTGCTGCTTTACCAGGAAAAAAGAAAGAAAAACGAATGTGTGAGGTTAGTTGAAAAGATGGAGGAGAAATAGTGTGAGAGATGAAGAGGGTTAGAGAAATAACCTCCTATATAAATAATAACAATAATAATAGCAGAAATACTATGTATGTTTATGGTGGGTGGGGAAAAAATGTCACACAAATTAACTTGAATTATTTATCGTGGATAACAACATTTTCTAGTTTACATGCGTTGTATCAATTGTGACTGTGAATTAACATAAGTAGGTCAAAAAATCCTGATGTTAATCCGGATTCATCCAAATGAATTCTTGAGGATTCTTTGAGAAAATTAAAATATTCCTAACATAAAAATTCAGTAGATCACATTTATTTCTGAAAATTAGGCAAAGTTTTCCAAATAATACTTTCAACAAATGAAAATGATAGATATATTTTTCTTGAATTTCAAGAATCCTATATTGCGCTTCAAAACATCAAGCCTTTTCAACACCGGAATTTTTTTTAACTTTTAGATTTATTGTGGGTCAAGTGGGAGATAAACATTTTCCGATCGGAAAAAAATTAACGGAATTAAAATTAGCTTTAATTAAAATCTTGACAAAGTTGTTAATCACGTTTTGGATACGGTAAGTCAAAGATTGTTTCAATAAAATTTTTATGCCTGAATCTCAACGATTAATTGGAACTAACATTACGTCAGAGTTGTTTTTCCCTAAAAAAAATTCTGAATGTGAGAAAAAGGGAAAACTTGAGAAGTAGATCAAAACAATCTTTAACATTTAGAAAAGGGCAAATAAGCTTATGAGAAGTAGAAAAAACGTAGCCTGAATACAAACTAGCCTAATCTCATTTGAATTTTGAACAAAATAACGTCATCAGATATTCTTACGAATTTGGAGAAAATATAAGCATTACGTCAAATAATTCACAAAAACGGGAAAAATGGAAAAAAATATGATTCCCAAAGGACATTTAACGAATCAACGATTTTTTTCTTCGCTTTTTTCCAATGCTTACTTACTTGAAACGAACTTTCAAGAAAAATGACCTTTTCGATTTTTTTTGTACTTTAAGGATGATAAGAGTGAAAGCGACAAAAAACGATTGAATGCAAAATTGGTCAAGTTTTTTTCGTCTCCCTGGGCGCAATAAAATGAAAGCCAAGCCACTATCTTTTTTGGAATCAAAATGGAATGAAAGAGAGAAACTTTTGAAATGGAAATGAAGATGAATAAATTATAAAACAATAAAATTTGGTAAGTTAGAAAACATGAATGTGAGGTCTATTAAATGTTTCATGGTCATAGGCAATTATTTTCGTTTGTGTACAATCGATTTTCTTTTTTTCATGATTTATTGTGTTTTTTTTCATTTCATTGTGAAAGAGGAACACAAAAAGGTCACCCCACACTTCAAAATTTTTAATGAAATATGAATTTTTCTCCAACAAAAATATATTTGGGCTTTATAAATCCTTCTGAACTCAATCTGGGCTCAAAATAAATTCTTGATTGTAAAAAATCATAGAGAAAAGGGAGAAAGAAATAAAATTGGGATAAAATAAAATGAATTGAAAAACAAGATGGAAAACAATTTGATTTAAAATGCATAAATTACGAAAGCGTGGGCGGGTGGGTGAAAAACGATGTGGTTTTTATTTATAAACGCATTCCAAATTCAATCACTATAGCAACCAACTAGTGTAAGGAATATAAGTATAGGTATGTATGTTCAAAAATTGCGACCGACCTTCAAAAAATTGAGAAAGACAAGTATTTTATGGTCAGAAAATTGGAAAGAGAAGAAAAAAAGAACTAAATTAATTTACAGGTTTTAAAATCATGTGATGGGCAAAGATTATAGTATTTTTCTCGAGTTGGCTGAATATCTTCAGAAAACGTGACGAATGAAAAAAAGAAAAACAACTGAAAATGTATTTATTTATTTTCTATGATGTAATATTTTGAGAAGAGATACACTTTTATGCGTTTTTTTGTGTTTTTTGAAAAAAAAAACATATTTTGAAGGAGGGAGAAAAATTGAAATTTTGATTTTTCTCATTGAAAGGCTTTTGGGAGGTCTTCACCCAAGTTCTTTCAAAAATATATATAGATTCAGAAAAATCAAAAATTTTTTGAATTCTCAAAAAAAATATTGATTTTGGACGTAGGTCATTTGGGTTTTTCAAAAGTAAGTCAAACTATTTTCTTTAAACAAATGTTTATTTTTTATCAGAAAATTGAAAGTAATTTCAGGTTTGAAAATTTTGAATGAAAATGTTTCCCACAATCATGTGATTTTCGAATTTGCTTATTTTTTATTGAAATGAAATTTTAATTCTAAAATTCAATATTGAGAAAGAAACCAGAATTTTGTTTTATTTTTCAAATGTCAATATGTATGTGCTGCTAAAAGATTTTTTTTTCAGTTTTTCTAATATCAGAAATCCAGGTCATCCAAAAATCAATTTTTATCACATGATACTTTATGATTTTTTTTTCAAACAAAAAAAAGAAAGAAAAACAAGTCACGAGAAAAACATTTGTCGAGTTTAAAATCAAAATCACAGAAAAAGAAAAAAAGATATTTCATGAGTCGGTTTAAAAATGACGTAGGAAAAACATGAGAAAAATATAGAAGTATAACTAATTTGTGAACAAAGAGAAGGGGATTCACAGTATTTCGAGATATGAATCTCTTGCAAACAATGTTAAAACAAAACCAGAACCGAAAAGTATTACCAAAGACATTTTTTCCGTTGAAAGAAATTTCGGGAGAAATGTTATTTGACCTGAGCGGATTTGACAGTTTCTTCTTTCTGGATTTACGGATTTACGGATCAAATGATTTTTCAAATGTGTAAATATTAAAAGTTTTTCGAGCAAAAAAAGTTTTTTGATTTTCTGACTCAATATTTGTTTTTCAAAAAAAGTTTTTGAATGAGTTGAGTTCAATCCTGAACTTTTTGAAAAAATCAAAACGAAAAACAAATAAAATGCCGGGAAATTGTGGGGGTTTGAAATTTGTTTTACAAAATGTGTGAAAAAATAAATAGTTACCGAACTCCGGAAATGGTCTTTGATTATCAAAACAAATTTGTTATCAATGTTCATAATCATAAAAATAAATGGTTATGTTTGTTTTCTATTTCTATTATTGGTTGTTATTGTAAAAAATGTACTTTTTACTCACATGAGTTCATCAAAAACATAACAAAAACAATTTATGGGCAAAAATCAAAATTAAAAGTTAAACTTAATTCTAAATGTAAGTTCACAAATTTGATTCCACTGTTAATTTTTAAAATTTCTGACAATGAATCTATACAATTTTTGGATAAAACAGAGCTCGAAATTTAGACCAATATTCCACTGGGGAAGAGAACGACACTTTTCGCACTGTTTTTTCTCGAATTACTGAAATTTTTTTCTCGAATTACAAAAATTACAACTTTCAAAAATAAAAAACTGAAATTTGGTCAGATTTTCCAGAACAACTTCGGGATTTAAAAATTTAACATTTTGTAAATTGAATGCACCAACAAAATTATCTCCAAGCTCATATCTCATTTGAAAAAAAATCCAAACAATAATACATAAAAACTAAAGAAATATAATGGTTTGCGAAAATATCAAACCAAACCTAAAGTATATAGAACCGTGGCTTGAAAATGTCAACTAAAAATTCTAAAATTATCAGCGAAAAATCTAACCTAACTAGTTCGACCTGTTCTTTTTCTCCCACCGAGCGTAAAAAAAAGAAAACACACAGTAATTCTCGGCGAATGTAAACATTGCCATCGAGTTCAAAATGTTAGAAATAGAAACAGAGTTGACATGAGTTGGACTAAAACTTATCGGTTTCTGAATCTAAATGCTAAAATACGACCTTTTGCAGATTTAAGCCTATGATAAATATTACATCGGCTTTTGTGCCTTTGTCTACTAATAAAAAAGATTGCGAAATCGAATTTATTTCTCTTTTTTTCTTGTTCAAGTTCACATTAGAAGAATATTAATTGGTTTGTGGTGTTCAGAGAAATTGGGGTTGATTGAACAGTTATTGTAATCGATTGGTTTAATACTTTCAAAATATGTAGAGATCAAAAAATTCATTGAAATTTCAATAAAAATCACAAACAATAAATACAAGTACACGCTTTTAAAGCAAAATAGTTACATCACAAATGTGCTTCTCAACAAAATCCCTCAAGAATGTGTTGGATGATTTATTATAATATTTTGCAAGGTCCAAGAAATCACATCATTCAAACAGTTCGACGCCTCAATGACTTCGTTGTGCATATTCAGCATTGCATGGAAACCATTTTTATAGTTGACAGCAGTTGTCGGAACTCCAGCTTTCTATAAATTGAGAAAATGGTGAACGTTGTTGGGGATTCTTTCAGATTGCAAAATTTGAAAAAAAAACCAACCTTGAGCCGTTCTGCATAAATAATCCCCTCATCCCGAAGAACATCATATTCACACGTTACAACCAAACTTTTTGGCATTCCTGACAAATTTTCCCGCATCATTGGTGAAAAATCAGGGTTAGTGAGTAGATCTTTCAATAATTCCTGAGCTTCTTGACTTTCTCGGATTGGCCAACGTTTCGGAATTGTTATATTGTTATAGTTTGGATAGGTTTCAATCACTTTTTCATATGACATTTTCTGGAATTTTTATTTATTTAACTGGGTAAGCTTTAAAAAATCATCTACATACCTTATCAATTTTTGCTTTGAGCTCCGGTTTAACGTGCCCGTTTGTAAGCACATAAGGAACGAGGTATTTTTTCTCATTCATATCAATTCCAGCATAAAACATGTAGTAATAAGCAACTGATTCCGGGTCTAAATAAAATGTCTTTATGTTTTACTCAAGAAAATTTACCCACCAACTAACGCAAAACCATCCAATCTCTTATGAAAATATCGATAAGAAACAGTTTGCATATCCACTAATTGTAACAATGGATACAGTAAGACTTGTCCAGCAATTGCCGGCTTTTGTCCTCGAGCAACTCGCCTTTGCGTCACAGCAGTTGCCAGATTGCCACCAGCAGAATCGCCCATTACAACAACACGATTCAAATCTAGACCATATTCTTTGGCACCGTTTTCGAATAAGTAGGCTAGAGCATTTTCACAATCATGAAGACCTCCAGGGAATGGGGTTTCTGGTGATAGTCGATATTCAATTGAGACAACGAATGTGTTCATTCTGGAAAATTTGCATGAGATCATTTGATTTTAAGCTGGAAAACTTATTCCATGTTTTTTGATTGAAATTATATAGATTGAATAATTAGGAAACTTGCGAATAACTATTTCAATAAATTGATTAATCTGATTTTTCCGAAAATCCAAACCCCAAATACTCACTGTTTAGCAATTCTTCTTGTCAAACTATCATACATTTCAACATTCCCCAATGCAAAACCTCCACCATGAATAAAAACAACAACACCCCCAGTGGCTGAAGTTTGATTGACTGGATTAAAAACTCTTACAGGAACTCCATTCCAATCCTTATTTTCAATATTCAAAAAGTGATCGAACACAGTTATCGGTCCAGTGACCTTTGCCAATCCGTTTAACGATAATCTTGTCCACCAAACCATATCCGTTGGTTTTGAAAACATTCTACTCTATAAAAATTGTTTTTCTTGGTCTTTGAAAACCTATTCATAATATATACATAAAAAACGTATGTACTCACGGGATAATAATAAACCGCTCTGAGAACCGGTTCAATGACATGTAAAGTAACTCGATCAATTTTTGACTTTGCAAATCCGGCAGGCAATGGTTTGTGAAGAATCAAAAAGATGCATAATGTGACCACAGCAAATGCTAAAATAATTTTACCAATATTTCGTGATTTTTTGGTTTTGGGTTGCATACTGAAAATATTGAATATTAGATATGGAGAGTAGATCAAAGAATACATTTGAAATCGAGTAACGAAAAATAAGAAAAGATAATAATCTTTTTGAATTCTGGTTTTTTGGGGGGGGGGATTGTAATTTCAGAATCAGAAAAAAATGTGGATAGAGAAAGAGAGAAAAAAAACTTTTAAAAAATGTGCATTTGACCTCGGGAAAAATCTGGATTATCGAAAAGTAAATTTATGAAAGAAGGGAGGAAAGGTACTGCTTCACTTGTAGGAAAAATATAGGATGGACAAATTGAAAAAAGTTACAGCAGCTGTTAGCTCAGATTAAAAAAACAAAAACAAATACTGTTTTCTAAAAAAATCCTAAATTTCAGAGAGAAAAATTGTTGACTAAAAACCCAGAGAAATTTGCATTTGACCTTGTTAGGTCAGACAACAACTGTAGGATCAAATTTGAAAAAAAATAAACAAAATCTATTGTCCACGCGCATTGTAACCCATAGAGTTAGTCAGAGAAACTAGTTAGCGTCCCCCAACAAAAATGTGTGAAAAATTATGAATTCCCAAAAACAAATCCAAATCAAATAAAAAATTATTCCAAATCAAACCAGATGCATCAACTGTAACATTTCGGCTTTGCTGACGCATGCATATATATTTAGAAAAAGAAAAATAAAATGAAAGTGAAAATGATACTTTGTATCCTTCAATTTGTAGCCCAAAAACGTGGTATCATACACATTTTTGTTTCTCGCAAAAAAATACGATAAGCAAGCACAAAACAACAAATGAATATTTGAAAGTACAAATGAAAAAGTCAAAAAAAAGTATGGTGGAACCATTTGAACTAATTATTTAATTTGTGATCATGAAAAGAAGCGCTGGCGTTTTCTAGAAACTTCTTGTACACAATTTTACAACACATGTACAACAATAACAACGAATAGCCTTTTCGATTACGTTTTTTTCACATTTCTTTACACAATTTGTTATATTTTTGTTTCAGTTCTCGATTTTGTGTGATAAATTGTGGTTGGTCAAGAATTTTTTGTAATTATCTGAAAAATGGTTTCAGTGGTCTGAATGAAACCAGAATAAGATTTTGAAAAGGAACCCTTTAAACTTTGATCCCAGTTTTTGAAAAACACAGATGATGGTATTGTACATGCACAGTGTATAATTTACTACCACAAACCACTGTTTTAGCTGAATTTTAGATATGATGCAGGTCGGAAAAACCACTAAAAACAATTCCAACAACAAAAAAAAATCTACTCAACTATTTTTCAGAAACTTGAGAATTTCTAAAGAACGTGTAAAGTGAAACATTCTTTCTGAACAACAGTCTAATTTGTATGAACTTTTCATCACAAAGTACGGAAATGGGATATGTCAAAGAGAACAAAAAAAAATGTTGATCTCAATTTTCGATTCTTCAATTTCTGTCAAGCATGATGAGATTAAATTGAAGGTGAATCAATTTCACCGGAAATTAGTGGAAAAATTGGAACTTTTCTATCCCAAACATTCATTAATAATTTATTTTTAAATTGAGCAAATGTACACGGCTACAAATAAAGTTGAAGCCAAAATAAGTGAATAAAAATATGGCTCTTGATCATCAACAGATAAATTAGATCCTTTGAATTCAATTCGAATTTTATCTGTCGGCGTTTTGATGCTAACCCAACTTTTGGATTTTGGTTGAAGTCGAGCGTTTGAGAATTTTGTTTTTGGGCAGTTTTCAAATTGATTATTTTCGCAATCAATGACTAATTGAGGATATTCAAGATCAGTGATATGGAATGGACTTTTTCCAGCTGGTGGATATCTCATATGAATTGGCAGAATAACTTCGTCCTTGATTTCAAATGTTGAGAGAAATAATTTCTTGCGGATAAGATGGACCTAAAAAAGACGATAGAGTTTGATATAAAACAAATTTTGAAAAGAAATAACTAACGTTTCCAGGTTTTGAATCTTTTGCCGTTGCTTCAAGGTTGAATTTCTTGATGATAATTGAGTCATGATCGAAGAGTGAAGAATTGAGGCTAAACAACTTTTATTTGAAAAAAAGTTTAAAGGAATTTGTTTTGAGATATATTTCTTTTAAAAAATTTTGATTTGAAAAACACCTAAAAAAAACTAAAAGTTAAAAAAACTAAAAAAATGTTTCATTTTCGATTAAATTTTATATATTTCCAGTGTTTTATTCAACAGTTCTTCATTGAACTCATGAAGCTTCTTGATAATTTTCTCCCCTAAAAAACTTCCAAGAAAAAACTCACGAATTATCATCGACGTACATCGTCCTAGGAATATTGAATCTATACATGAGTCGACATTGTGTGAACCTAGATAAAGCCTGAATCGAAACTGAAGCACGGATTTTGCGATGAAGACCATCTCCAAGAACCTGAAACCGTATTCATTCAGAGATTCAAAATTCCATGAAAATTATTTACCTCCATTTTCACAGTGTTTCTAGAGTCATCTCGAATATCGCATTTATTTTCTGACAAAGCAATCCGAACACTTAAGCAAAGAAAAAAATAGTGAATAATAAATCATTTTAAGTGAAAAATCAAAATTAAAAGACTATTTCACACATTAATCCATAAGTAACAATTTGGAATAATTGATGTAAACACTTTTTGGAAAAATAAATAGATAATGTGCGTCGCATAAAATGTATATTATGCAAACACCGCGACGCACAATTGCACACACTGCTGTTGTATGACTGTGTGTGCTTGGGAGGGTCAGTGAATTGTGTTTGTATTGCGTTCGTTTTGGCCAGATGGCGGATATTATTCTCACAAAAATTCGACAAAAAGACGAATATAAAGAGTTTTATGATATTGCCACTAAAATTCGCAATCACAAATTGCTCACTGATGCCGAGGTTAGTCACTATTTTTATTTGTTTATTTATTTTATTCATAAAATGCCACATTTTAGAATGAATCATTGGTGAAACATACAAAAGAAGTGGCTGACGCCGAAATCAAATTGCTCACCGAAGCATGGCAAAGCTCATATTTTTGGGTGAGTTTTCTCAGACTTTTTCCTGATTTTTTTTCAAAAATATTTTTTAGATTGTCCTCCGGCAACTGAAAAATCAAAATGACCCATTGGACCCAACGCAAGCTTGTAGGCTATTGAAAATTATCAAAGAGACTGTCCCACAGCCAGCTTATAAGTGAGTTTTAATTTTCAAATTGCCTTCTTTTAAAATCTATATAACGCCTGGTTTCCAGAGTAATTGGGCGTCATTTTTCGACCATCGATCAATTGCTTTGTATATTATACAATGAACCATCAACAGTTGCCGCAATTTTGAACAATATCGATCAAAATGATGTGAGCCTTTTCTATTTATTTATTCAATTATTTTTGGGGAGGCATGGATTTTTTATTGAACAAAAATCGAAAATGTTTGGCTTTCTAGAGAGAAACAAGGGTTTGGAGAACAAAAGAAGTTTTGTTGAAAAATTTTCTAAAAGTAGCTGAAAATTATGAAAATATAGTTGAAAACTTGTTAAAAAGCCTAATGAAACGGGAATCTCAACTTTATTCAAAATCTGGGTTTTTTTAGATGAAAATCTTGATTTTTTAAATCACAACCTTATAATGTAAACCTTCCAGGCCACCTTCAATGATATTGCTGTTCAAATCATCTTCCATATGGTCTACTCGTGCAGTTTGTATCCAGAAGATGAATTGAGATGTTCCCAGGTATACCTTCTAATATCTGACCTTCCCCAAACACACAATATTTACTATATTTTCAGATTATCTGTGAGCTGCTGAAAGTGCAACTTCTAAAATCGAACATGAATATGAGGATGATGTTAAGGAAGGAAACATCAATATCTACAAGATTTTATCGATTATTTGTGGAATCTTCCCATTCGACGATGGTTTATTTGACAAGCGCACTCAGAAAAGGTGTTTTGTCAGTGGTTCAACTTGGAAATTTCTGGCTGGACATTGATGAAAAACAATCGTCAACTCGGTTTCTACGAGATAATCATCAGGATAAAACAAGATTGCCAGAATATCGAGCATTAGTTGTATCGAAGTTAGTGGAACTTGTTGATATTTTCCTGGAAGAGATTCATAAATCATTGACTATTTTGCCACCATCGCTGAATTGGATTATTCGAGATATTTTTAGTTCACTTTATGAAGTTTTGGATGATATTAGTGCTATTGAGGTAAGGTTTTTGAAAGAATTAGTAGAGTTTCACATGAAATTTACAAAATGGAAATTCTTTATAAATTAAAATTTACTGTATCATTCATCACTACTTTTATTAAAAATTCTTTATTTTCAGTTGAGTCATGCTTGTAAAGATATGGTTATCTCCAATCTCATCTGCCCTGCCATCATAACCCCACAAAAATTCGGAATAATCGATAATGATGTGAGAATTGGTGCAATCGTAAATCACAATTTGACACAAGTTGCTATGATTGTTCAAATGATTTCGCTCCGAGAATTTGAAAAACCTCCTGTTGAATATGAAGAATTCCTCAAACAATGCAGAAACACTCACTTGATTCCGGAAATGATGGATGTTTTGTTGATGGAAAATTCGGCGCCAGAAGTTGAGGTGTTTACGACGATTTCGTCGGGAAATGCAAAATCGGATTTGATGGCCAAGTCGAATTTTGTTGGATCTGTTGGCGATGTGAATATATTGGTTAGTTTGAATAATTCCCGATGGTTTTAAATAATAACTGACTTTTTTTTTACAAATTTTAATCTAACTTATCGGTTTTAATTAAATCTGAAATACCTAGGCTTTTCGAAACCGGAAATTGACTAGTTTTGTTAATTTCCGGTGTTCTCCAAATGCTTTTGATTATTCTCAAAATAGCCTCACGTTTTCAGATGAAATTGATCCGCGAGCCAATCAATGAACGAGATCCCGTCCTTGGAAGAGTTGTCAAATTATGCAAACGTCTTCCTGAATCATTTTCATCGATTCCAAACAACGCTTCAGAAGTTGAAAATTCCCCACGTCTTTCAACTCTCAAAAATATTCATAAAAGAGGTAATCATTTAAATTTTCAATATTTGCTTCATATTTATATTTTTCAGTGAATCAATCATTGAGTATGAAGCGACAAGATTCATCAAATGATGTTAGTCAACCTTCAGATTCGATATATTTTGAAAAAGAGAATTTTGATATATTTTTCTTGGAGTATTTACCGTGAGTTGCCTGAGTGTGAAACTATTCTTGAATACAGAATTTAAAAAATTTGAAATTTCAGTGAAAATTATGAAGAATGTCGCATAGAATATCAGGCTCCACCACGAATTGAAGAAGTTGCAATCACGCCTGAACCGGAACAAGTAGCTGAAACTGAACCTGAAGTTGAGCCAGAAATTGCAGTCGAAGTTGAGGCTCAAAGAGAGGAAGAAGAAAGCCAAGAGCAAAATATTGTTGAGGAGCAACAACACGTACCAGTAGATTTATTAACCTATGAAATTCCGAGACTTGAAGTAAATGAGCCGAAAAGACCTGAAAGCATCAGTCCAGATCCATCAGATGATCAATCAGCTGAAAATCGAGGAGGATTTGCAAAACTCAAGAGTCTGGGTGATCGCATGAAGCGTGGAATCACACAATCAAACACACTTTCTGATATTCGTGGACATCTTCGAAGAAGCACATCTGTAATAAAATCTGAAATTCCAACAAGTAGCAGTGATAATGCGCTAACAAAAGTGTCACCAGAACCACCAGCAAAAGGGCCAAGAGATGATATTTTGGCGAAATATGCTGGGAAATCGACACCGAAAAAGATGGAGTCACTAATTGGAAATTTGATCGATTTTATTTCGCCTAATAATCAAGAGGTCGACGAGCCGTATTATTCACCCGATAATTTGACATCGTGCAGGTGAGGGTAAAAGAAAAAAAGAATAGGTCAATTTCTAAAAACAAACTCAGGCATTTGAACTTTTTTTAAATTAATTTTGTTTTCATCAAAAAACTAAAAATATTTGTTTGAAAATAGTCCGAAAACCGTTGAAAAATTTCAGAGCGTTTCAAGATACTCTTCGAAAATTGGCAACAGTTCTTGGTGATGTTTCTTATCATCTTCATATGAATTACCGTATCAAGTAAGTCGCCAGCTTCTCTCTCAACAATCATCCAACCACTTTTTTGATTTTCTAGATCTGAAGAATCAGGAAATAGACAAAAACTGCTCCTTGACAAATTCCTTGGTGCAATTTTAGTGGAAGCCGAGCATCGAAGAGAAAATGGCCTCGCTGCACAAATTCGTGAGGTGAAAAGATGTATCGAATTATTTGATAATAATGGTGTTATCACACTTCTGGATTTTTTGAAACAAGAAGAAATGCATCGAGAAAATGCGATTGTCAAACTTCGAGAAGATCGAATTGTATTGATGAGAAAGAATAATGATATAGCATCGTTAGAACAAAGAATTAGTTTGAATAGAAAATTGACGGAACAAAATTTAGTGGATAGTTTAATGCGAACTTTTATTGAAAGTGGATTCTTGCCAAATCGCCAGCCAAATACAAGAACACCTGAAGTTGCGGCTGTTTTGAAGTTTTATGATGAGTTCAAGTATTTGTTGGCGCAAGATGAACGAGCCGAATTTTTGAGAAATCTTTTGAAGTTTTTGAAAGATCGATTGATGCAGAATTCTGACTGGAATGTGAGTAAAAAAGTTCGAAATAAAAATTAGATAAAAAACCATAATTTTGATTGTTCGAACTTGTTTATCTCAAAACCACATAAATTGTTTTCAGTACGCGACAGAAGCTATGATTACCCGAGCCATGACAACAATTGAACGATTTGTGATGTTTGCAGTGTATGAAACTGCATTTTATCCAAATCTCGGAGCTGATCAACATCGAGACAAGTAAGCATATTTTTTTCTGAAACTATACGACTACAATTTTATATTTTTAAGAAAACCTTTTTATTCTAGAGTTCTTCGTGCAAGTATTGCCAAAGTGTCTCAAGTAGTTACCGCGGATCACGATTCGTTGAAAATTCCCAAGGTAACTTTTTGCTCTTGAAAAAACGTAAAAGAACATTTATTATTTTTGAAAACGTTTTTTTGTCAATCGGATTAGCAGAAAAAACAAACGGATATTTTTTCAGCTTTTTAATAGTATATATATCCAGATTTGTATTATTTCTTCTGAAAAAAAATTATTTTTAGCGACTTCACGGAGAAGCACCTTGGCCATCAGCACAAGCTGAATTATCAATGTTGGATGTTTATGTGACTGCTCAAGACAAACTGAAATGCGTCGTTAGATGTTGTGACGTCATCAATAATTTGATTGCATTATCTTCAAAAGGAGCTGTTGCATCGGCTGATGATTTGACGCCTGTATTAGTTTTTGTAATTATCAAGGTGGGTGAGGATAGGATTATTGTAGATGAGAAATTTTGAAGGGAATGTTGGGGTGAAACTTTCATAGTTTTATAGAAATTTCACATGCACATTTCAATTATTTTTCTTATAACAACTTGTTTTTGAGCATATCTATCAGTCTTTGAAATTACTCTCTGATGTCACCTATCAGAGTTTGCTTGAAATCTGAAAAATCCCATTCTCATATTTTCCAGGCCAACCCACGATCTCTATTATCAAATGTGCAATTTGTTGAAACATTTGCTGGTGACAAAATTGAAACTGGTCGCGACGCGTATTATTGGACAAATTTCAAATCAGCCGTTGAGTTTATCAAAACAATTTTGTAGATTTATTTCAGGTTAACCTCATGTTGACTGTGATATTATTATTAATATTTGTATTATGATGATTCGAGATTGCATGTGCCATTTTATTTGTTTATAAAGCATTATTTTTTTAATCATTTGGTCAAAGTGCTACATTCTGTTGAGTTATATCACAGTTTTTATATCTAATTTTAATTTTAATTTGTATTTGTTATTCTCAAAATCATGTTTCTAGATGTCTTCTGTTGATGAAAATATTAGTGAAAGTGTATCGAAGGTGCTTCCAATTTTTGTCGTAAGTTTTTTTGTTGAAATTAAATTGCTCCAAATTATGTGGAACTATTTACAAAAATATTTTTTCAGAGAGAAACACCATTACCCGATGATGAACACCAACTTCAATACCCATATATGTATTCATTTTTCGTGCGACCAAATGGAAAATTCGATCCAGAAGACTACGCCAACTATGTTCAACCGGTAGCTGTTGTCAAAACGGTTGAGCAATTTTGGCGCGTCTTTTTGCACTTCAAACGACCAACTGATTTGGGCGACAAGGCAGACATTCACTTTTTCAAAAATGGCATCAAACCAGTGTGGGAGGATCCGGCAAATATTCGTGGCGGAAAATGGATTATTCGATTGAAGAAGGGACTTTCAACGAGAATGTGGGAGAATTTGTTGATGGCGATCATTGGAGAACAATTTCTGGTGGGAGAAGAAATTTGTGGAGCCGTTTGCTCGATTCGAAATCAAGAGGATATTATTTCACTCTGGACCAAGTGAGTACTAAAGTGTTCATGTAAAAATTGCATTTTTTGAGAAAGACCTTTGGGAAATTTGAATCAGCCAGAATATTTTGAAGTGTTAAAAGTTGTAGAAAATGTATTCCCTCTTTAGAAGTTTTCTAACCTGAAATGATGTCAAACACTAAACTTATCAATTATTTCAAAAACCCTCATCCAATGTCACTTTCTCTTCCAGAACTGCTGACAGTCTCCCAATCACCAATCGAATTCGTGAAACTTTGAGACGCGTCTTGAATCTTCCACAAAACACCGTGTTGGAATACAAAAAACACGATGACTGCCTCAAGTAAGAAATATTTTTATTTCATAAAATAACTTATCAAAAGATATTTTTCAGGGATCAGAGCAGCTATCGTCATACCACAAACATCTACAAAGTTTGAGTTTGAAAACCAATCAAAACACATTGGACCATTTCTAAATTATTTTTGTATAGTTATTGGGATTTTATTGGTTTGTTTTTCACGTATATACCCTTTTTGCATTTGTCAAGCATATAATGGTGTTTGGTTCTACATATTACTGTGCTTTATCTCCTTTTCTCTTCTCTTTCCTCAATTTTATTGAAACTTCCAAAATTTACATTTCAAATACATGTTTTTCCTTCATTCGTATAATCAATCATTTGCTATTATTTATCTTTGTGTCTAATAAAATCTGATGAAATACATACCTATGTACATATATATTTTTTTTACAGTCAGTGAAAAGCTTTTTTCTTTTCTTTTTTTGGTAATTACAATCAAGTTGATGGATATGTTGCATTAGTGACCAATTATAAGTGTCATGTCTTACAACTGACCCGACTTGTTTTTCGCTTTTTTGGCTGGATGTTCATTTTACTTTTTATGTGGAGAGATGAAAGAGGATGTTTATTTGCTTATTTTGGCGGTTTTGATTTTGAAAATTCCGATTGGTGAGTATTCTGTTAGGATTTTGGTTTTCAATTTAATTTCTAGCTTTAAAAATAGTTAAGAATTCAATAGTCAAAAAACAGCGTCTCATGATTTTTTGAATATCAGTTGGATTTTAAATTTAAACTTTAGTTCTTTTAAATTGACGTGAGGTGAACTCACACATTTAAAAATCCAAAACGAGACCCGACCCGTTCTATCCACTTTTATTATTATTTTTTCCCCGAAAAAAATTCTCATTGTCCATCCAGATTCACATAGTTTACACCGCGGGAATATCTATGGGATAAAAGTGCAAAACGGAAATCGAACGCGTCAAGTTGTGATCAAACCGACATCTTGGATTCGTAAGCATAAAATATCGGGGTTAGTGTTCCCACGACTAGTCACAAAAAATCCCAACCATATTGCAGACGAAAAGCACTTGCGTTCGCCAAAATCCGTTCATTTGAACAGCGGAAACCAAAAATATGTGAAGATGAAAAGGTTGGTTGCACTTTTTTTCTTTCACGATCAAATGAACGAATAAAAAATGTTTCGATTGAGTTGAGCTCCGATTAATTGTTGTAATCTATACGGCTAAAAACACACAGAAACATATGTGTTTTATGACACATTTTAGTATTATTATTATTAGGATTCAAGATTTTTTACAGAATATTTCGATTGTGAAAATCAAACGGATTGGTGGCGGATATCCATATGGTCCAAAAAATGGCTCGTTGAGTGAAAATCGCATTTGTAAAATGAGCAACAATTTTGAAGAGACTAGCATTCGATTTCTAATGAGAGAGATTTATAAAGTAGGTACATAATGACAATTGGTGGCTTTTTTGATGCGCATTTGATCGATTACGAATTATTGTAAAAGAAGATGAAAAAGTGTGTCAAAAATTGTTGACAGTTGATTAGAGAGAATGATTTGAAAATTGGGAAATTGAGGATTTGAAAATGTGAACGTTGTCAGCAGGTTTGATGAAAACAAGAAGCTAAAAATTTAGAATTTTCTGAAATTTATATTTTTTTGAAATCCTAAAAATTACTCTTAATTTCAGCTTTGCCAATTATTAAATTTTTTCAGGATCTCCAAAAAAGCTGGGAGCTTGGTCGAAAGAAAAGTGCAATATGGTGTTCTTATTGTAGAGCATATTGGAAACGTCAAAAATCGCCAACCCGTGTTGATAAATGTTGTAGCACCTAATATTTTCCTCTTCTTTTCTTTTATTTTTTTCAGTTTTCAAATCTCATTTCATCCATCTTATCCCATTTTTTTTGATAATGATGATAATAAACATGTAGTTGATACCACAACACACTTTTTCATCATCGGGAAAAAATGGATTAAAAAAGAGGGAGAGAGAAAGAAGCTCTTGAGAGCAAGCAGAAGGCGTGGTCAGAAAAAACAAAAAAGAATGGCTCCCGGTGATGATACACAAGGTGCACCTCTAGGTCAGTAAGCAAGAAGTTGTTCTTATTTTTTGGTCGTCTGTTACCTCTTCTTCTTTCTTCTTCGATTCCAAACAACAACAACAACTGTGGCAGCTGGCCATAGTGGAAACAAAAATATGAAGTTGCTCCGGGTTTTTTTTTTCTTGCTCCTTCTTGCTTGTGGTTATTTTTTACCCTATGATTCCCCTGTGTGTTTTTCCATTAGATGATTCATTTTTCTTGGGGTTGGATAGGTATAATGCGTTTTATTTCATTTTATTACAATTTTTGTTGTCCAGATGTTTTTTCTTGGTTTTCGCGAGATTTGCACATTTATTTTCTTGAAAACGATGTTCTAAAATGTGAAAACATGTTTTTATTTCTGAAAATGTGTTCGGGGTGTTTGAAGATGAAGTATAATGGCATTTTACTTCATGCTTTCTGATGTGTTCAGGATTACTGTAGGTTTAAGGATTTTGAGCAAAACTCTTGAACTAGGGGAAGTATTTCATCGGAATTCCGAATGGGAACTAAGTTCTGGGTTTTTTTAACTCACATTCAACATTTTAATTTCAAATAACCTCATACTGTTAAAAAATAAATTTGGTAACTCTGGAAATTCACGGGAGTTTTAGTTTTGAAAATTAGTTCCTCTTCTCTCCCAAAATTTCACGAAACACAAAAAATGTATTTTATTTCTCCCAATTGTTTTGATTTTTCATGATCAAATTTTGAGCCGAGGTCAAACTTTTTTCCCTGTGTAATCGAATACCTTAATATTACATATAATTTTATAAACAATACTCGCATAATGTTGCATTTGCATTTACAGTTCGTAGTATCTGGCGATCTGTTCTGTTAAGCAGACTCTCTGCAAAAGTATGTTATTTTTGATATGTTTTCGCCAGACCACCCCTTTTCTCCCACTTTATTCCACCAACAAATGTGTCAGCTGTATCTCGAGTTTCTCTACATATTTTTTATTGTTTATGAATTAAAAATACATTTTTTCTTATTTCAAGTTTTTTGAAACTCTCATTTTGTTTCTGTTCCGTTTTTCGTCAAAATCAAAAAAAGTTCAGAAGTGAGGTGAAAAGCAACTGTCTGAAACTGATACGTTTTTTGCGTTCCGTAAAATGTTTCGTTTTGTTTTGTTTAGTTTAACCTGACTTTTCTTTTTGCAGAAATATGCTAGTTTTTGGATTATTGTTAATTATTGGTGGTTTGGTGGTAGCTGATCCATCAGAAAAATGTGGAAGTGTTGAGGCACAGAATAGTTGTGGACAATGTATAGCAGCACATCCTGATTGTGGATGGTGTACGAATCCAGTGAGTTTGAAAATGTTTTGGGATAATGAGAGTTTGTCAGATGGATTCTGGAAAATTGTTTCTAAAAAACTCTGGAAATCGTTTTTCTCTCATGATTTGAAAAATAAATTTTGAACAAATTTTGTCGTTTTTTTTTCAAATTCTTAACTTAAAACAAATCCGATAAATTATTTTATGTATTCTGAAGATCAATCAAATCAGTTTCGAGAATTTCGCAATTTTCAGATTTGGAAATTTTATAAATAATAAGATATTCAAATTTATTTAAAAATAAACTCGTGTTCAAATTTTCATTTATCATGTCTAAAAATGTTGAACAAAGAACAGAAAATTCTAAATTATTGCTCTGATAAGGTCTCTTGAAGTTTCAAAGTTCTTCAAAAACTCATTCACATTCTGAAAATTCCTTTCCCACCCAATATTGTTTTCCAGAACGCCCCAGTGGTAAACCGATGTCAATTGCGAACATTTTTCAAAAACGAAACATGTGAAGATCGATTTGTCTACTCGCCAAAACCATCTGAAGTCGAAGTAAAAGGGGTCAGTTGGTGCTCGCATGCTCATAAAAATAATCCTCAACCGATTCATCTTACTCATTTTCAACAACGTGTGCCTGCGCGCGCAACTCGTAAAAAGCGATATGTTGTAATGTAACATGTATAAAAATGTCGGCAAATCACGACAAATTGCTTTGATGAATGAATATATATATAATTATATAGATTCTGCCAGAAAACATGTCAATAAAAACTTTTTATTACAGAATGTGCCATTGGAAGCTAAAGAGTTGGATGGAGTGAGTATTGTTCGAATTCAACCACAAACCACTGTTGTTAGGCTGAAGAAAGGTACTAATTTTTTCATCTCAAAAAAAGTCATAAATTTTGAAAACGTACTATAATTTTGCTAGGTTTGCTTTTAACTTGAAAAAATAATGGGCACATTATTTTTGTGAAGCAATTTGTCTTATAACAAATGGTTTGAACAGAAAAGTAGGGGTTCATAAATCAAGTTGAAACGTGAGCGGCTAATGAAAAAATGAGATATCGGTTTCAGTAAAAAAAATAAAGAGGAAGAGAATTCGAAAGTGTGAGAAATGGGATCAGAAAAACAAACAGCTTCAAATGTTTTGAAGAGAGAAAGGGGATTTTTAAAATACGAGATGAAAAAGTACAACATCAGAAAACACTCGGAAATTATGGGTTGTAGAATTCGGACCAAAATTCAAAGAATCCTATTCTTAAATTTCAGGTCACTCTGGAAACGTAACCCTCAAATATCTCCACATTGTTGATCCATCAAGACCTTCTGGAAACGATCAAATGCAAATTCTCACATCCGATATCTCTGCACATCCAATCAAAGCAAGATTCTTTGTTCTCTGTGAAGGGTAAGCCAATTTTCCAATATTTTTTATGAAGCCAAACATTTCCAGAGTCCTCACTGAAACCAAAACTTGCAAAGTTCAAAACAATCAAATCGTCGAAGTCATTGTTGAAATCACATTGATTGATTGCTTCTCTGGTGGAGATATTGGAGTTTCTGTTGGATTCAGTGGTGTCAGAACTGTTTCAGGAATTTATGTTTCATCTGTTTGTAGATGTGATTGTGAGAGAAATACGGTAAGTCAATTTTTATTTTGAAAATGAAATAAAAACGTGTGAGAATTTTTTTGCAGCAAATGAACTCACCATTCTGTAATCAACACGGTCATATGGTTTGTGGTAAATGTATCTGTCAAAAACAACGTGGTGGGAATAAATGCGAATGCCCGTTGTCACTTCACGGCGTTTCAACACCGGAAGAATTGGATAACAAATGTAGATTGTGAGTTTCGGAATTGAAAATGAATGCAAGGGATTACTTTAAACTGGAAAATAAGAAAAAATTGAATTCCCTTAAGAAAAATGGTATTGCAAAATCTGTCGGAAAATTTTTTGTTGAATGTACTTTTTTGTTACTCACATCCCTAATTTCTCCCAATTTCCATCATCAAAAATACTTTCAAAGTGTTTTGAGAACTAAACTCTTACGATTAGAAACTGATACAGTTTCAAAACATAAGAAAAGCAAGCTAAAAATTCGAATATTGACTACAAAAATCATTAAGCCTACCTTATTTACTGGTTGAATTTCTAGCAACTCTTCTTCCGCCATCTGCTCAAACAACGGAAACTGCAACTGTGGACAATGTGCCTGCACTTCCCCAACAATCAGCGGAAAATTCTGTCAATGTGACAACGCATCGTGCCCAAAAGCTGCTGACGGGAGAATGTGTTCTGGAAACGGAGTGTGCAATTGTGGAGTTTGCCAATGTCAACTTGGTTGGGAACGAGATGATTGCTCGTGTTCTACAGCCAACAACAATTGCGTTGAAAATGGGGTAAGTCAAATAAGTTAATAATATTTAGTATTATATTGAACTAACTAAGGAAATGTGTTCGAACAATGGAAAATGTCAATGTAATCGATGCGTTTGTAATGAAGGCAAAACTGGAGCGTTTTGTGGGTCTGATGAGGTGTGTGTGACTGGAATTATTAGTTTAGAAATAGAGGGCTCCATAGCAAATATTTTCGGGGCTTGAAACTGTAGAGAAAATCATTTTGAAAAACCATAATTCTCAAGAACTTCTAGAGTTATAGAAATTCGAATCAAAAGTTTAGAAATGTTATTTTCGTGATAATAGTTTGAAAATTTAAAGATTTTCGAACAGGTGTCAAGGCTTATATCAAAAAAAAATTTTTTTTTGAATGTGCAAGCCAAATTGTTTTCTAACATTGAAATCTTCCCTTTTCTAAATCCAACATTTTCCAGGCTACTGATATCATCACTCAAGTCACCCCAGTTGATCCAGTCAGCGATTTGAAAGAAGGTGCTGGACATGACGAAAAAGAAGATGAAGACGACAAAGAAATTCCAGAGGATGCCGAAACTTCTGGAAGCCCATTAGAAGCTTCTGAATCAAAAACATCCACTTCACTCACAATTTTCATTTCGACATTTATTGTTTTCTTCACCAATTTGTTTTTCTAAATTCAAAATCCTAACTAAAATTTTCTTTGATATCAAATCATCTTCAACAGCTTATGATTCTCACTTTTTCCCATTTTCTGTCATCTGACCTTTGTTTCGAAATCAAAAATTCTTAAAGATTATTTCTTCAATGTTCCCCCAAACTGTCCCAGTGAGTTTGAACCACAAAATCAACATACATACATATATAGTGCCTTTTTGAACTAATAACAATAAAATTTTTATTTATATGTGCACAGAGTTTTTTGACAATGAGTAAAGCGAGACAAAAACAGAAAAATATGAAGAAAGATTTTTTTGAAAAATGCCGATGAGCAAGAACCTGACATTATTAGGGGTTTTTGAATTTTTAACAAAAAAAAAAGAATAAATCAGATAGAAATAAATAGACTTTTGGCGAAATAATCTAACTGCAGTAAAATTCATCACTGGCAATTCTGACCCGTGACGAATCATATGTTTGTTGCATTCGTTTGGCGCGAAGTTGATCAGCCACCCACATTGTGCATTCGAATGAAATTCGACAAACATAAATCGAGATTGCGAGGAGAAGAAGGAAGAATACAAAGCCAACGATGCAGAGTTGAGTTGTGGCTGAAAATGGTTTTGTTGAAATTTAGTTCTTTTTCTGTAAAAAAATTACCATCAACGACATCGATGTTGAATTTTGGCAACAAGCTCAAAATGAATTTAGTGCATAAGTGGAAGAATTTGAAGAATTCGCTTCGGGGATCGACAAGAGCGTAGCCGAAAGCGATTGTGAAGCAGATGCACGTGAAAGCTTCCATTGTCTAAAACATTTAGATTTTGGGAGTAAAAATCTTGATTTATCAGAAAGCTGATTTTTGTTATTTCCAAATTTGTTTCCATAATTTTGAAATAATATTTTCATGGAATTCAAAAGAAAATGAATTGAAAGTTAAGAATCAAAAACCATGTAGAAGTTTATGAAAAACTTATGAAAATTGAAAAATTGAATCAAAATTGGTTGAAGTTTTCAGAAAATTACAAAATTGAGCTTTTTCTTAATTTTTGAAACTTTTTTTTGTTCATATTTACAGAAAACTTATTTCCAGCTTTTCCTAAACAAAATTCCGAATTTTTGAATTTACTTACCCTACAAACAACAAATGGAATGCATAAAAATGGTTGCCGTCTCGCAATTCCAATGTGCATCATCAAACTCGTCAAAACAACAAATCCCATAACACCCGATAAGTAAACGACGGCCTTATTTCGAACACCATACACATATAAATAAGCATTGAATGCCAAAATGATAAATGCAAGAATCAAGTAGATGAATGCAATACAATGTGCAGAAATTGTGTCCTGCAAGATAAAAATCAAATATTTTATTGAGAAAATCCAGGTGTTGGAAAAAACACCTGTTCTTTCGTCATAGTAAATCAGATTGAACATACCTCTCTAACATCTTTTCTCGATTTATTTTTACAAATCACTGGTTCCATTCTGGCTGGTCCAGCATTTGGATGATATCCCATTCCAGAATTGTTTGACTCATTTTTCGGCTCGAAACCTCCATAGAAATCTTCTCTCTGGAAAAAATCGGGATTTTGGATGATGGGAAATCTTTGGGAATCAATTTGAGAAAAAATAATAAGAAACTACTTGATTTCACTAACACCTATCAGATTTCTAACTCTGAGAATGAGAAGCAGAAAAATAGATCAAGTTTCAAGATTGGGAAAATAACTACCGGGGTCCTGAAAAATTTTTTTGAACGTTCTTGATTTTTTGATTTCAACTTGAAAAACGGAGCTTTCACTTTGCACTTCAGAATTGGAACTGAATTTTCACTTTCATTTTGAATAATTTTGAAAAGGCAAAAATCAACGAATTTCTTTTTTTCTGACTGAATATTTTTGAAAAAAATTTATTTTAGCGTAAAATGTTTACTATAAGCTTTAAAATTTAAAAATTAGATATTTTCCACCCAATCTCTATTAAATTCTTACCTGTGAGTACGTTGAATATGTGTAGTAATCTGCGGTCAAAATTGGAGCAGTTGGTCGAGTCATGCTCTGCTCTATAACAATACATACATATGAAAATATTGAAAGAAAACACGACAACATCAACAAGAAACAAAAAAAGAAGAAGAAGAACAAGACTCGTCAAAAATGTAGTATACACATATGAATGATGAACGTTGTCGGCTCATTACAAAGAACATGAGCACTAGAAGAGACGAAGAAAAAAGAAATTGAACAAAAAAAATAGATAGATAGATGAAGAAGAAGATGATGATGAAAATGAAATAAGACCGGACCAAGACCAGGAAAAAATGAAATGAAATGAAAAAAAAGAGATTGGTGTCAGTCGTATGAGTCATGATTTATGAATATGGGTCACATGAAATTGGAAAATTATTTTACTCATAAATTATTGATTTGGAAATTGTGATTTGTTGTTAATAGTAAAAATATGGTTGGAAGAATTCGAATAAATGTTGGAATAATTCAAAATGAGCATTGGAAAATCATGAAAATTTTAATTCTGGAGAAAAGAAGTTTCAGAAAGCTTTTCGTGGAGTGGTTTCATACTCCAAATCTAGATTTTTAACTTCAATTTTACAATCGGATTATGAAATTTGAGAAACCTAATTTATGAATGAATCTAAACCAGGATTTTGTAAAGATTTTCCAAATAAATCTGAAAATTTTATTGAATGGCAATTTCCGATCTTTTTGAAGCATGAAAAACCTTCTAAAAGATTTGTTTAGAAAAAATTGAAAAAAAATATTCAAGCAACATGTTGAAAAGCAATTCAAATGTTTCTCACTGAAAAGTTCCAAAATGAATTTTTTTATAATTTCCGAAAGCTCGTGAGCCTAAATCCTAAAAACTAATCCCAACATGTATCTAAAATAATTACAAAAAAAACTAATAATAATGCAAATAATGAGCACCCTTCACACCACCACCCAAGAAATCTATCGTCTCAGATAACACCTTAAAAATAGGGCGGAGCACACAAGAGCGAAAAATGACACATTATAATATTAATAATATAAGGTGTTTTTGGGAAGGAATCAAGAAAGAGAAATGACCATGGGGCAGGTGGACGGGATCAATGACGGCAAGCAGAAAAAAAACACAAGAAAAAAGAGAAATAAAGAAATATTATTTGAATGAATTGAAAAAAAGGGAAAAACCGATTGGAAGAAAAAAAGAACGAACGAAAAAATATTGGTAATTGAGGTTGTTTGGTGGTGAAGATGAACAAGAAGAAGAAGAAGAAAACATGAGGAAACGATGAAATTCTGTGTGTGAGTGTGTTTGAAAGGAAGAAGATGGATTGACGAGAATTATTAGTTGGGAAAATGAGAAGAGGAGTTTTTTTTCAGATTTACGGAACTATATGTTTTTAGGTTCCGCGAGGTTTTATGGGGTTTTTTTTATTGGTGAGAAGAATTGAGAAGACATCTGAATATGAAAAACTACTGTAAGTAGATCAAAATTATCATTTGGAGAATGATGAAAAGGTCTTTAGATGTATGGCATGTGTGCATGTTTAAAAATTGAAAAACTGTACGTTTTTTCCATAAACTAAATTTCAGGAGCTAGTGAATCCTATAATGCTACTAAATCCCAAAAAGTGACAAATTGACACATATTGTTATTCTTCTTAGCGTCTTCAAAACACCATTGGGAAGTTATCCCAATTCTTCAAGGGTTTGACAAAAAATGTTCAAAAGTTATTTGAAAATATTTTTGAAAATCTACATCTGAATCGTGAAATTTAAACTTCCACAAAAACACAGTTTTCACTAATATCTTTAAATTCCCAGACCTATTTGAAACGAGATACAGTAACCTTCTATAGTTATCTTATCAAATACAATTTCTACCACAGTGTTTATTGGCTCATAAACATTGAATTTTATTTTGGAGCCCGTGGGAAAGTTTCAAAGTTGAACGAAAAAAAGTTACACAAAACTCTGGCATCAGATTTCATTCATAAAACTAAATCTCGAATTTTTTTAGATTCAAATTTTGATACAAAAAATAGCATCTGCCGAAATTTTTTTTTATCCCATACGGAAAATCATCCAAATGGAGTTTTTCAAACAAAATTTCTAAAATTTTACACACCGCTTGACAACAAAAAGCAAATAAAAACTAGTAATAGAAAAAAAGATTTCCGATTCAAATAAATTTCCAAAAATTCAAGAAACGAAACAAAAGACATGAGATATCTATCATAAATAATATATTACAAATGTGTAGCCGGCCGCCCCACAAAATTTTTCGCAAAATAATAAAACAGAAAATAAGTAGTAAAGCCGGATAACTACCGGTGAAAGAAAGAAAAAATGAAGAAGACACAACTTGTTTGTTATATAATAATAATAACAATGCTAATAATTGTTTTCTCAACTATTTTTTCTTGTGAAAAATACTAGAAAAAGTGCCAATATTTCATTTTGTTAATGATAAAGGTCACTGATTCCAAAGAAAAATAATAAAAATAAAATAAAACCGCAAAAATTCAGAACAAGGTCAAAAATAATCTTGATTTTCTACATTCGTGCTTGTTTTATTTACTATGTAGTTTCTCACTGAATTTTCTTCTAAAAATAGTTGAATAAACAAAAAAGTTCATGATTCAAACAATTATTTGATATATAATAATAATAATAAAATTAATAAAAAATAATCCAGATTATTAGAGGCCTAAATCCAGTGAGCAAATATAAACAAATTATTTATCAAAAATTATTTGAAACAGACAAAAAATATGAGAAGGAGAAGAACAAAAGAAAAGAGAGAAGTGCCCTACACCAATGCGAATAAATATGATACTGTCTTGGCGTTGGGTGATACATAAATTAGAGAGCGTGGTGAAATGAGAGACGCAGATGACCTCCTGCACCACTTTCCGAAAGGCGAAAAAAAACGACTGGAGAAGAAGAAGAAGAAGAAGGAAAAATGAATAATCGATTGAGCAGAGCAAAAGGGAGTTGAATCATCTGGCTTTTTTGTTTTTCTAGTGGTCATTTTACTTCTGGTTTTTTGTTTTTTTGAGGAAAAAATATACGAATCTTCCTCAAAAAAGTAGCAAAAGAGGAGGAATGAGAAATGGAAATGAGTCAGAAAAAAAACGAAATTAAAAAGAATGTTGCTAGCCAGGATTATTTTTGCCTCTTTTTTCGTTGCAAAATTGCAATTTCGCACGCATTGGATAAAACTAGATAAAATTATTGTAGCGTACATTGAGGTAACTTGACAATTATAGGGTGTGAATTTTGAAAAAAAGTACTTTTATATTTTCAAAAAATTGGAGAGGTTTACCAGAGAACAATGCGAAATGGATAAATTGGAAATTCTCATGTGATATGGGGCTGGGAAAGGAAAAAAAAAGGTTTGGAAAAATTGAATAGGAATTTCGAAATACTCAAGGTTTTTGTTTTATTTCGAAATTCGCATATTTCAAATAGAAATCTGAAAGAAAAAAACAATAAACATTAATTAAAAAGCTCAAATATTTTGAAGACATCTAATTAAGAATGTATTCAAAGTTAATTAAGAAATGAAGAGATTTGGGAACATTTTTGAAATTTTGTAACTAATGTAAGTATAAGAGAAAAAAAGAAAATGAAAATGAAAACTGTTTTTTTATAATAAATTTTTTTCAAAACATATCTCAAATAAATCTCAAGAAAAAAATATTTCGAATTTGAAGCACAGCTAAAATCGATAAGAATTTATCAAATATATTTTTTTCTGAACAAAATATTTGACTTTTGCTTTTCACAAAAAAATATATTTTAGGAACTTGGTTTTAACTAACATTAGAATGAAAAACCATTTTTTTCCAGAAATTTTTGACAGTTTCTGATAAAATCTTTCAATCAACAAACCTCGGAAAATGAAAAAACCGGACACCAAACAATTTTCGAAATATATTCCCAAAGGAAAAAGAAATAGAGCAGCAAAAAAAAAGTGTTCTCACCAAAAGCTAACGCGCTAAAAATAGTTGAGAGGAAATGGACCTTTTTAAGTAGTTTCGTTGTCCATTCGCCATTTCTTCAAATCAATTAGACCAATCATGAACAGATGTCTTCTCGTTTCTCTAATCCCTCTCATTTCGGATGATGCTCCTTTCTACTACTCACCAAAAACGGAAAAAGAGTTTTATAACACGACTATTCTTGCTCTCCTCTTCTTCTTTTTAACCAAATTTGCTATGTGGTGTATAGTAGCAGTAGTAAAAGTATTCACAATATTTTTGGTGTCTTTTCTCTAATACAATTTATGTCAGAGGTTGAAATTAGATTATAACATGAGTGAAAAAGAATTAGGAACAATATTTTCGAAAGGCTGGCGTTTGGAGAATCAGGAAAAGAGGAATATTTTTGACTTTTCGGGAAAAATTCTGAAACAATCTAAAAAATCAGACCGAAAGTGATTCCGAATTGAAGTTTGAATATTTTGGAAAATTTCGAAGATGGTAGAAATTTTTGAATCGTTATGAATTTCAAAAATCATAAAACAAAACAACTCATAAACCAACCAAAAGTGCATTTCTTACCACCCACCGTGCAAAATCAGAACACCCACAGCGATAATGTTTGAACAATCATAAATCGAGAGGGAGATGCACACTGACACACATAAAATATAATAACCCAAAATGCCATTAATTTAATTTTTATTCTCTAGAGACAACAAAAATATCAAGATAATGTACATGAATTATGGGGAGAATTGGAAAAATGAAAAATTAAAATGGGAACAAAATGAGAAAACAAACTCAAATAGCAATTACTGTGATTCGGGTTCGAGCCAATGCCCAAATTCGACCATCTGCTGTATAGTGTACCTTTAATGAGAAAAATATTATGTATTATTCATAGGTATGCAGAATTTATGAATGACTCTTATTTTTAAGTAAGTGGTTATTAGTTAGGATTCTCTATATTTATGTTAAAGTGGGAAAGTTATCTGGAATAGGATATGAGTTAGGGATTTGTGATATTTTTAATAGAAAATTCTGAAGCTCAAGCAGAATATCCTATTTCCAAAAATTTACACGTAATCCGTTTTTTCTCACTTTTTCAAGCTTGTCTCAAAGCCGCTTGGTTTTCTCCCCCATTTCATCACTCACTCTCTCCATCTCATCATGCGACGAATAATCACCAACATCCGATTCTTGAAAATTATCAATCACCAAAGTCCCATTCTCAAAAATATGTTCTCTCCCATCACCAACAATTTTATTAGTTTCTTTATCAATCCACGCATTACATTCTTTGGCCTCATCGCAAAATCTGAAATATTTAAATTTTTCATTTTTCAAAACAAACAAAAATGAAATCACTTGATAAATTCTTCAGTTCCATCTCGATTACGTTTCCATTCTTTGACATCTTTACCAAGATCCAAAATTAATGTTTCGCCAATCTACAAGAATGATGTTCCGGATAGATTACCATACAAGGTCACTTTTTTCTTGGGAAGACTTTTTTGAACTTTTTTTTGCTTTACAAGCAAACCTCAGGAAAGCAAGCCAAAGGAAAAATGATAGATTTACAATGTTCATAAATAATTCGCATGTCGGTATTTTTTTTTTGAAAAAAAAATAAATTTACAACAATAAAATGTGACCAGATGTACAACATATGTATTCGTCTTCCACTTATTTTGGTTTACAACAAACCTTTGTTGGGAAAACAGCAGTTGCTGAATTGACAAAAATGAATGGGCAAATCAACAATGACGCAATTAAAAATGTCAACATCTGAAATTCAAACTCGATTCAGAACTTCTCAAAATAAAAATTGAAAACTGGAGAAAATTGATTGGAAAAAGAACAAATGAATGAATGGCTAAATGACCCTGCTTTGAGTGTTTTTGAGGACATGAGAAAGTTATTTCGAGGCTGGCTGAAAACATTTATTTAGATGTTATCTTTGGCGGTAAATGTAAAATATCTCAAAGACAGATAACCAAAATGTTTTTTTCAGAAATATAAAAAAATATAAAAACAATAATAAATCGTCAATCTTGATCGAAGAATAAGAATAGCAATCAACAAAAAACAATACTGGAAATTTTCGTTTTTTCAATCAACCACTTATAAAAAAAGTCAATTGGACTAGTAGTGGTTTTTGTAAGAAAGATGAAGACATAAATAATTTTGAAAAAAAATCGAAGAATCATTTGATACTGATTAGAATCTCCGGAAAAAAATAAAGTTCGTTTTTCAACATGTGATGTGATGGAAATTGTCAGCAATTTATTTTGTGAAATATAAATAGTTCATTTGATTGGAATGATAGATAGTTTCACCAGAATTGAAAGAAAATTTGAAGTTGAAAATGGGAACAATGAAATATTAATGATGAAAGGTATTTTTAAAAACTCAACAATTCAAATTTTTATACAAAAAAAACTTCGATTGTTTCAATTTTCTCGTTAGGCTCTCCGAAACTTCAATTTTCGTTTTTAACTCCAAATCTTTCAATCAGGATTTATAAAGTCTGAGGATCTGGATAAAGTCCATTTTTCAATATGTGACTAATTTATTTTTGATAATTGAGGTTATCAAACATTTATGTACTTTGTATGTTTTGTATTTTCTCTCTTTAGAGACATTTTAAAGTGATTTATAATATCATAATGCCAATTTTCAGTATTTTTGATTTTCAAAACTTGTAAAGAAAAACTGGCAACATTGAAAGTTTTAGTGCTTGTCAGAGCTTGTGTGATCAGTATAGTTTTTCAAGAGTTTCTCGGAAAAAATAGCCGTAGGGACTAGAAATTTCCTAGTCCCTACATTTCTCGAAAGCTTTTCCTCGAGCTCTATAAAATCGAGAAAGCTTTTTCGCAACTTTTTTAATAGATTCGGGCAATCTAGAGATGAATATCTTTCATTTTAGACCATGTTTATTTTTGGGTTGCTGGGCCATTATTCAAATTCGAAACAGCTCTGAACCTATAATATTTCCAAGTGGCGATAATCCGAATCTTATCATCTCTTATTTTCTATGTTTAAAAATTGTTTTTCGAATATTTTTCTTTTCTGTTTTTTTCTCGCCGATTTCGTAACTTTGGCAACTATTGATTGAGAATTGGAAAAAAATGAAATTTCGCCATCGTGTTTTTTCTAATAGTGCTCTGTTTTTCAATATATTTTCCACATTTTTTAAAGTTTTTGGTATCATTTTTTACATATTCTCATAAAAGATTGAACTTGAGGTTGCTACCTTCCCGAAAAAATCTGCAAACGACAATGTCCAACAGCAGTTCAACTCCTCAAATCAAAATGCCAAATGAATGTTTTGCGGCAATTTTTCAATACGTAAGTTTTATCACGTTTGAAACTCTCACCCAACAACAATTTTGCAATTCAAATTCATTTCAAAAATCTAAAAAATAATATTTTAGCTTGACAAAGAGGACGAAAAAGCAGTCAGAAAAGTATGCCCACAGTTCAATATGGTTTATGAAGAGTGGAAACATTTAATGCCCGGACCATCCTGCAATGTGACAATAGAGTATTATAATGGAGAACTTAAGTTTTATATAACTTCTCTTGAACGTGGTTCTACTACAAAAACTGTAACTTTGTCTGAATGGAGAAATGAGTTTCTAAATGCAAAATGTCGTAAGATGTCGATTCGAACTGACCGGAATATGCCGGCAGACCTTATGAACCAACTATTCATTTGCCAATCAATTCTTAAAATGGAATTCTATGGTAGACAACTTGATGAAGAACTATTAAAAAAGTTATCTCCTCTGGTCAATGATCACATTCGGGCTGTTGTTGTAAAATTGAAACCAGAAATGGAAGAAGTTCGAAAATTAAAAGATATAACTGTAGTGGATAAAATCGAACATTTCTATGATTTGGTAAAAGTAATGGAAACTGTGTCAAAAATACACATTTGGACAGATTGGACTATTCTTGGAAGAAATTTGACAATAATTCGGGTTCGTTTTTTACTCATACTTTCCTCTAAAAAATAAATAAAAATACGTGTGTTTTTTTTTCAGAGCCTAAAAGAGAGAATGCAATGTTTGCCGAATTGGACATTTGAATTGGATGATCACGGCAAAGACGTTGACTATCGAAAAATCTATAAAGATTTCAAAGACATTATTAATGATATTTTTGGCTATACTGTCTACTGCTATTTCCAAAGAATATGTGATGGTTTTGATGCTAATAGAACTATCTATGTGAATTGTGAGAGGCTGACAATCGATGAATATGAGATTAGCGATAATGAGGAGGAGGGCTCCAGCGATAATTGAGAATAACTTACCCCAAACGAAATTCAACACACTTTATTTTCACTCCCACAATCTCTTTCGAGGTATTTTTTTGTTTTTTTTTCCTATTTATATATGTACCATAATTTTCATACCCGTTCCAATTAAAAATGTTCAATAAAAGTGTTCGAAAAGTATGATGTTGTTTTCTTCAAAAAATCCATTTTTTTCACAGGTAAAGATAAATTAGTGTAAAAACGCCGATATGGTCTAGAAAAATATGATTGATTAGTTCAGAAAGAAAACAGTCGTTTTTTGTAGATATGAAAGAGACATTCTGAAAGTTTTCCATATAAAAATTTTTATTAACAATTATTTCTCTATTCAACAATTATATTCTATTTCAAAAATAGAAAATCCTAAGCAAAACTCTAAAACTTTAAAAATCTCTACCAAAAACCGCCAGCACTTTTTCCATTGACTTTCTTGATTGAACCCTTTGGAAGTTTATCAAAAATCAATAATCCAGCCATTTTTTCAATGTCTTCAAGTTTTAGATAGAAGCTTGTTAGTTCAGCAGTGTCCGGAATCACCTTAAAGTAATTGTGTATTTCCTTGACAAAACACTTTGAAATAGAAAAAACCAACCTGATTTGGAAGAACAAAACTCTCCAATTCAAAGTTACCCGGTTTTGTTTCAGTCAACAAAATTTTGAAAAAATGGGTTGGCACTGCCACATTGTTCGGACCAATCACTTGATATTTCACATAATTTTTGCCATCCTCAAAAGTTTTCGGCAAATATAATGGTCCTGTCACAATATAAGTATTGATCGCCTTTTTCGCTTGTTTTCGACAATATCTTTCCAAATCATTCCATTTGTCTCGATTGAAACCTTTTCCAACTTGTGGAGACATGTTTGTTAACATGAAAGTTTGATCTACCGCGTTTTGAGTTTTGCGATGGTTTCCAGCTGCTGCTAAATGTCCGCGATCAAAACCAGATCCTTTGTAATCTTGATTTGTTGAGCGGAAATATTGATGTAATGATTTGTCTTCTTGGAAAGCACATTTTGCACGATCAACTGACTTGTCATGAACTAAGCGTTCAGGAGTAAGATGCTCACAAACCTGTAGATATCAATTTTCAGCTCAAAGTTCATTTTATTCAAGTTTTATGAGAGTAGAAAAAAAGATTTGATGCTATTTTTGTCAAAAAAAAAACCCTCAAAATCTTTTCTTCAAATTTTTCCGGTTTAGCATATTTTCCAACCTCTCTTTCTCCTTGATGTGGATATTTTAATGTCTTTTTTGATAAGAAAAATAGAAATTCTTACCCAATGTGCAGTTTTGGTTTTCCTATCATAACTCAGCACAAAATCCTCAAACGTTCTCAAATTATCAAAACCGGGGAAGCCATGTGTCATAATTTGTGATGCTCTTGATGGTCCAACTGATGATCCATCATATGAAGTTGTCATTGGAAGTGTAGGCTAGAATAAAAATATAAGGCTTTTGAAAAAAACTTATGAAATAATAAAAATACCGGGCTAACAGCAGTGGCCGATTGTGCATTTCGAAAAACCTCCAAATTTTCATCCTTCGAAAATCTTCCTAGGGCAAATGAGCATCCAGCAATTGCAGTTGCTCCAGCAGCCAATCGTATCATTTTATGTGTTTTGTATGTTATTGGCAACCTATAAATTCAATAAGTTTATCATTTTTTATCAATTTTACACGTGCTTCAACGAAAAGTCAGAATATATATATATATAATTATTTATCACTGTATGCATAAATTCTCATTTTCTCACTTTGTGACCTAAATTTTCTGTGCATGATCTATTGCATGATGAGTAGGAGAAAAAAAAACATTTTAACGAGCAAGTAATAAACTGTGAAGATAACAAACCTCAAGCACCCCTCCCGCCATTATTCTATTTTTTTTTGTCTTGCTTGAATAAAATAAAATTTTTGCTCATTTTGTCTCGTTTTCTCATTTTCTCGCGTATTTAGTAACAAGTGTGGTGCGGTTTGATAAAGAAAAAAATCGTGTTTGTTTGATTGTCTCTAGTCTTGTAAAACGGTTTATGTGGTTTTATGTATAAATTTTTTTGCAGATGAAGAGATTTTCGCTAATACTTTTATTCTTCATTAATTTTATTGGGAATATTGATTGTGCGAGTGGTGGATCATCTAAAGGCACATATCAAGTATTGGATAGTGTAACGCATATACCATGTATAACTCTACAAGCTGATATTTATCTATATTTGACTTATTATACTACAGATGGAGAGGTTGGTTTGTGATAAGTGATTTTTGATTTATGATTTTGAAAGTTCACATTTCGAAAATTTGTGGATATTCTAGCCAAGTTCAGAGCCTAATTCTATTCAATCAAATTTTCAGAGTGACGTAACTGTTCACATTCCAACTACATCAACTGTCGATAGTTCAGTATCATCATGCGATACGATTGTTTCAACTTCGGGCCTGTCAATCAAATCGCAATTACTCCGAATACTGCCCTATCATGTATGTAGTTTGATAGTGTTATTTGATAAGTTCAAAATGTGTTCGTGATATACACATACTGACAGATAGCTATTTTTTAAAAGAAGGGGTGTAAGGGATTGTGGTAAATCTTTTTTGCAAAAAGAAATCAATGCGAAACCAGGGGTAACATAGGAAAGCAGCATTTTTTTCATCTAGTGTCCAGAAACATTATTTGTCAAGTCCTATCGCGTATTTTTTGAAAGGCTAGTTATACACTGCTCCACAAAAAGATAACCTCACCCCTCATTTTTCAAAAAAGCGAAAATTTGAATTTTTTGAAAAAAGTTTGTTTTTGAAAAACATGTCAAATTCGGATACTAATTCATCCCTGAAAACAAATTTCAGATTTGGTAAGCGTTGAAAAAAAAAATTGAGAATTTTCAAAAAAAGCCGATTTGCCAATCCACATAATGATAACCTCACCCCATGTTTTTTGACGAATTCGGACTTTTTAGTCGGAGTTGGTCACCCAAAATGTGTTAATGTATGGTTGGTGAGTTTTTAATCTAAAAAAAACACAGTGCCACGTTTCTAACACGTTGTGAGCATCAGATTTGGAGCATTGCGATGTAAAGAGCATTTTTCAAAAAATTTTACAGATTTTGCTATTTTTTTCATTTCTTTTTTCAATGTTTGACGTTCAAGACGATCCAAATGATCTGTTTTAAGCTCATTATGTTAAAAAAATTGGAAAAAATTGAAAAAAAGAAGAAAACAATCGAGATGCGAATTTTGAATTTCGCGCCGATTGATAATTTGGAGCACCCACGACGTAAACTTTTGAAAATTACTGTTTTTTTTGTTTTTCGAATTGTTTTCTAATGATCAATACTTTTCTAACATCCCACATCAAATTTTCATCCAAAAGGCCGCGAGGAAAGCCTCTTTCTGATTTTGAAAAAGGGCAAATTACAGCCAAAAAAGATCAACGAATTCCAAATCGACAAATCGCAAGAGATTTAGGCCGTAGTCCACGAGTTATCAATAATTATGTTAACGATCCGCGAAATTATGGCCCCGGAAACTGTCCTGGTCGTCTGAGCTTGCGATTTGTCGATTTGAAATTCGTTGATCTTTTTTGGCTGTAATTTGCCCTTTTTCAAAATCAGAAAGAGGCTTTCCTCGCGGCATTTTGGATGAAAATTTGATGTGGGATGTTAGAAAAGTATTGATCATTAGAAAACAATTCGAAAAACAAAAAAAAACAGTAATTTTCAAAAGTTTACGTCGTGGGTGCTCCAAATTATCAATCGGCGCGAAATTCAAAATTCGCATCTCGATTGTTTTCTTCTTTTTTTTCAATTTTTTCCAATTTTTTTAACATAATGAGCTTAAAACAGATCATTTGGATCGTCTTGAACGTCAAACATTGAAAAAAAATGAAAAAAAATAGCAAAATCTGTAAAATTTTTTGAAAAATGCTCTTTACATCGCAATGCTCCAAATCCGATGCTCACAACGTGTTAGAAACGTGGCACTGTGTTTTTTTAGATTAAAAACTCACCAACCATACATTAACACATTTTGGGTGACTAACTCCGACTAAAAAGTCCGAATTCGTCAAAAAACATGGGGTGAGGTTATCATTATGTGGATTGGCAAATCGGCTTTTTTGAAAATTCTCAATTTTTTTTTCAGCGCTTACCAAATCTGAAATTTGTTTTCAGGGATGAATTAGTATCCGAATTTGACATGTTTTTCAAAAACAAACTTTTTTCAAAAAATTCAAATTTTCGCTTTTTTTGAAAAATGAGGGGTGAGGTTATCTTTTTGTGGAGCAGTGTACAGTGAGTAAACCTATTGATTTTTAATAGCTATTCAAAACTATGTCCCCAAATACTACTGAAATATTTTTTCAAAAGCGAATTTTTCTAGATGGATGGTTGGTCAATTGATTTCGCCTTCACAAAAGACAACACTTTCCGCACAGATAATGAGAAACAATATGCACTTTTCCAAGTGAATATCACCGCTAATTTTGCATCAGACCCAACTTCTTTCCCAAATGCCAAAGGTATGATAATCCTCTTCTGATAGAAAAAGCCATAACATTATTTGAAGATTCTACTCAACATTATTATGTTCATATTGATCCAAATGATATTTCTGATATCTCAACATCAATTTACGCAACTTCCGGAAACGCCTATTATTGTCCAAGTAAACAGAAATATGCAATCAATAAGGATTCTAAATATGGACCTTATGCATAGTAAGTTTTCACTGCTGAAAATAAGTTAACATAACTAGCAATTTCAGCATTTTACTTCAAACTACAACTTTGCAAGCTTATCAAACCGGTGTGTCATTTGGACAAAGTAAGTCTCTAATTTCAATGTTTTCCTATGATGTGTTTTTGTATCAACAGAAGAGACATGCTCAAGCGACCAAAGTGTGACTGATATGATTCCGATAATTGTTGGTTCATGTCTTGCTGGCTTGATAATTATCACATTGGCTGTGTATTTGGTATGTTTAGTGTGAAAGATAAGAACCACCATCAACTACTGTTTTTTTGATGCATGCTCAATAATCTTTTTTTTTCTAGATTTATCGCAGTTGTTTGCCCGAAGATGTTATCAACTTGGTCAATCCGGAATCACACTATAATTATGAAAATGCTATCAAAATTGATGATGAGGATGATATTGCACATATTGAGCTATAATATTATGAGTCAAAATATTTGCACTTTTATTTCAATTGTAATAATAAATGTATACATTTTTTAATGGGAACATTTTTTTTTTGATGAAATGCAAAGTGCTCTTTGTGTTTATTTTTTGATTGATACTAACTGAAATAAACATTCCACATTGCACATTCTGCTAGAATAAACCATTTTCAGTTTCATTTCATATTTAGGTCTAGCAACTCTACTGACTATTTTTATCAAATTTTTTATTGAGCTGGTGGGTGAAAAAATTAAAAGAATATATTTGAAAATGCGAAATAATTTTTCGTCGGTCATGTGACATGAATTTCGTAATCTTTTGCAACAAAAACATCTTTCGAAATAGAAGGATTATGAATCAAGTTCTTTTTTTTTTGCACAAAATTCTGAATTTTCATGAAATATCAATCAAATAAGTGTCTAGACACTCAAAAACTCTGAACACTCAAGCTTGATTGTAAAATTGTCACTTCTGATTTCAACTCAAATTATTCTTCTGTTCTCAATATACTTTAAAAAAGTGCAAAAACGTTTACAACCTTTTTTTCTGATAAGAATAAACCAAAAAGTGTGACATCGTAGGTTATTCGTAAGACCTTGTAATCAAAACTACATTGTATTTTACGAAACAGAAAAATGACATCAACAACAAAATTGAAATTAGATAAAAACGAATTTTCCAATTTGATGCTTGAACAATTTTAACCAATTTTCAAAAGTTCAAAAATTGCATCAAACGATATTTCAAATGCAGAAATTCCAATATTTTCTTGAAATATTACATATTCGTACAAGATCTCAAAAATCTCGTCTAACCCTATATTTAAAAATTAATCACATGTTATAATTTTTGTCATAATTTCACGATCCTATTACTCAAATTTGCTTAAGTTTCTACTATAGTTATCCCAAAATAGTTATATAGTTTTGTAAACTCTCGTAGTTCCGCTAAACATCTAGAAAACACCATCATGGGTAATCCTGATAATTCATTTTAGTTTTAATTATAGCTAGTCAGAAAAATTACCATATTTATGTAATTTGTTCTCAGAACTGTTATCAAAATGATTTTTTTCTTTTTTCATAAATTAATATGTTTTCGAAAAATCACTAATCTCCTATTTTTCATTATTATTCATTACAATTAATTTTATAAGATTTCCCTCTAATCTTGTTTTTTTGGTAAAACAAAGTAGTTCTTATTTTCACACTTATTTTTGATAATTTTTCTGACATTAAATTTCGTTGAAAAAAAATTTTCTGAAAAAATTTCGAAAATTATCAGCAGGCACGTTAGCATAAAGCCTAGCACACAGTAAAAAAAATTTGCAAAGCTTTAATCTTTGCTAACTAAATTTTCCTATAGGGGGAAGTTTCATTTTAAAAAATTATTTAAAAAAATAGCTCGAAAAGACGATTTGTTCTTTCAAACTAGTTTTTTTAAACCCCTCTGAACTTAATTAGTAACATTTTTTATTTTCTGGCCTAAAACTCGTGTATTTATATCACAAATCACACGTATACCAGGGAAATTAACAAAAACAATAAAAGATTAACAAAATTTCAAGAGACTTACTAATTTTTGAATAATTATCTCAATATAGAAGAGTTCTATCTTTAAAAAAATTAGAAAAAAATCCTCAAAAAAAAAAGAAAAAAGAGAAGAGAAAAACATCTGCCAGGGACGAACATCTCACAGGGGCCGCCGCAAACGCGCCCCATTGCGAACATTTGTTTGTTGAACGATGACAGCAGTCTCTCGTTTTTTCTTCTCCCCTCTTCTCTCATTTTTTTTTCGTTTTCACAACGTTCGCAATTTTTTGGATATTTGATATTTATGTTATAATAATAATTATATATCATATTCAATTCATAAACATTTTGCGTCGTTTATATTAACGTTTACATACATACTATTATTGATCGCTTAACTCTTATTGTTTCAGATGTTGTCTGAAAATCAATCTTCAACTTCAAATTCTGATTCTTTCGCCAACAGAACAACAATTATTCCAGAATCGGTGAGTCATTTTGTGTTACGAAATAAAAAATAATACACGTTTATATTGTTCAGCCAGCTTTATTGGATGATGGTGATGAGATTAGTTTGGAGACGGATAATATTCCACCATCGAAATTGAGATTGTCTGATGATGATCAATGGAATGGAAATGGCGGAAAACCAATCAATAGTATTGAAGACCATCAACAGTTAGTTTTATTGATTTTTTTTCGACAAAAACAAGGAAAAACATAATAAAATAATAAATAGTTTTTTTTCAGATTTGATGAAAGCAAAAGTGACAATCGTTTTGCTCAAATTTCTCCTGAACCACCAACAACAAATTTCAAGATTATTATTCAAGAATTTGAAAAACGTGGAGAAGGAATCAACGCTTTCATCGTCTACAAAATTGAAATTGAAGTTGAGGGAATTGTTGGATACACCAAAAAACAATATGAAGTCTGGAGAAGATTTTCGGATTTCTTGGGTCTTCATGAAAAAATTGTTGAGAAATATCTTCCAAAAGGACTTGTTATTCCAATTCCACCAGAGAAAAGTATCGCGGCACTTACAAAGACCAAAAATTCTGATCCATCAATTGCAAATGATGTTGGAGTTCGTCGTGCTCGTCAACTTCAAAGATTTATGCAACGTCTTGTTCAACACCCAAGAATTCGTAGCGATTGTGATGTTCGCGATTTTTTGACACTTGATGGCGATTTGCCGAAAGCTAATCAAACTTCTGCTTTGTCAAGTGCCGGTGTCAAGAAGATGTTCAAAAGTTTTGGAGAGGTTAGTACTTTTCTTCTATTATTTCCGAAAAAAATGAACCACTTCTTCAGGTTTTCTCAAAAATGGCATTCCACATGGAAGAAGGAGATCGTTGGTTCGAACAAGTTCAATCACAAATCGATGAGTTGGACGAGGCCCTTCGCAAACTTCACACAATCTCCGAAACTCTTGCATTTGCCAGACGTGAAATGGCTGTAAGTGGCGAGCAAATGAGCAAAGCGCTTTCGATGTTGGCTGCGTGTGAAGAATCGACTTCGTTGTCAAAGGCTTTGTCATCATTGACCGATACAACTGAACTTGTTAGTGCGATTTGGCAGAAGCAATCGGATAATGATACTGCGAAGTAAGTTTCAGTTTAAGAATAAGTTATGGAAAAAATATGATGTGAATGTTAATTTTGTTCTTAAAATAATTCAGACACAAAAAGACAAATTTGGTGAAAAAATAAATGAAACAGGAACAATACAATTTCACGATAGAGATTAGGATTAATCTTTTCATAAAAAATGAATAATTGGATTAAATCAGCCAAAGTTATCTTAAAATTTATTGTTGAAGCTCAAATTTCTAGAAATATAATGTAAAAAATTATTTGGTCGTGGAAAATCTAGGGTTTTTTTAAAATCTATCTCGTGGATTTCAGATGTTTAAAACCTTTTGAATTTTTTCAACCAAAAACTCACAATTTTTTTTTCAGATTCTCAGAATCAATCGGAGAATATGTCTCGCTTGTCGGTGCTCTCAAAGAAGTCTTCGAAGAACGTGTTCGCGCTTGGCAAAACTGGCAAAACGCTCAACAAAGTTTGGCCAGAAAACGCGATCAGAAAACCAAACTCGATTTATCGGGAAGAACTGATCGTTCCGAACAAATCAAGGCTGAAATCGATGAGACAGTCATCAAAATGGATCAATATGAACAGAATTTTATTGATTTGAGCAAAGCGATTCGCGAAGAAGTGACACGTTTTGAAAATGAGAGAAGAGCTGATATGAAAACGATGCTTGTTGAATATCTTGAAACTCTTGTTGGAACTCACACTGAACTTCTTTCTGCTTGGGAGAAATTTGAACCAGAAGCCTTGAATATTCGAGTCTAATTGCTTTTTGCCTTTTCCAATAATTATATACATATATTCGCTCTATCCTCTAAATACCGCCTTATAAATACCCTATGCCTTTTCTATTCATTATTCTAATCATTTTTATCACCCAATCTCGCCATGATTTTTCTTTTTGTCAAATTTAATTCCCGAACCAAATTCATGTGATCAAAAAAGCCACCCCCGTTCTTCCTTATTTATTACTCATATTTATTGATTTATTTATTCGTAAAAGCACTATTTTTTGGTGCTTTTTTCCTTGTGTACGGACATATCGAATTATAGAAAAAAGTATGTGTATATTGGACATTTTCTCTCTTTTCATTTTTCATTTTGGTAAATTTGTTTATTCAATATGAATTTGATAATCTAATTAATTGTTATTGGCGCTGGGAAATGTGGTTTGCCACGCTGAGAATTCTGTAAAAAATATTTCCATTTTATAATTTCTCTCGGGATCGTACCTTTTGATATCCATGAGGTATATGTGCCAACTTGATTATCCTTGAAATTTAGGTTTTTATCATAAATTACTCTATTTGCTGTTGATTTTGTGCCAATAACTTGAGGAACATATTCAAAAGTATCATTATTATCAACAACTTCAATCATAAATGTTGAATATCTTGTATTCAATTGACGCGAAGTTCGATTATCAATAGTGGGTGAGATGCTGGAAAAAGTTTTTCTTACGAACCTCGAAGATTTATGAGAAGAGCAGGTAAGGTTACTCTTTTTCAAATATTTACCTTGCTGAACCTGATATCACTGTTAAATAAGTTGGTCTCGTTGAATCGACACCAAATGTATATTCATTTAATATCACTGAATCAATTGCACCTCTCAAATTACTGATTCCATTAACTGCAGTCAAGTTCAAGTTGAATATTCTGTTTCGAATTGATGTAACATCTTGAGGATCATTGAAGTTTGAAGTGAAAATTGGACCCTAAACGTTTTTTTTTCCATAAATAGACTCTAATTCAATAAAACATGAAATGACTCACATTATTTCCGTATGTGACAAATGCCAATCTTGTGTCATTTCCACTGTTTGAGAATGTTCCAACATTGTTTGTGAAATCGAACAAGAAGTTTTCGATTGTATTTGTGTAGGCTGTTCCCAAAGCGGAATCGATGAGGAAAATGAAATCGGCTTTGACAATGCTTTTGACTGGATAGGCGGTTGGGTAAACTGTGGACTTGTAGTCTGGAAAGTAGACGATTTTTAATTCAAATTGGGATAAATGCGATTAGAAAAGGGGTAGAAGCCAAATATTAGATCACGTTTCTCTAATATCGTATACAATTTCTCAACAAATTTTTCACACTCACCATTCTGAATTGTTGTAAGCAAATCTTGAATTGCTGGCGCAGTCAATGATATTTGAGCCACCGACGAAACAGTCTCATAGAATCCACTGTTTGTGAAATTTCTGACATAATCAAATCGTTGCCCATTAGTTCCAACAGAAAACACAGTCGATTGATTTTTCACATTCTGAGCAGTCGCTGTATCTCTTTGATAAAAACTATCGGCATGTGAGAAAATCAAAGTATAAGTTGTTGTATCATCTCGCCATCCATTTGCTTCGGTTAAAAAGAAGAATAATTCTTGTTCAATTGCTCCAGCTAAATCAGCATCTGTTGAGTTTTCGGTAGCTTTTGCTAATGTAAGTTGACTGATTCTGTTTTTCACATTCTCATTTGAAACTGATTCATACAAATGGAATCCATCATGTGGAATTGTTCGACCGTTATACGCTTGGAGAGCAAATTGTGTGGATGTTGAATCGATATGGAAGAGATTTGTGAAATTGGCAAGGAATGTTTTCATGGTTGCAAAATCATCATCAGTTAAACCAGTTTCATCAAGAAGAATGATAATATCAGCAGCAATAGAACTAACTGGGAAATTGATTGAATCCACAATTTGTTGATCTGCAAATTTTTTATAGAAAAACTTTGAGATATGGTTATTAAGATTGTTTACCGTAATACAAATCAGTAATGAGTGAAACAATAGGGTTGCCTGAATAATAATCCAATGGCAAAACTCGGTTGAGGAGTTGTGAACTTGAGGAAACCCTGGAAAATGGTATTGAAATTTGAAAAACATGAAAAATTGATGACTTACGTATATATTTTACTTGCATCAAATGCTAATTGTTTGGCATAACTTTGAGCAGCTAAATTGTAATTGGCAACATAAACTCCTTCAACGTTATTAAGCAATTTTGTGGAAAGTTCAGCTCCAGTAGCGCTGAAATACTTTTGTGTTACTTATAAAATTTTTGGAAGATTATATTTGAAAATGGGTTTTTCTGTTTTTGCTTAGAAGCCTTCGGTATCTCCTTGTTATAATTGGTTTTACAATAATTAAAAAAAAAAACAGCTCACTTCTCCGAACCAACAACATAAATAACATAATTTGGTCGATCTGTTGCTGTTGCCAACATATCTGCAGCATATTGAATAGCATTTCCAATATTAGCAATATTTGAAGTTGACACCGAATCACTATTCCACGAGCTCAAATAATTGTCAACTGTTGTTTGATATGCATTCAATTTTAATGGATTCAAAACATTTGCAGCGAATGGAATAATACTGATTTGAGTTCTGAAAATTATCATTGAATTGGAAGTTCCCTCAAGTGTGCCATCAGCACTCACTTGTGCCAATCGACAGAGAATTGATTGACAAAATCAGAAACATATTGACGAATGTTTGTAAAATCAGAGAGAATAGATTGTGATTGATCAACAATGAATACCAAGTTGCCAAAGAAGTTTGTGCTTGATGGAAGTCCTGAATTTATTTTCATCAAAAACTATTTTTTCTTGAAAATCCTACTCTTTGAAGTTGTTGTTTGGATGAGTCTATCGACAAGATCATAATTAGTATCGATTCCAGTATAAACTGAATTCCAATCAGAAATCAAGAAACTGTATTGACCATATTGACTAATATCATAATTATTCATAACATTTGACAAACCAATAGCAATTGTTTTCACACCGTTTCTTTGAATATTTTTCAACTCTGAATTCAATGTTGTCGTAGATGTTCCCAAAGTTAAAAGAATTAAGAAATTCTCATTCAATCCACGATATCCTGATGAGTTTGAAGCATAAATATTTGAGTTAACATTCTGCAAAGCATACGCAATATCTCTTGAGTTTCCGTGATTTCGACTGTAGAAAGATAAGTGCTCGTTGCGACATGAATTCAAATCATAATAGTTGTTGACCTGCAGAATCCTCATTTTGAATTGTTTTACAGAGAGAAAAAATGACTTACATCAATAAATTTGCAAGCATAATCTACAGTTTGACCATCGAATGTGGCAATTGTGAATTTTGATCCTTTTTCACCAATCGAATATTGTCCAACAAAAATGTCAAGGAAATTTCTGATTTTTTCAAAGGAAACTGCATCCATTCCAGTGGTATTCGAATTTGATGCAACTGATGTGTCAATCAAAATTGTAATATCAGGCCAGACAGTTCGAGCTTTGACAACTGGAATTGGTCCAGGCAATGTTGGAACTGGCGGAGTTGGTGGATTTGTTGGAACTGGAATTAATAATTTAACTTTGAAATCTCTTCTAAATTTTTTTCAATACGAACTTTGCACAGGTACGTAATTACAAGTTTTTGTTGTGAGAACATTTGCTAATTGTCTTCCAGCATATTGATTTCTTCCATCAAGTTCCAATGGATCAACAGAAATCTGATAATCTGCACCAGGAACTGTATCAGTGTTGACTGCCAATGCAGATGTATAGCCGCCGACTTGTTGAACCATGGCATCGTGTTCAGAAAATGCATCTTCAACGTCAGCAAAGCTGAAAAGGAGTTATGAAACTTTGAAAAAAATGGTCTGTGAGATGACTTACTCAATGGTATCAGTGATCAAAATCAAATTCTTGCTAGCATATGGTCGACCATCGGTGAAAATTTCAACAGCTTTCTTGTAAGCACTGAAAGAAAAAAAAAGTTTGAGATTCAATTATTCAATAATCTTACAGGGAAAGTGTTGCCGTTCCTTTGGTTGGGTAGAAAGGCAACGTTGAAGCAAGTTTAATGTAATCTTGTGCAGATCGGAGATATGTGAAATCAGCAAACTAAAAAAAAACTAATTTTGGTTTTTAATATTCTTGGGAAACTCACAATTTTGGTATCGAGATAATAATACGAAGCAATAGCAAAATTGATAGGATATGAAGTTGTGAGAACTTTAGAACTTGGTTGACCAGTTGTTCCCAATAAATCTGGAATCAATTCATTGGCTGTGAAATTGATTATACTATTCCAATTGTTTTGATCGTTAGCATGCAATAAAATCAAGGTATCAATTGGCTCCTCGCATGGTGGGTTAACTGAAAAATAATTCTTATTTTTTGTCGAAAAATCTTATTAAAGTTACTGTAATCTGGAACCCCTGGGCAGTATTGACTATTGATGAATTTATCGATTATTGGGGTTAGTTGGTCGGCAATTTGTCCAGCAATTTGAGAACGAACAGATTGAACCTAGAGTGAAAATACGAAATATTTTTTGGAAATTAAAAACTTAACACTCACCGAAACATTAGCGTTTCCAATAATTTGATTCGCATCAATTGAATTGGAACCGGTTAATTTGTCTAGTTGGTCTTTGTTATAATATGGACCAATAGCAACTCCTTGAACTGTAGCTTGTGCTTGAACGGAAGCTGCGTCGGCAGATGGATCAGGACAGCAGTTTGCGAATTTATCATAAGCTCCGCGAGCAAAGAAAACGACAAATTTACTGTTTTGAATAAATGCGTTTTGCAAACTTTGCGATGTGAGTTGGAATCCTCTGAAACTAAATTGATTAGAAGACGTATTGTGAGAGAACTGACAATTGAAGATCTGATGCTGCTCCATATGGCTTGAAACTTGTTGTGTTGAGAGTATCAATAGCAGTTTGACCATTTGTGAACTGAAACATAAGAAAATTGATAATCTAATCTTCCAGACCTTACTAACCTGCTGGAATAAAACTCCTGAGTTTCCAGAATCACCAACTGTCAAATTTGGTGGCGATGAGAAATAAATCACCGAAACCGAAATTTTCATTGGAGAAATGAGCCCGAGATAGTAAGTGAGAACATTCAGAACACTTCGAACTTGCTGGAACGTTTTTCATTTTTTTTTCTGCTGCTAGTAATTTTTGACTTACAATATCAACAAAGTTGTCACCTTGAACATCGGATGTTTCAATCACAAATGTTAAATCGATGTTGCAGTTAGAGAGATCTAAAAAACTAGATTTTGAAAATCTTCTTATATTATGAATCATGAACCAACCTTTGCATTTAAGTTGGTAGACCGTCGTGTTGACGTTTTGATCAGAAGTGATATCAGAAGGTTGAGTCACGCTCATGAAGACAGAAGGAGCATAGGCGTCTCGAACTCCATATTGGACAATCTGTTGGATTGAACTTGAACTCTGGGAGCTTCCAGTGAGATCTGAAAACACAATTTTCAAATCTCAAAATTTAGAAAAATTACTCACCAACTCCAACAATTTGTGTTTGATATTTGGACCTGATAGAATATGCAATTTGTGAAGCAGCTTGCTCATTATTATTGAATTGACTTCTGAAAAACAATTTTTACATTTCGATTAATTTTATAAAACTTACTCTTCAGTTATAAAAAATAAAACTGATCGAACTGTATCATTATTGTATTGGGATTGTGCAGAGATGAAATCGCGAGCAGCGGTAAATCCGCTGAAACAAAAAAATGTATTCACTCACTTTCAGAATTGTTTTACACAAGGGTGACTTTCTTACACTGTTGGGTTAGAGACTCCAAGATATTGTTGAGCTGAATTGATCTGATTAGCAAAGGTGGTGAAATCAGTGTATGTTTTTGATTGATAAACAACTTGTTGATTATAGAAAATAAAAGAAAATCGTGATAAATTATTCAGATTATTCAAAGATGTCGCAACTTTAATAGCATATTGAATAGCAGACGAATAGCCATTATTCAAAAGATTTTGAGATTCATCAATCAAGAATAACACATTTTGAGTGCATCCCGAGATTGTCGGAAGAAGTGGGTTCAATGTTGGTCTTGGTGTAGTTGTGGTTTGTTGTCCAATAGTCGTCACCAATGGGATTCTTGTTGGTGCAGGTGTAGCTGGCGGAGCAGTTGGGTAGAAAGCTTGACATCCCCAGAGAGCTTGTGTGTTTTGAACAGCAGTGTTTTGCAAATAATCAATACTATCGATTGGATAAAAATGGAAGAAATCCGAGGCAATTGGTTGAACAACACTTTGCACAACTTGAGAAGTTGACATCAAAATAATACCGATTGAATAATAATATTGGTTTTTCAAAACATTTGAGATTTCGTTAACCGTGTTTGCAGAATTCATACCACTGCAAAATGATTTTTTTAATGTTAGTTTTTTTGAAATGCAAAACACTCACAATCCATCAGCAACAACAATCAAATTTGTAGCAACTCCAGTTTGTGGCATATAATTGTCCATCACATATCGGAGACCTCTATAAAATAAAATCAGTGCTATGTTTCTGGAGTTATGCTAACTTACTCTTGCATATCATGAGAATCAACGTTCAGTGGATTTACGATAGTAGAATTGAGTTGGCTGATAATTGAGTTCCAGTTTGCTTGATTTCTGGATCTTCCAAGTGGGATTCTGGAAGAATATTTGAAGTGGATCTTGTCCCACGCTTATTATCTTAAAAATTCTCCAACTCACGCCTCATTTCCTCCATAAATCACCAAACGATTTTCCTGATTAGTCCACCCATTATTTTGATCAAGATTAATGGTCAGAGTAGAATTTGAAAGATAAGTCGAAATTTTTGCAAGTTTATCATCAAGTGTTCCAATGATAGGAGTAGAAACATCAACAAGGAAAATGTTGACAAGCAAATTTTGACTTGCATCGCAATAAGCCCCGTTTTGAAGAACTGCTGATGGTGTAGTTGATACTCCCGGTGCCATAGTTCCTGGTGATACTGTAGGTTGGTTTGATTTTGGAATAAGACCCGAGCATTGAGCAGTTGATGTTGCTAAAAATTATTGATAAGGGTTTTTAAAACTTTGTCGAAGAATGGAATTACTGTAAGTATCAGTTGGATATCCTTGTGCAGTAATAACACTTTGAACATCAGCTGTTGAAACTGTTCCATCAGCAAATACAAATTGAGTATAAAAATTCACTCCATTTTGAGCCTGACTGCAAAAAATCAAAAGATTATGTATGTAATTCGATTTATCAGCCGTGTCTATTTTTAATCGAATAAAAATTTTGATAAGAAATGCATGAACTTACGAAAACGCGTTGACTTGAGTTAGCATTGGTGGATATACTGTAACCAGCGCTTTATAATAGTAAGTTGGAATCACAGGAGCAGTCCAACCAGATGAAATCTACAAAAATACACAATTTAGAAGAGCAATTATCGGATTAATAGAAAATTACATTGGCTTCCAATTGTGAGGCAAGCATACGGAATTCATCAGAGTTTGGGTTTTCGAGATTTTGAGACCAGGTAACACCACTGGCAAACGATGTTGTGAATACAGCTTTGGGATTTGTTGGACATGTTGGAATTTCAAAGGATGCTGGAAGAAGCTATGAGATAATAAATAGACAACATTTTGTGACAGGGTTGATTGTGCGTGGAGAAGAAAATCATGATTTGTGTGGTCAAATTTTGGTTTGATATAGAAAAGAAATTGGAAATGTAAAAAATCGGTTTTTTCAATAGCTTTTTTGCTCAATTCTCATTTTCGGACAAATAAAAATTATATGTTTCTCAAGCCGGCTCTCTTTCAAATCTCGTCTTGTTCTTACTAGTACTCTTTTTCTCCTTTTTTGACACCTGCTCGTTAATCTGCATGAAAACAAAAAGGATATGCATATCTTTCCGCTTTCATTTTTGTTCCACCATGGCATAGTGGTAGAAGGCTAGGAGTTGATGTTCCCTAGCTCTGGTTCTATCCCCCGCTGTGGTGGTCAATTTTTGAGCGTTATGTAGAGAGAGAGAGGGGGAATAGGCTATATATAGCATAGGTTTTCTCATATGGAAACTGGTAGATCAAATAATGTTTCTCTGTATTTCTTCGGAACTTGATAATAAGAAATCTAATTCTGAAAACTAATTGCAAAACAATCTGAAATTGAAAAAACTCCACATAACTTTTGATCTACCGTTGAAAAATATTTGAAACCTTATTCAACTTACGAAATACTGGCATGCTATTTGCTGCGACAACAATCAAAACAATTCCTACAATCAACATCACCAATGAAACCAAAAATATAGCGAATGTGATCCATTCTCGGAGTTTTAGACTTTTGACAAAGTCTGAAAAGTTTGTCAAACATTCTCTAAAAATATTGTCAAATCTCAACTCACCCATAAACCCCATTTTTCCACAATTTCAAGGCAACTTCAAGCAACCTGCAACAAAAAATTTAACTCGTAAATTATGATTTAATTGTGTTATCAAACATGTTTCGAAAAAAACATAAAACATGAAATGAAACATTAGTGGCACGCTTATCTTGTCAATGGCACGATAATTCAATTGAAATAGGTTTTTCGGGACGTTTCATCATATTACTATGATAACGTTCTGCATTAATTTTTTTGTTCAAAGAGCTTCCAGTTTTCTGTGATTTGGGGTGAGATCTAGACCACAGATAAGAAATATGAGAAAAATTGATTCTTTATTACAGCCAAAACATAGCAGACTGTTTATGAGACTGTTTTGTGCATAATTTCAGAATTGTTTCAGACGTGGAGGTCGAGTTTTGGTCATGTTTAAGGTCGATGTGCTTCAGAAAAGTTTATATCAATTTTTTTTGTGTCTTCATAAAAGCTTTCCCTTTGTGAAATGTTTTTTTTTTAATCTGTTCGAGAACTTGTTCAGTACTTGTTCAAAAATCCTGATTGAATAGGAATTTTATCTTTGAAAATCTATCGAACTGACAACTCTCCTACGTTTTTTTTTTCGAATTCAAACTCATCCGCTGAATTTTTAATTTTTTGAAACATTGTACCCATTGATCAACTAATAATTACAAAAATTCAACTGTCAGAAGAGGAAGAGAGATAAATATAAACCGATCAATGTAGATTATCTCATGACTGTGTGTGTTTTTTTTTTGTTTTCATTTCAAATCGAAACAAAATGTTTCCTCTACTATTTCTATTAATTGCATTTTGTTTTAATGTTCATATCGCTGAAAATTGTGAGACATTTTCGAACAATTTCCAACTGATATATTAAATTCAAAAAAAAATTGCAGGTTCTTATGAGCCAGTAATCCGTGGGGTTCATATTAATCAAACATTGGGAGATTTGAATCGCCAGATATTTCCTAACTCGACAAATTGCAAGGAAAAATGTTTGTTGTCTGAGTTTTTCAATTGCACTGCAGTTATTTGGGATAGCGCAAATCAACTCGGACCGTGTTTTATATTAGATACGGTAAATCATTTGTTCCCTTGAAGTGAACATAGGAGGTGTTGATTCTGGTGTAGCAGATTGGCGTCAGAAGTCCCGAAAAAGTCTTTTCCGGGTTTTCCGGAAATGTTTCACATAGAACTTCCTGTGTTTCAGTGTTCAGAAACCAGTGAAACATTGGAAACCACAATCAGAACCATAAAATCAATGAGAAAACATTCTTTTCATCAATATGTAATTATATTGCAGGTAAACACCACAAATGGAATTATTACCAATAACAGTAGTTTTATTCTGCATCTCAAAACCTGCGGAAACGACACAATTCCAAGTGTGAAACCATGTACTTTTGAAGCCACAGAAAGTCTTATTAGTGTCGCCTCAAAGAATATCTCATTTTCCGAATCATCCAACACAGCTGAATGTGAAAATCTCTGTCTTTCCACATTCATGTGTCAAAGTTTTATTATCAGTGAAACAACTGGTAATTGTCATTTATATGCAGAAACTCCCACAAATCTTGAAGTCGGTGATTCAATTCTTTATACCAAAACGTGTGAAAATGCAATAAGTCAGTTATCTCTCATTATTTGTTTTTCCAAAATCAAAATTCAAAAAATAATTCCAGAAAATTGTATTTACACAAGTTGGTCTGAATGGTCAACGTGTTCTGAATGCAGTCAATCGAGAACCCGAACAGTCCTTGAACAATCTGAAGATGGTGGTGTCGAATGTTCAGACAATGAATCCTACGAGCAAATTTCCTGTGTTAGTGATTCATCCTGTCAAAAATCATAATTTTATCCTTCAATAAACTCATTTATTTTTCTAGAATTGCGACTCGAGTTCTGTTCGAATTTCCAGATCATCAGCAAAAATCAATAAAATTGATTGTGACTATTCAAATTGGAGTGAATGGAATACGTGTGATAAAGAAACCTGTCTGATTCAAAGAAATCGAACATCACAAGTTTTTCAAAAATTATTTTCATATGAAAAAGAAAATTTTGTTTTCAGAAATGTGATGTTGATGTGGATAGATTGCCTTGTAATTGTTCTGGAACTGCAATAAGCTCTCAAACTACAAAGGAAACTGGATGTCGGATTGATAATTTCAGTTTGTACAGTAGACCATCATCAAAGGGAATCAAGGTAAGATTTCCTAGTGGGTTGGCAAGAATTAGAAGTTCATCGTGATTCATAATTTGATTCCCGATATTTTCTAGTCGCTAACCCTTTTCAGGTAATCTCAAATCCAACATCGAGTTGTGCGAATGCCTGTGCGAGTGAAACCTCCTTCATGTGTGAAGCATTTTCTTTACCCGTTTCTGGAAATGGATCTTGTATACTTTATGGAGAAATCGATCAATATGTGATTCAAACCGATGATAGTCAACATTTTCTGCAAGATGTGTTTTGTACCACTGAAGGTAAAGATGGAGGGGCGGTTAAATTAATGTTAGATTATTTTTAGGTCAAGGTGCAGATAAATTGTGCAGTTATTCGTTTAAACGTTCTCTAAATTTTCCGAATTTTAATGAGCCAACTCAATACAGAAATATCACTCTTGAAGGTAATGAAACTTGTGAGAATTATAATTTGAGGAATGGCGAATTTTTATCTGATTTTTATTATATGACTCATGTTGGTAAGGATTCTAAACTCCTTTTTATACTTTGACCACTATTTGAAATCATATTTGTTGCAGATCCAAAAAGGAACCAGTGCATTATTTTCAATCCTCAAGAAGTGAACGATAAATTACAAAACTCCCTGAGTTGGGATTCATACACACTTCAATGTTCAAAAATTTTCTAACAGATACAATATATACAAATCTCACTTTATAAAGTGCATTTTGACTTTGTGTGAAATGAAGCGTAATTCCCTTATACCAAAGCAAGAAAAAATAGACACTGAACTTGATTCGAGCAGCCGCACTTCCGATAGGTTGTCTCATTTCCTTTCTTTATACGTTTATTTTTGGTGGGGGGGGGGCGCCGGCAGGCCACCACAATTTAATTTTAATTTCAAAGTTTTTTTTTCTTAATTAAATTGGAGGAAAAACAGAGGGCTATCTTGATTTTGTTTTTTTCTCATTTATTTTTTTCACGTTTGGTTTGCAGATGTTTGATTATTCAACGTCCAGACCGAGGTTCAGACTTGGAGCCGGTGGGGAATCTATGAGCAATTCTAGTCCGAAAGGTATGTTATTCTGGGAGGAATTTAAGTTTCTGACATATAAACTCAACTTATTTTCAATTTTTGTAATTCTTCAAACTAGACCTCAAAACTTTCTGAAGTTTATAGAACAAGTTCAAAATTTCATTTTTATTTTAATTTTATCATGGTAGGAATTGAGTTTGGTTTTTTGAATTTGAATTCTAATTTGTTCTTTGTGGCTCAAAATTTACAAAATATTCTATATAATCCAAAAAATTCAATATAATTAGTTTCTTTTCTGTGAGAGATCTTTGAGACGAGAAAATTGGTTGAACCTTTTATCAGCCACAAGAAAAAATACAACTCTAGTCTAAAAAAATGAAAAGATGAAAAATGAGGGGAAAATGAAAAGGATCCCGCACATTTTTTGAGTGATATTGAGATGAGTGATATGAGATGGCAACATACATATGAGTTGTGTCTTATATATATATCTTCTGTCAGATATACTGGACATATACCTCTTCATATTCTTCTAACCGATAAATTTCTGATTTATTTCTTGTTGTTCTTTCCCTATTTCTTTGTGGTTTGGTTCATAATAATGATGATTTTGATGTTGATCAAGAACAAAACATAGATTTTTGTTGGACAATTGGAAAAATGTTGAGAAAATTAAGGCAACGATTGAGTAAGTTTGCTTTTCCTCTATAACTGAATGAAAAAATCTGATCTGGCTCAAAAACTTGATTTTTCTTTTTTATATACACTTATCATTTGAAAATATATAAGAAAAAGTGTGGTTTTTGAAACGTTGTGTATTTTTTCTGTGTGAAAAAAGTGTAGAATTACAACAGAACTTTTATTTTCAAGTGATAAATTTTTGGAATTCTTGGGTATTATTTGAAAACATTTATCACAAGACTTCAAACTGAAAATTTGAATAACTGTTATGAATGGAAAAAAATTTCACGTTTTGTAGGAACCAGAAAGATTTGGTTTTTTTGTTTCCTATTAATCTGTAATTTTTTATTAAATTCTTATAATATCCAAACATTGAAAAACAACCTAGAATTCCCAGAGTCCTAACTCATCACTAAACTCCAGACAAAAAAACCAGGTGTGCATCTTTTTTTTGTCTTTCTACCACCCTTCCTCCCTCACTTTATGTTCGCTGTCGGCGGCGGCTCGGCCTAAAAGCTCCACGTAAATGAGTCAGAAATGGGAGCAACTTGATAGTTTTGTTGCACAAACATGCGCATCCGCCATCCGCAGCCACCCCACCTAATTTCACTTGATGCTCCTTTTTCCCTTCTCATTTTCCAACCATCTTTCGTCTTTGACTTATTCTTTGTCTCCAAAACAAATATTGTCACCTTTTCTCGTCGTCTTCTTCTTCTTCTTTACTTTTCATTCACACCTTTTTGTCCACCTGTTTTTTTTGGTGGCACCCAACCAATTTCTTCTCATCCACCCACAAAATCCACCAATCAAAAATTGGTGTATTCCTTCTTCCCATGGGGTGAATGCATCAAAAAACACGAAGACGAACAATAGAAGTATGGAATGCCTTGGCTCGACCTCATTCCTCCCTCTCTTCTTATTCTTTCAAAACACACATACTTTTTGATATTTTTTTGCATGTTTTCTTTCCTGTTGAACACACACGGAGAGAAAACGAAAAACGTGATGAAAATATTCTCTCATGGGAGCTAGTATGAAATTTACAAAATGTGTATGATGTTTTGTGTAGTCCTTGGAAAATCTTGATTTTTTTCCCTGACTTGTGTTCTGCCAGTTGTTTGGTTTATGAGTTCATCACATTTATGATCTATTATTTATTTTTGCGGAATGCGGTCTTTGTTTTGAGCTGCTGATTTCTGCATAGACTTCTGGTTTTTAAAAATGAATTGATAATTTCTAAAAATCATCTGACAGTGAGACACCAGTTCAGTTCAGAAATCCATCTATTTAAATAATTATTGAATCACACAAGTTTTACATTTAAATTCATTTTGGTTTCCATCAAGAAGTTTTTTGTTAGTACAATAAAAAAACAAAAAGATTTTGAAACATAAAATTAAAATTAATACAAGTTGAGATTAAATTTCAAAGACCATATCACTTATCGTTTTCTTCCGAATCTATTGATATCTCTCTTAGCCGTCTGATCATCTTTGCGATTCTTTTATTGAGGCAAAGAAGCCGTTTCGGCCATATTTCTTCATTTCTGTATTCCGAATCCATTGATATTTCTCTTAGCCGGCTGATCGGCTTCTTTGCGATTCTTCTTGATCTCTTAGCCGGCTGATCAGCTTTGCAATTCTTCTACTAGAAGAATCGCAGAGAAGCCCTTTTGACCACATTCCTTCATTGCTGTCTTCCGAATCCATTGATATTTCCTCTTAGCCGTCTGATCAGCTACTCTTAGCCGTCTCAGCTAAGAAATCGTTTCGACAATATTTCTTCATTGTTTTCTTCCGAATCCATCGATATCTCCCTTAGCCGCCTGACCGTCTGATCAGCTTCTTCTTTTCTTCTTCTTCTTCTTCTTCTATATTCCTTTTTTTTTATCCAACTCAAAGTCATCACCGGACGTTATTCTTCATAATATTGACTGTCCTGGTATATCGTATTCAAAGTTCTTCGGAGCATTGTCGAGTTGACTGAAATACAAAATTCATGACATTATTTTCATTTTTTTCTTATAAAAAACTAACCTTTTTTACACCTTCACCCAAACCATGACAATTCGCTTCCGGCTTTGTAAATTTTGGCCGGAAGCTATTCGTGTCGATTCTGATAACTTCTCCAAACTTCTCACGAACAATTGATTGTCCCCCGTGTTTTTAAGTTGGTGATGCCATATTCAAACATCTCACTGTTGAATTTTGTACCTGAAATACAAAATTCATAACATTTCTTTTATTTCACAAAAAAACTAACCTTGCAAACAACGTCTATAGTTACAATCCACTTCGAAGAAATCCTCATCGCCCGCTACGTCTTCCAAGTTTGATTGCCATTAATTTCTTTCGATCGTTTTCAAGAATTTAGGAATAAAATAGAAAAAATCCTTGCAAAAAAAAAAAAACAGCGAGAAAATAATTTTCAAATCTCTTATTTATCATTCAAAATAATATGCAGTAGAGCGCACTTGCATGCCTTCCCTTTTTATGTGTGGGTGGGAAGGGAAACATTCATTTTTTGGAGATACTTTTTTTTCGATTTTTCTTATAAATTTAGGTTTTTTTAATTTTAAGAAAACACACTTTACTTCAGCTAAGATTATTCAGAGAAAATCTAGTTAGTCTCTAAAATGTGTGATATTGTGATTTGTTTCTTAACAAAAACTTTTCCATGTTCCTTCATATTTTTGAACAATATTTGTTGCCAATTTCAATTCCTCAATTAGAAAATTCCATTCATCATATTCTCCCAGACTGCCCCAAATGGAAATTCTCCGAAATTTCCATTTTTTGCTCTTTCTTCTTTTCCTTCTTCAATTTTTTCCTTTTTCAAAAAAGTACATTGTAATTTGTCAATTTCCTTCCGATTTGTATAAGATTACTTACAACTTCAATGAAACATAGATTTTTTTCAAATTTGAGCATAGAATTTTGTATATATTTTTCTGTTGTTGTTTTGAGAAAACCGAAAATAAACAAAATGACCAGGATTTCTGAAATACATATGTAAAAGTAAATCCAATTTGTCCTATTTTCTCAAAAACCAACCAATTGTAAGGTTTGTTGGGTGTCATTTTTTTGTGGTTTTTCGACACATTCACATTCACAAAAATAGCTATTTCTCTGGTTTTGAGGTGTGAAGAAATGAGAAGATTTTTATTGACAGGTGAGAAGAACTTTTCAAAAAATGACGAGCACTTTTCCCTTTTCATCCGACCAAAGACAAATGTTTTGTGTTTCTTTCTTCATATATAAATTGCCTCTTGGGATTCATTTTTTCTGTCTTGGTTCAACGAAACATTTTTTTTCTATTCCCAAATAGGTGTATAAATTATTTTGGGAACTTTTTGCACTTTTTTGCTTTCTGGCATTTGAGATATATTTGAAAGTTTTTTTTTCCGAGAGTAAGTGAGCTCTCAAGATGTTGATCTAATGAAGCGGAACTTGAAATTTCCGTTGTTGCAGTTTTTTAATGCAAACCAAAAGGTCAATTTTTGTTTTAGTTTTTGCAAGAAAAAGTTCAACAATCAATTTTGACTTGAAAAATAATTGAATTGCTCTTTTTTAAACTCACCTCAAAAACCTATTTTGAAAACTTTTTCAAAAAATGTCTTTCAATAAACTGTAAATCACCAAAAACGTTTCCCTGAACATCCCCTCCCACATTTTTCTCGAAACAAAATCTAATAACATTTTTTGTTCCAGTAAGTAGTAAAAACAATATTTGTGGTCAACGCTTTCTTTACTGATTGTCCCAAGGGACAATAGTTGACACATATATTTTTGGTTTTCTGAACATTTTTGTTTCAACCTATCATAACTCATTTTTTGACAATTTTCCTCGCTTTCTTTTTTTGCCTCTTGGTTCTTTTTTTCAGTTTAGTTCCCTGAACTTTCCAAATCTCTATAGATATTTTTATTCTCACATTCAAAAAAATATGGGTAAATCAAAATTCTATCAATTAATTTTAATCCAAATTTCATTAATTAATTAATCATATTTTCAGAATTAGGTGGTAATAGTGGAGTGGCGAGTGGTGTGGCGTGTGTGGTTACACCCACTCTGGCTCCAACTGCCGTTAAAATGCAACAACAGCAGCAGCAACAACAGCAACATCAAAAAACAAGTGGAGATGATCGGCGGATTTCGTTGAGACGAGAACATACACCAACTAATGAAAGAGCTTTGGCGGATGTTTCAAAGCAGGTATGTGGGAATTGGGGTAATGGTTGGAACTGGGTCATATAAATCTAACATAAATCGATTTTTTTATTTTGAAAATTAGGAAATTTTTCTTTTTTTTCTTAGCACAACTCAAATTTGTCAAATCTAAATCTAAGATTCATATTTTCTCCAAACATTACAAAAATGATCAGTTTTGTTTTTTTTTTCATGTTTTTAAAAAAATTTTGAAGAAATTATCTCACGTTTTTACAATTTCAATATACACAACTTTCTCACGTTTTTATGAATTATAAATGTTATTGCAAAAACACAAATACAGAGTTCTATGAAATTTGATTCTTATATGTGTGACTTGGGGATTTCTCTCAACTACCCCCCAAAACAACATGCAACAAGAAAATCAAGTTTTTTTTTCAGGATTCTCTCGGCGAACGAGCTTCATCAAAACTAACCCTAGATGACGAACTTTATGACATTTTATATGCTTTTGGGTAAGTCGCAAAGTGCATTTTATTAACCAGAAAAAAAGTCGAAAAAATTTGGTGTGATTTTTTTTTTGGTGAGGGTATACATAATTTCATCGGGGAATTGGTCGTTTTTCTTTTTTCGTGACAAGTTTGGTCGCGTGGGGTCGCTTTCTGAGGTCTTTGTTGCGTGTTTAGTTTGAATCATGTCGGCTCGTGTAATTACGGCAAGTCAAGGCTCATTTGAAAGAATGCAGTTGCAATGGAATAGTGTTTCGACTATTAGTATTCTTTCTTGTATTTTTGATCTACATAGGTAAGAAATGAGTGGGGGTTTTTTGAGATATTATTTGTCTTGGTTTTAGATATTTTAGTTTTTGTGCAAATTCCTCTTGAAATATTGTGACATGAAAAATACTATACTGTGGATTTGGAGTATATTTTTTGTAGGAAAATCAAATAATCTTGAAATAGATTTCAAAATTATTTACTTTTTATAATTTGAAAACTCAAAAAACAGCGTGTCTTCTGAAATTCAGTTTACATTATCCCAAAAAAAAATTTCCGTTGTGGTTTCTTCATTTTCAGTTTTTTACAAACCAGAAACCAGAAATCCTATACATTGTTTCATGTCATATTTCTTTTTTTTTCAAAATTGAGAAACCAAACAATTGTTCATAACATAACACTTGTGTAGTTTGATATTGAAACAAAATATTTTTGGGAGAAGCTTTTTCCGAAAAAATCAGAATCGTAAAATTGACCTCGTTCTCACACCAGATTTAAAAGAATTTTCATGGGAATTAATCAAATGTTTATAGTGATCAATCATTCTTCAAAAAAAGTGTTCTCCCTTTTCCCAGAATTTTTTTCTGACAAAAAAATTGCGAAAATCTGAGATTCTCATCCCCATCATTTTTTGACTTGCACACACAAAAAAAGCACATTCAAACTTTTGGAAAGGAATACAACTTGTTCACAACTTGTTGTTTGGCATGTCACAATCGTCATCTCCCGAGGGAGCAGGTTTCGACCCTTCAACAGAAACAACAGCCCCAAAAAAACACTTCTTCTTCACTTTTTTTTGTTCTAGCCGCTACCATTTTTCATTTTATTCATTTTATTTTATTCTGTTCCGTTTTATTCCATCAAGAAAAAGTGACCCCTCCCAGCACTAAAAGACAACGAAAAAAACAACATTTTTGTTGGATCAGAGATAAATATTGCGATTCATCAAACGTAGCGGCCGACATGTGGATAAGAAAAGAAAGATCGTGAGAAAAAGAAACAAGAAAAAATAAGAGAGAAGGACCATCATCATCATTATTGAAAAAATTGAAGAAGAAGAAGAAAAAGAAGTTGCTATCATATTATTATTATTATTATTATTTTAATTTTCATTATTATTTTTTCCTTCTTCATATTTCAACAATCACTCGCTTACTCTATTTATTCATTCCTCCTTATTTTAACTCATTTTATAACTTTTAAAAAACGGGTTCAAATGTATCATGAATGGAATTGAAATATTGCCTGAAGGCTTGCGGAATAATCCGCTTGTTCAACGGCGTTCTTCGGTTTTTCATGATTTGATGACTGTTTTCCGGAAGGGGACAGTTAGTCGATTTGCTAAAAATTCTCTTGATTGTATTCCTTCCGCGTTTTTGGGTGGATCGAGTGATCCGAATATGTGAGTTATTGGAACTATTGGTGGCGAGGAATTGGTGTTCTCAAGATTAGTAGTTATATGTTCTGCTTTTAGAATTAAAAAAAATGACATCATCATAATTCGTGTTATGTCCGATTTATAACTTCAGATATTTTAAAATTCAATCGATATTATTCAACATCGTCAATTCATCAAAAATCTCCCCATCCTAGACTTTTTTTAATTACTTGTTTTGCTGAAACCTCAAAGCTCATACCAATTCAAATAACAAAAACAGCCGGAAATTAATTGTGGGTGTTGTTGTTCTCAAAAGCAACACAGGATGATGACAGCCAGAAAAAAAAATGATTAAACTTACACGATAAAACAGTTGTCATTTTTATTTTGAAACAATTGACAAATTTCATTTTTTGCAGCGAAACTGATGCATTTCTCAACAAAGGTGACAAACAACGAGAAACCGATGAGGATGGAAATCCACTCACTAGACAGGTTTATTATTATAAATTTAGTTAGTGAAACATTGAATAACTTTTCTAGGCACTTTTGGAACGAATACGACAGAAAAAAGAGGTTATTGGAAAATTGAGATGTCAAGCATGGAGTATGACAAGGAAACGGAGAACGCTGAAATTAGCGCAAAAGTATCTGGAACAACATGAATCGAAAGTTTCGCGAAGTCATTTATATATGGAAGAAATGAGAAAACGGGGACGACTTATGAAAAGGAGCTTTTCAAATTTCAAAACATATCTTATACCATGGGAATCGAAAATTAAACGGATTGAGAGTAGGTTTTTTGAATAAAGGGAGGGTAGGGTAGGGTAGATGACCTGTAACTACTCACAAATCTTCCAAACCTCAATTTTTTACAGGTCATTTTGGATCGGTTGTATCTTCATATTTCACATTTTTACGATGGATTGTTTTTGTGAATGTTGTCATCACTTTAATCGCTTTTTCATTTGTTGTTTTACCAGAGGTATTGTTTTTTCTCTCAATAATTGCGGACTTCTACAAACCCAATAAAATTATTATAGACAATCGCTGATTACATGGCAACTCCAGAACGCGTTAACTATACGAGAAGTCGAAAAGAAATTCCGCCAAACGAATTAGCAAGAGCTGATGAGTTGGCTGTGGTTTGGCATTATGATGTGAGTTCTCATCACGTCTGATCATTTTCAATTCTCTGATTTCCAGGGTTATCTACGGTACTCAGCTTTGTTTTATGGTTATTATTCGGATGAGCCTTATGGGAAAGGAAAACAGTATGCTTTACCGCTGGCGTATTTTCTGGTTACTTTATCGATTTTTGCTTATAGTTTTTTTGCAATCTTGAGGAAGTGAGTTTTTTTGGGAAGAGGGAAGGGATTCGTTTGAAAAATTGATCCGAAATCTTTTTAAAAATCTTTCCCAGAGTTTTTTAAATATTCCTTTTTCAAATTCCCTTTCCAGAATGGCTGCAAATGCTCGAATGTCAAAACTATCTGGAAGTAAAGCTGAACAATACATTTTCAACTGGAAATTATTCACCGGATGGGATTATTCAATTGGAAACTCGGAAACGGCAAGCAACACAGTTATGGCAGTAGTTATCAAATTGAGAGAATCAGTAGCGGATTGTAAAAAAGATGCTCATGACAAATTTCAGCTTCTGCAATTTACTTTGAGGTAAACAATTTTCTAAAAATTTCTAGCTTAACATTTTTTTTTCAGAGTTTTTGCAAATATTGTTATCTTTGCAATGTTAGGATTTTCAATTTATTTGATCATGTTAGCTGTTCACAAATCAGCTGAAACAAAAACTGATAGCAATTTATTCACAAAAAATCAAGTTCCTTCTGTCGTCTCAACAATTACCCACGTCTTCCCAATGATTTTCGATTTGATTGGTCGAATGGAAAATTATCATCCTAGAACTGCTCTTCGAGCACATCTTGGAAGAGTTCTAATTTTGTATACGGTTAATTATATCACTCTAATTGTCGCGCTTTTTGAGAAAACCAACAAGGGCGCATTCGTCCCATCAGCTTCAGCTTTGAAAAATGAAACACGGCATAAACGACAGCTTGGAAGTTGGAATCCGGTATGTTTTTAATTTTTACTCATTTTCGAATTTCAAATGATTTCAGGATATCCCCCGAGTAGCACCGTATGCTAGCCAATCCGAAAATAGTCAAAATTTCGCTGCTTACATGGAAGAAAATCGACGAAAATTTCAATCTGTTCATCAAAGAACTACACGAGCTATCACTACTCCTTATACTGTTGCACCACAATATGGACCATTCAATGTGAATAATCCTAATGCGATTTTTCATAATGGTAGTTTTGGAGGTGGATTTGAAACGCAGAGACTTGGCCCGAAAATGTTGCCAATTTTTACACCGCCGCCAAGAACTTATCCGCCACATATTCCTGGAAAAGTTGGGCAGGTAGGAAGAATTTTGGGAGTAGAGGGCTATGGTTTTTATTATAGAACGCATTTCTAGATATTGAAACAGATTCTTGAATTCATCCTGAATTCATATAAAAGATCATAAAAATATTCAAACAACTTTTTCCAGTCCTATGGTGGTCCTGATTTCAATCGACTCTTTACAAAATCAACACCTCTTCCTCGAGTCCGTACAAAACCACCTTGGGATCATACAACAACAATTCGGCCGCCTTCGACTGATTCAAAAACCGCTTTAGTTCGACCTGACCCTACTGGACCTGCGAATATCAACAATACTGCATCAGGTGAAGCTGTTCAAATTTCCAGTAATGAGAATGAAGAAAGTCGAAATAATATGGATGGTGGGTTTTTTTCACGTTTTATGAATCACCCATGAAGTTGTCAAATATGAACTATTTTTAGATTCGACAGTCTCACCAGCTGCATTGCCTGTATATCAAAATGAGCAAAATGAAAATTGCTGGGAGACTATCATTGGTCAAGAGATAGTGAAACTAGTTACTATGGATTTGATTTTCACTATCGCTTCAATTTTAGTTATTGATTTTTTGAGAGGTTTATGGATCAAATATTGTAGTTCATGGTGGTGTTGGGATATTGAAACAACATTTGTGAGTTTTTTTTTCAATTTTGAAATCATAAAAAGCCTCATAAAACATTTCCAGCCAGAGTACGGAGAATTCAAAGTTGCTGAAAATGTGTTGCACATTATTAATAATCAAGGCATGATTTGGCTTGGATTATTTTTCTCCCCTCTCCTCCCAGCTATCAACAACATCAAACTAATCATTCTGATGTATATTCGAGGATGGGCTGTGATGACTTGTAATGTTCCTGCTCGTGAAATTTTCCGAGCTAGTAGATCAAGCAATTTTTATCTGGGAATTTTGTTGATTTGGCTTCTTTTATGTACAATTCCTGTGGGATATGTTATTGCATCAATGAGTCCATCAAAATCTTGCGGACCATTTGCAAAATATAAGCATTACTATACAGTTTTGAAAAGTGTGATTGTGGCTCAGATTGATCAAAAGGTTTTGGATTATGCTCAGCATATTGCATCGCCTGGTATTGTCATTCCAATCATTCTGTTTTTGATGTAAGTTGGGGGAAAACTTTTTTTCATTAGAAAGTCATTGCGAAATATTTTATTTGAGTGAAGTTTGATGCTCTAGAATTATGAAAAATGGGTTCAAAAAATGAGCTCACAAAAAATATTGTTATTTTCCTAGGCTGATCATCTACTTCTTATTCTCATTGGTTCGTGGACTTCGTGAAGCCAACACTGATCTCCAACAACAACTTGTCCACGAAAGAACTGAAGAAAAGAAGAAAATCTTTGAACTCGCAGGTGGAAAAAAGAATCGTCTAGACAAAGAGCGCGATAAAAAACGACCAAATGAATATGTCCCGTTAATTGAGCAAAAACGACGAGAGCCCTGGAGACAATATAATGAGGTTAGTTAGCGGAAGAATTTTTTGATCCCTGCATTTATTTGTAATTATTTATGTTTAGTCAGTTTAGTTCACAAGCATAATTTATACAATATTTTGTATATTTGAAAAAAAAAAGCTGCAAAAATTCAAATCGTGAGAAAAATAAAAATGAGATTACAGATGGAAAATGAGCGATGTCTTGCATCCGATTCATCTGAAGAATCAGATGTTGAAGAAGATGAAGATCCAACTCCAATCATTGCAAGACCATTACAATACCACGATAGTCCACCCGAAACGTTGCAAGTTACCGCATTCCATCCGTCTCTAGGAAGTTTGATTGAGAATCGGGAACTTGAAGATGAAGAATCTGAGCCAGCAATGATTCATAAATCAGTGTCATATCAAGGTGCACCAACATCTCAAATGCAATTTAGTTCTTCAACAGAAAGTTGTTCGCAATTGTCAAGAAGTGTTATTCAAATTGCAACGCCGGAAGAGATACGGTAAGTGGGAAAATAGTGGAAAGCTGGTGAGGAAACGGCTGTATGTGTTGGTGAAAAAATAGTTGCTTGGTTTAAATTTTTAAAGAGAATCGGAAGAATTTTTTTTAAGTTCTTGAAATGTTCCAAATTTATTTTTGAAATCATCAGAGTATACAAATTGAAAATATACAATTTTTAGTCAGAAATTTGACATGAATTTGATTTCTGAATTCTAAATGAATGAGATTCGGGTGAATTAAAAATGAAAAATATATAATTTGATAATATTTTAAAACTTATTTCCAACAATTTTATTTGAAAAATTTTTATATTTTATTTATTTTATCCAAATTCCCCTAAACCTTAACCTATATTGTTCCATTGTTGTGTTGTGTTTGTGCATGAAAAAATAAACCAAGTAACCTTATTTTTCCCCCCAAAGCATGTCTCTAACTACATTTCAGAGCCCTTCTTCGGCCTTACCTCGAAATGAAATACGGTATTCCCTATCAACATGGAATGCGTTCTTTCCCAATTGATATTCATACTCCACCAAATCGCAGTCCTTCAAAACGATCTTCATATGTTTCATTGTATGACTCGGCAAGAGAAGATTCCTATCCAAAGTTTGTTTTTTTTTCTTACAATTTATATATTTTCCTATTTTTATTTTAATCACAATTTTCCTTCCAACGTTTTGATATAATAACTCTATCGTTTTTTTTTCTTTTCTCAAACCCCTCAAAAAAGCATGTATCCAAACCCTAAATCGATATGCATAATACATATATGTAACCAAATATTTATTACACGTTGAAGAACGCGATCATTGTTATCAGTAGGGCCGGGCCGATAAATGAGAGAAGACATTTCGAACAAAATGTGAACAACTTGTTGGATTAGTGCATGTGACGCGATGAAAGAGATAAGAAATATATAACTTTTAATTTACAGTGTTAAATATTACCGGTTATATATTGTATATTTTCGAAAAACAAAAAAAAAACACATTAAAAATCGGAAGAATAACAATATCTTATGAAATAAATTAATTGATTTAGGGGATTATCGACAGCCACAATTCGAGAAGAGGATGATACTCCGAAAAAACCAGTTCGTAAACTAACAATCTGCGATGAGACAACTGCAGATGGAGATGCGAAAAATGCAGGAAAATTTGTGGCCACTGATATTCAACCACAATTTATGCCATGGCCATCGTTTGAAGAGGTGAGATTGAAAGGAGTTTTAATTTAGAAAAAAATCAATTTTCCAGACCAAAGCAATGCGTGACAAATTGAAAACAAAGACGCCACTGAATCTCGCCAAAACCACCGTCGAGGAAACATTGAAAGAATCGACATCATCGGAAGTTGAACCAATGAGTAAGACATCGAAATTTGAATATAGACCAGCAGTTCCAATTCATAGAAAATATCAAATTCAGGTAACTTTTCTCTCGGAATAGTTAATTATAAACGTAATTTTGTTACAGAACACATTAATGGAGCAAAGTGAAGAAAGTGATGCGCAAAGTGATTCATCGAAAAAACGTTTCAGAATATCGGTATCGCCAACAAAAACATTGAAACCAACGGAACCGAATGAGTATGTTATTTTTTCCATCTAAAATCAAATGATGTGAAATTGAAGAAAAAGAACGCTAGATAATTGTCTTTGTCTTTTTTCGTTCTAGCAACTTGTTTTTTCTTGGTTCATTTCTCATCTTTTCAATAGTTCATTAGTTCCAGAATCTAAATTTATATTGCTGTACTTTTCAGACATTCTCAACGAAAATTGATTCATCAAGCATCATCAAGCAGTTCACTTCCTCAAAGCCGTCAAAGTGATATCAATAAAAATCCAGTTTTGATTTCACCACGTGCTCCGCGAGTTCAATTTGATGAAGATGACAGTCCACGACAAATTGATTGATAGATTACGGTGTTTTCTCTAAATTTTCGGTGCATCTCCGGTTTTCTTTCTTTTTAGTCTAATTTCTTGTGATATTCACATTCCTTTTTATGTTGAAAATTGTTTCTTTTTTCTTTTTCTCTGAAAGGATCTCAATTCGAGACCCAATGGATATTAATTAATTAATTAATTAATCATTTGATTATTTTTCATTTCGGTTCTATCATATCACAATAGTGAAATTGTTTTTTTTTCTTTTTTGATATATATAAAACTCGATATTTATTGCTAACTTGTTATCTTTTTCTGCTGCCGATTATAATCAGAAATCACGCGGAACCATGACATCGAAAAAAAAATTTATTAGACACATTTCAATCTGAAAACATCTAATAATATAACACATACATCTATGCAAGAAAATAAAGGGGAAAATAGAAATATAATTTTTCAAATGATGGGCAAGAAAAAAACAGGAAAATGTACTTGATTCAGCAAATTTGTTTTTTAAAGAAAAAATTACAACAAAAAAAATAAAATCGCACAACTTTGAAAAATTGGTTAAACCAGTTAGTATACAAAAAACGTAAAGCCTTCCTAACGAGAACATTAAAATTGGGGAAAAGACTAGACAAATTTATGAAAGTATAGAAGATATTTGTAGGGTAGGGTAGGATAGGATGGGTACGATAATTCTCGAAGGCACTAAAAAGGGTATATGAATTTACAGAAATCTAGCGAGTATATATATATAGATTAAAAAAAGGCACAAAATAAAACAGAAGCAAAAATGGTGTAGATCGAAACATTTGGGAACCCGAATAATATTAAAAATCATCTTTCCAGAAGATGAACAAATTCGTTGACAAGAAGCCTTCCAGGTTATTTTTAAAGAAATTCAGAGAAATAGAAAACCCGGATGAAGAAATTAAAGTGAACGGAATGGAAAGAATAAGGTGAAATGACTTCTCGTGCTGTTTTTAGGCAAACACTTTATGCTCCATTTGTTCCGATATATTGTTCATCAGACTGGCCGATATTCCGGTCGCTAATCCGTTTTGTAACACTTGTTGCATGGCGGATTGCATATTGGGTTGCATACCGTTTTGTAATCCATTTTGCATTCGTTTGCATTTTGCTCGCCGATTTTTGAACCAAATCTGGAATATTGTACTTGTACATTTGAGATTTTAAAATGTTTAAAAATAGATATGAAAATTCAAAAGATGGTTTCTTACCTTCACATTATGTTGACTAATTGGTGGATAATTTTCACGATATTGACAACCGTTCAAAGTTTGTGTATAATGATCGATTTGCATCCATGTTGGATGTGGATTCTCTTCAAACCATCTTTCCAAGACTGGAAGTTCGGTAAGTGGATCAAACATCAATCGAGAACGAGCGGCTGGAAAATTTATACATTTTTTATTGAGTTGAAAATGATTTTGAAATGTTTTTCTATGCTTTTTTTGAATCTTCACTCAAGATTTTCAGAAATCATAAAAATTGTCTTTGCTAGTTCATCCCCTTCCTTCTCCTCCTTTCCCAAAAATACATAAAAAATCAAAATGTCTTGTATTATTTGATCACATCGTCGTAATTTGAGAAGATCAACACATAAGAGCGAGCTTTTGCGCGACAAAAATGCGTAACAACACATAAAAGACAAATGCTGCTTTTGTTGTTGTTATTGCTCGTGAATGTGTACCCAATTTCATACCTGATCCAACATTTGACATTGAGGGCGATGAGCTGCTCAACATCCCAATATCGATGTTTGTCAATTTTGGCGAAGATGATGCCAATGATTCGCGCACTGAGACTGAACGATCTGGTGATGAAGCTGAGCTCTCCTGAAAATTATTGATTAGTTTGAAACTTGTTTTCAGCCAAATATTACCTCCACATCTTGTGGTTTCAAAATGAAATCTGTGGTGATATCTTCTGAATTGCTATGCATTTCATCGTCGGCTGGAGATGGAGAATCAGATCCTCCGTCAATTCCTCTATCTTGCAGTTGGAACTAAAAAGAAAAAATAACATAAAAATTAAATTCCTTAAAATACAAACTCACATCATTTAAAGCTTTTGGATCAATGAACAAACTGGCCAAGTCAAATTTTGGCCGATTATAATCAGGCATAATATTTTGCATGAAACTCATTTGAAAATTTGGATTCAACAATTGTGCAGTATTGATTGGTGTGGCAGTGATGGTGGCTGGCGCACGACGAGTATTTGATCTTTGTTGAGCGAACCAGTTACATATCTAAAAAAATCAATAAGTTTTGTTCATTCTTCATATAAGTTTTACATACCTGTTGATATGTAATTTTAGTGTTATTTTTGCGGAACGGACTACTATTCAATTGTGTCAAATAATGATTCATCTTTTGTTTGCTTGGATTTGGATCCGCTTTGAACCATTTCTCCAATCGTGGAATTTCAAACAGTTGATTGAATCGAAGCATAGACGTCGGGCTGCAAAATGAATCATATATTGATTACTCATCTTAGCTTTCCTGGTTACTGTACTTGTTTGACCCCTTGTTGTTATTGTTTTGTTATGTTCATTGTTGTGTGTCTGTATGAGATTGTACAAGAAACGAAAGGGAAAGTGAAAGTTTGAAAGTGAAATGTATTTTTTTCGAGATCGCTTAGCCGATGACAATGGCAAGGCAATTAGAAAAAAGAAGAAATTGTAAACAATGTATATTTTCTTCTCATGTTAATGGGTTTTTCTTTTAATCCAAAAGTTATCTAGATGGTCCCTCTTTAATGATATTTCCGGTTTTTTTCGTGGGAAATTGAGGGAGGAAATTGAATTCGAAACTTTTTGCTTTCTATTTTCCTATCTCTTTCTCACTCTCTCTCAATGTTTTTTTTTTGGCTAAATTGTTTATCGTTGGGTCAGGTATCCAAATTCATAAACAAAATCCATTCCATTTTTTCCAACATAAAATAGCAGCAAGAAAGACAAAAGTGAGTCTACAAACACAAGCCGAGGCAAAAGGGGCTTAACTCGAGCACCAAATAGCGGCTTAACTAGCAGCTAGCTGACTGAAGGCTAGCTGACAGACAGGCTAGCTCATTTCTCTTTCCCTCTTTCTCTCTCTCTCGATTTTGTCTATGTATTTACCGCGCGCAAATCTGCGTCTCTACAAATCCCTCACTGTTTACATCGCGCTTTTTTTTCTAAACAATCTATCTAGTAGTCTCGAGATTACGGTGGCTGCCTTTTTGTTGTTGGATGAATGGATGGCTGAGAGGGGCGGAGCTTTTCTCTCTCGAGAGGATATTGAAAGATTACTGTACCTGCGACGCTCATCTCCGTTATCCAAAGTCTCGAGCCACTCGTTTATCGCATTGATTTGATCATGATTCAGCATTGTAGGATCGTCCCCCGCAATTATTTGAGTTATCAAATCCTGAAGAGATGTTATGAAATTTCGATTTAAAAAAAAGAATAAAAAATGACTCACCTTGATTTGCTGATTATCTACAGTATTCAAAACATTTGGATTTTTATTGATGGCAGTTTTCAACAATTTTTGCTTCACTTCATTGATACAATGTGAACTGGCTGAGTCAGATGATCTGCAAAAAATTCAACGATTATTTATGCATATTCAAATCAAATCAAATCAGAAGACATTTTCCCATGATTATCCAAAGAATCGTTATCGCGGTCATAAAAATTTCTGTTTGCGTGTATGAATGTATGTGAGCACACACACATTCCTACGGCTTTTTGATGATTATAACGATAATAATAATTATTTTTATTGTTATATTATTCATTGAGAAGGGGGCGCTAATCGTATTTTATGTCTCTTTGCGGATCGATAAATGTGTATTGTTATGATGTTGATAATAAAACAAAAAGTCTTCTTTGGCAAACAACAGTAATCCGCAAATAATCGAGAATTCTCTCTCTTTTTTTTGTAAAATCTAAATTAGCAACATTTTATTTTCCTCAAATTGGCTGAAATCCTCCCCGAGTTGAAAAAAGGGACTATATAGACTTTTTATGTATTTATATGTGTGAAGAGAGTGTATATTTGATCGTATTTGTGTATGTTCGATGTGTTTGCCATTTATTTGAGTATATATGTATTTTCTAAAGAGGAGGATGTATGGAGGCGCGATTTTGCTCACTTCTAGAGAGGGAGACATACATACAAATACACACTTATTTACACGCGTAAAAAGAGGCCTGTTGATGTGAAGGGAAAAAGGGAACTTACGGTTTTGTCAGAATTCGAAGTGTTATGTGTGATGAGATATCTTTGAATAGTGCTTGAACTGTTTCCTCTTGATTATCGGTGATTTGATCAAACGGTAATGCTTTCCAATTGTTCACTTGAACCATTCCTGAAAAAAAAGATGCGATGTAATACAATTTTCTTTTTCTTTTCTTCTCATTCCATTTTTTTCCAATTTTGCTGAAAGTGAAAAGTGAACGACCCCGATTGCATAATCTTGGTTGGTATAGAGAAGTGGCATTGTTGTATCGCCGAGGGCAAAAAAACGATGAGATACATTGGAAAAGAAGAAGAAGAAGGGAAGCCGCGAGCGAGAAAAGTAAGAACAGGTTCGACGACGACTGTTTCACTTTCGAATAAGGTGAAAAGATAGATGGCGAAGAAAGTGTTGAAATTGAGGAGAATTACAGACGGCGCGAGATCTCGTCAAGATCTTACAGCATAGATTACGTAACAAATGCGCTTTAGTAAAGAAATCGAAAGCGATCAACGAAATTCTATAGAGAAACTTTTTCTTCTGCCCATCTTTTTTCAAAAACCTATTGATTTTCAGATATTGAAAAATTGTATTGTCAGGTGATATATAAATCTATTTAGATTCGTTTCGACGAAAAAAAATAAACAATTCAATTGATACATAATTTGTTTATTTCATTGTTTATCTAGATTTTCGTTTAGATTTATTTTTGCTACAAATTTAAATGAAAAATGAAAAGATAGAGCTAGCTCATTAGTGAGTTTTCGAAAAGCGCAGAGCAATAAATCAACTAACCTCTCGCGTTTGCTGCTAATTGTGGATGTCCTAAGGCGGATAAAACTGTGTCGACAAGTTGATTTAGAACAGTAGAGCCACTGACGATTGCATAAGTTTCAACAAGAATATGACCATCGTGTGCGCATGTAAGACAGTGTTGAGCTCGGACAGTCTCTACAACTACCCGCACGGGAAACATTCTGCAAAAAACATAAAAAATTAAAAGATTTGAAAAAGAAAAAAATCCATAGAAGAATGAACATGAGAAATCACAAAAAGGAGAAAACGATTAGGAGCCGATACAAAAATGGGCAATAAGAGGGGGGCATAACAATAATGATGATATGACAGAGACCGAAAAAAAGTATGGAAATAGTGAGAGATAGATAGGACAGAGCCTCGGCGCGTTTTGTTCTTCTCCACATTTAGTTTTGGTTGTGGAAAAAAGGATTGATCATGCTCCGCCCCTCTCCAAACACAACATCGCTCTGCCTCCGGCTCTCTTGCCCCCCGCTCAATGAGAGATAAGTGGGCGGAGTTTGAGGAGAATGGGAATGAAATATAGAATTTAGGGGTAAGGGGGAAAGCGCGTGGGGATATTATGGTAGCAATGGAAGAGCAAGAGCCAAGAAAAAATAAGAAGAAGAAGAAGAAGAAAAATAAAGGTATTAGAGTTAAACAAATAGCGGCTCGCTAGCTATTCAACCGTGATTACGGGATACAGTTAAACCGATTAAGAGCAGGCAAAAAGAGATGTTAAAGATAAATAGAATCATATTTTGGTAAAAGATTTAGTTTATCTTTTGTTGTGTGGTATGGTAAAAATAGATCGAAGATGAACAAGAAGAAGAAGAAATTGAAGAAGAGAAAAAATGAAAAGAAAAGTGGGCGAAAGGTAAGAAAGGTCGGGATTCGAATGGCATAATGGATGGCGCAAGGAACCGGATTTGAGGAAAGGAGGGAGCGAAGTGGGAGGGGTCGTACAACAACTAGTAGTGTGTTGTAGTTCGAGAAAGCCCTGAAGGTAGGAAGAGAGAGACGATGACAATCAAGAAGAAGAAGAAGAAGACAACAACATTTTTGATTGGGGAGGAGCGTCTCGAAACAAAGAAAGAAGACAATCCCCCCTTCCTTTAGAAGAGACACGTTTCAGATTTATTTATATTCGAATATTCGACCGAAGAAGACTTTAATGAGACAACAGCCACTAAAAAAGATAGGTAACCAAGTTTTTGAGAAATAATAGAAAGTAGGAAGAGACACAAAAACCCCACACACACACACAACAAATACGATAAGACGATGATTCGACAGATTGAAAAGAAAATATTCTCCTTTTTTGAAAATACATATTTTTTGAGAGACGAAAAATGGGAGGGGTTCAATTTTAGGTGGAGGATAGCCATACTTTAATTGTGGTGAGAAATATAGAAATGTTTTTTTTTTTTTTTGAAGAAAAATGAAGATATAGACAATTTTTTTCGAGAAGAAAAAGATTTCGAAAAAAAAAGAAAATAAAAAGGAGAATTCCATCTGTCAATTGGTAATCCCTTTTTGTCGCGATACCACATCCAAAAGCTTAATTGTTAATTGAAAATCAAGATGTATCAATGTCTCAAAAAAAAGGAAAAAGAGAAAATGTGGTATTAGATGAAGCTCGGCTGGCAATGGCACCAAAGTAATCCCACTTTGTCTATGGATGGGATTAAAGCATTTCACTCGTTTCTTACCCTCATGTTGCAATCTGCTATTGTTGTTATTTTATTTTATTTTGGTTCAAGTGAAATCTCAAAAGAGCAAAAAGAATATATCTTCCTAAAGGGATATCATTTGATAAGAATGTCTCAAATTATCCCTTTGTACTCGGGTAAACTGTCAATCATAAATCTCAGCTGGACCTTTCTTTATGTAGAGATAGATAATAAACATTTTTGCTCATATACACCCAGATGTTCAGAGAATATCCCTTTAACCTTATTGCGAAACAAAAATTCGAAATGAAAATAGGAATAATTTTTTCGGGCTGATATATATTATATACATAAATTTATGTATATTCATTATTATTTACCAATTCAATGGGCCATATACAAAAGGAAAAGAGTGTGATATGGTTTTGTGTCGGTCTCGGGAAAAAAGATAGAGATACTTGTATTTACATAAACACTAAAATGTATAGGATCTGAAAATCGATTTGATTTGAATCGAATAGAGGGAAAGAGAGAGAAGGGGGGAAATATGGAATAGATAAACAAATCATAAAAAAAATGAATAAATGGCGCTTTGCGCTCACACACATTTGAAAAAACCGTCATTTATGGAAAAGGCTTATCATCATCATCACTGGCCCTCAAAGCATTTCTGTTCGCGCCTCAAATGTGTGCCGCCTGTCTTTTTTCGTTATTAATAAGCATTCTGTATATATGGAGGGGAGAATTGAGATAGAGGAGAGAAGGACAAAAACAGATTGTTCTACACAGAGAAAATATGTGCGTATTATGATAATTTTCTGTATCTCACAAAATTTCGAAAGACCGCTGGGCCTCTTCTTATCTTTTTTTGCGGTGATCAGCATTATTTGATTTTTCCATATATTTATAATTTCTGAAAGTTTTTTTTCCATACGTGTTGATTTTGGGAATGTGAAGAATACAGGCGACGAAAAAGAGCGGGGAAAGAAATTGAATGACGCATGCGATGATATGATATTGTTATGGTATGATGATGGAATATGCATATAGAACGAATATATGTGTGTATTTGGAAAGAAGGGCGATGAGAAATATTGCGGGCGAAAAATTAGAACGAATATTGGGGATGGACGCGGGCGGCCGACTTCGAAATTGGCATGGGAAAATGTTGAGCTGTCGATCAGGACGGCGGCTTGGTAATACATATGATGTGGTTATGGAAAAATCGAGGGATCGAAAAAGAGTTGACGCCAAAACATATATATTGTAATTTATTACAAGAAAATTTTCTCGCATTTTTTGCAACCGGACAAAATTCGAACGAGAGATTTAGAGACAATTATTTTTGATCTACCAGAAAAAGTTTTCAGAAGATCGAGGACTAAAAATTTGTTTTAGGTAGTAATCTACAAGCTGTGAAAATTAAGAATTTTGTGAGAAAATTGGTATAAGAAAATTTGAGCTGAAAATTTGTGGCCTTGAAAAAATCGTGAAAATTGTCTTGCGAATCAGTCTAACTTAGTATAACTCAGTTCTTCATCATTTTTTCCTCAAGTTCTAAATGTAAGAATCTAACTTTTGACAATTCTGAAACTGAAAATCTGAAACATTTTCTATATATATATAGATTTTCATCTGCGTTCTCTCAATTTTTTTCTTCAGAAATTGACTTGATTGATGTTGCAAGAGTAGATCAAAAGAAAAAAATTCTTACAAGTATTTTACTTTTAATATGGTTTGAATCGTTCTTTTTGAAATGTTTTCAATTTGGAAAGTTTTCACAATATTCAAATGAGCACAGAAAGATGTTTTTTCAATTTAACAAAAAACTGAATTTTGCATGAACAAATAGGAAAAAATTCCAGAAACATAGGTTTTTTGCAACAAAAAACTTGCAGATTCAAAAATCCTTACTCATATTGGTGTCTGGTACCCGTACCCGTAACCTTTTGCTTGGTCTCTTGTTTCTTAGTCTTGTTCATAGTCCCATTACTCATAATATATTTATTGTCCTCTCCCACAAGATATGTACTTTTTGTAACCCCCCCCCCTCTTCTCAAGCTTTTACACCTTTCCATCTTTCAAATATCTTTCTCTTTGTTGCGATTTGCAAGGCCGAATAGATTTGGTTGGTTTTTGTATTTTCAGTGAAAGGACACGAAAAATACTAAAAGGTATGCATGTATGAAAATATTATATTTATGTACAGTGAGAGTGAGACAAAAAAGATTATCAGTGTCGTGATTAACATAGTGTCGCGTATCCTGCCTGTGCATATAATATGCATATTAAATGATAATAATAATAATAAATGTGAAGACCAAAAATATTTGGAAAAAAACACAGCAAAATGTATAGATGTTTGAGCGCAGCCAATTTTGATGACACAACACAATACCAAAAAAAAGATAGATTCGAAAATGACTAATCATCGGACGGCATTTTTGAAATCAAACATATGTATTATTTTTCTTTTCTATTCTTCTTCATGTTTTATTTATTATTGAAATCTTTGTCATCAGAACGGAATCAGGAGACACACAAATTTCAATCAATCTCATATATTTTTTGTATTGTTCATCATTGTCATGTTTCTTTTTTCTTCTACCATCCATACAACAGATGTACCATAACATTTCTCATATTTTTTCAAAAAAGGAGACATCATTGTTTATTTAGATGATGAAGCAGAAATCTTTTGAGTTTCAGAGAATGTTACATGCAATGACTCATAGCATGGAATTAGTAGATAACAAAAGGACAAGCAACAGATGCAATTTTCTGGCTGTCTGGCTGGTAAAAAATTGGAGAAAGGGAGACGGGGAACGGTTTAACGGTTTAGAAGACATCTGGGGAATTTGAGAGGATTTTTTTGGGTGTCACGTTTGGATACAAAGTGGGTAATATAATTTCAGAGAATAAGCATATGAGATGTGGGAAAAATATTGTAGGGACTTCGGAATAAGAATGACAGTTTGGAATATTGAAGTTATAAAATTATGTTCTAGACAAGATCTTTTTGAAAAATAAACTGGTTAATTATTTTCAAATTTTAATTTGAAACTTCAAGAGGTTTCTGTATGAGTTCTTCTTTTTGAATAATTTTTTGGGAATGAGCTCCAGGAGAATGAAAGGTTTTGATTTCCAGCTTACAAAGTTCTGAGACCTCCCCAAATCAGTTTCCGAAATTTATGTTTTTTTCTCACAACAAATTAATTTCCAATCATAAAACATGTCTATGTCAATAAAACTTTGGTGCATTCTGGAAAATAATCTAATCTTGCCTGCTTCCAAAACCCCACTTTTTTTTGGAATAAAAAACTTTTATGATCATTGTTTGTTTTTCAGATCATACGTTTTTGGTAATATTTTTTGATCCTCAGTTCCCAGTGATTTCGAAATCGTTATCAGCCAGCTCAATCTTCTAGAACTTTGTTCACCTGTGAAAATATTTCATAATATTTTGAAATTTGACAAACCAGCCGTCTCCCAGCTTAATCATTTTGTATATACATCTATATAGTTAACTATACAACATGGTACAATAAAACACTAAACACATAACCATGAACACACATGGCCTTTCTTTTTTGGATCCAATCTCTCACACACATTTCTAATATTACTCATAAAAGAAAATTGGCCGATCAGCTCACATTCAAAAAGCATGTTTGTATATACACAAAGATAGATAAGACCTCCTCAAATTTTTTTTCTTCTGCTTGTACACATTTTTATTTATTATTGTTATAACATGGAATGTTTTTTGATGGTATTTGTTAGGATTGTTGTTAGTTAGGACTGTTATCTTGTACTAGGAAGAAGAAAGAGAACGAGAAAAAACGACGGGGAGAGAATTTTTGCGAGCAAGCACGGTTTTATCATATGGGTCATGAGCCTAGCACAATCCAACAGTGTACTCAAAGGTGATAAACAACTGATAACACTCAATAATAATGCTAGCGGATCATTATTATACTTTTATTCGAGGGGTTGATTTTTGGTGCGGGTTCAGGGAAAATGAAAGAAAGTTCGAATCTGTGAAATTAAGGGTTCCTAGATAATAAATGCTTGAAAAAAAACAGAATTAGATATTCTTCAAAGTTATTAGTGACACCCTGTAACTTTTAAAAACCGGAATTTTCAACCAAAAATGTTTTATGGTTTCAAAACTTTTGTTAGGTGATTTAGGACAAGTAATTTGAGAACAATCACCACTAAATATTTTTCCAAAATTCAACAAAACTATTATCTTCCAGATTTTTTTCCAGAAATTCCTAACAGATGTTTTACAGATACAGATTTGACAGCTGCCATCTTCTCTTTGTCAGCTGAAAAAAAGTAAGATTATATTAATTCCAATAGTACATCAAATCTCGAACAATGAAAACTTTCACTAGCTGAAACTAAACATAAGAAAGCATATACATTGTATTTACCGAATCACCTTTGATCCGTATATAAAAAATGAATATGTTGTATGAATGAATGAATGAATGAATGTGTAATTGAAGAGAAAGAAGAAGAATAAGAAATTGGAAAACGAGAAAATATAATAAGAGAGATGGCAAAAAAACCACGACGAGAGACTGTCAACTAATTCCATCTCAACGGTAATTTGTCCCGAATAGACGAGATGGCAAAGTGAAAATGGATTTTTTAAAGGGTTTTTTGTTCGAGAACTTGTTGAGATTGCAAAGAGGGGTCGAGATGAGGAATTTTCAAAATCTGGGATTTGGAATATAAGGTGAACAATAACACACTTTATTCTTTATTATGCTCAGAAAATTCACGCACAGTATTTAATTTTTTTTATGAACAAACACATAATTTTTAAAACCATGCTTGTTCATAAACTTCACCAAGTTGTAGAAAATTATACTTGCGATCATTACAGAACTACAGTCCTTCTAAAATTGAAAATCGAAAAGCAATTTTATTTTCACGTTGTACATCAACGTATTTCAATAATTAAATAAATTTTTGTTTTTTTCTTATGCACGACCATACAAGGCGCCCGTTGAGTCAGACGCGAGACGACGAGAGTATTTTGCAAAAATATCCCGAAAATTAATTTCGCTTCGAGATATTTTCAATAAAACATGTGTTCCTTGAAACAAAATACGGTATTTTTTCAAAGGGACACATATTTTTTCAAAAATATCTCGAAGCGATGTCTTTCTCTGTCTTAGATGACGTCATCAGACTCCCGTCGTCTCTCGTCTGACCCGAGGGGCAATTTTCTATTGGAGTAAATGGTCGTGTATGGGTAACTTACATCAGTCATATAATTTGTTTTAAAATGATTCATGAGTTTTTCGTTTTGATTTTAATTGTTATTTGAAAACCCATATGTTTGAAATGATAAATGACTAGAAATGTTATTATAAAAACATGCAACATCTTGAAAATATTAGAAAATCATGAAAATTCTTGTCATTTTGTTTATGCTATCAATTTCATCAAGCTGTTATATTGTTCCGCCAGGTTGTCATAAACTTTATGTAAGATTATTTTCACAGTGTTCATGAAAATTATAAGTTTAGTTTTTCAGTTTAACTACAGGTGTCGTGTATTATTGGCTGCAGAGCAACGCAATAAGATCAATCATTATGAACAGAGCAGCAGCAAAATAAACGAGTCCAGAAATGACAATCAAACGCGATCTGACATTGCGTCTGAAAAATCCACTAGTGAAAATGAAGAAGAAGATACTGTATATCTCAATAAAAATGGATTTTTAACCAATGACACCAACACTGGAACAAATATGGAGAACAAAAATTTAATCGAAAAAGACAACCAATCGACAAACAGAAACAAGCAGCTAGAAGAAGATTATGAAGTCACCCAAAATCCAAAATTTCATCTCGGTGACGAATCTTCCGGAAATAAAAATGAAGAAGAAAAACCGCTCCCCAATGGTAACTATTTTGCTGAACAAGACAACGATGAAAGTGATAATGGCTTAAATCTTGAGAATAACTCTTTCATGCAAAAAGCATTGAACGGTGAAAATGTCAATTCTGAAAATAATGGTTTTGTGAAAGAAAATCAAATTGACATATCTAAAAGAAACGAATTGAATAAATATAAAAAAATCACAGATAAAAATGAAGTAAATCTCAATATTTACTTAAATGGTGGAAGTCGAAGCAATTGTGAGAATGCTACTGTGTGAGTTCAGCACAGTTTTCAATCAAAATTAATGTTTTTCCTCTGATTTTCAGACCAGCAAAATCTGTTGTTGTCAATATCAATTTTGATGGAAAATGATGAATGGCAGAAAAGGAATTAATTTTTTTCATTCGAAATTTATAAATTGTTCAGCAAAGTTGTCTTTATTTCCAAACAAATTCCAGGGAATACCAGGAAAATTTATAAACTAAATGTAAAATTAGAGTCTTATCACTAACAAAATCTTCAGTTTTTCAGGAAGGATGTTGTGCTGCGAGATTAAAACGTTTATAATTCTGCACCAAAATGAAACCGACTGATTTCGAAAAAAAATCATGAAAATTGAGTGTTCTCAATAGATGGGTTCCATTCAAACTATCATTCTCGTCGCATTTGATTTAGTTTGTTAGTTGCATTTACTTTTTCATGCAACTAACAAAGAAAATCAAGTGCTACGAGAAAACATTGAATATTATTCTAGTAGCTGAAGTTTTAGCTCGTTCTTATAATAATTTTTTTTAAGATGAAATAAGGAATACATAGAAAAATGTGTATAAAAGAACAGACAAACACGATGACAGGCGGTTTTCATAGTGTTCAAAAACTGTGATATTGGGAGCTAAGGTGGGAACAACATTACGATATCAAAAAGATAAGAAAGTTTTCAGAAAACAATCCATATTTTTTAAAATCGCAATATTTTCCCGCTTCCGCCACAATAATACACTTTTCGAGCAGTGCACTTTAGCCTCCATTTTTTTTATATACTTCTATGTAATATCTATATGGATTTTATATTATTATTATTTCACAGTAAATCTAGCAGCAGAGTAGTTTGAGCTCTCTCCGTCAAACAAAATCATGAAAGTATTCCCTACTTTCAAACGACCACTTCTATTCAAATGCAGTTTCACAGAACTGTGAAGGTAATTTTGTTATTTCAAAATTTGGAATTGGAATCCAAATATCTTTTCAGAAAATTGAAAACATTGAACAAAAATCGAAAGCTGCCTCAATCTATCTTTTTAATAAAACCACGATTGGGTGGTGTCTCGATGGAAGCAGCATTTTTCAATGGGGTCCCCCTTGTTCACATTTTTGAGATGTCGAAATTTTGGACATTTGCGGATTTTTTCCGAAAATCATACAGTTTGCGAACGTCCAAAAGTATCCGATCCTGGACGTTGTGAACAAAAAACACGTGATTTACCCACTTTACCATTTCTAACACAAGAAATGACCATCAATTCGCTTAGAAATGCTCGAAGAAAAATTTTGACGTGAGAAAAAAACGATGTCCTTCAAAAAAAGGAGACTGTTACGCCTGGGAGCTAACAGCTCCTAATTGTTTTTGAAAATAGAAGTCACGTTCCGGATTTTGGCTACCCGAAAAAATATTCAATCTTGGGATTCGTGCAACTAACAAAGAAAATCAACTGCGACAAGAATGATGATCTTGTTATAAATTTTTACGGCACAATTATGGGCTATCAGGAATTTTGTAAGCTTTATTTTCCTAAAAAGTTTTTGTTTTTTATCACTATTTTTTCACATTTATTTTTTTCTTATGTTAATAATTTTTCAAATATGTTTGGTTTTTAAGGATAAAATTCATAGAAAAATGTTTGTCCGGAAATTAATTGTCAAGACCTGTTTTTCCGCTCAAGATTTCAAAAAGCTATTCATGATTTCAATTAATTAATATTAAAAAATTATTTTATTGATTTTTTTCTGAACAATAAATGGTTTTCAAAGTTTTCAGATGTTTCAATCAAAATTCATTCAAAGGAACACAACAAATAAGAGCCTAACATTGCTAGGCGGAGCCGCGTATACCAAAAACACACCCATTTTACTCCTTCTTTCATTCCCTTTTCTCACTTTTTGATGAAAAAAATCTTCCGAGTTTTTCGAAGAAAAAATATTTTTCTGTTTGCGCTAAACAGCGGGCAAACGGAATGTCGTTGTTTTCTTTTTGTTTTTTGTTTTTGAAAAAACTAATTTCTCACTTTTTTTTCGTGTTTTCTTTGTTTCTCATAGTAAATGAAGGTTTAGAGTAATACATTCGATATTTTTGTAGTCGGTGTTCCTTTAAGCACAAGTCCCGAGTAAATATTAATTTTAATAAATTCGCTTCAATCAGGTTTCATTTTTTCTAAATCTTCTCTTCTTATCTCTTACATAATCAATCACACATTTTTTGCCAGCTAATAACCATATCCCCTAAAAATCCATAAATCCTTTCTATAGGTTGTCTTTAAAACTGTGTATCCGTTTTCTATCTATATATATATTGCAAATTTGTCGTTTCACTTCATCATGGATATGTATTTACAAACATTCACTCATTGGATACCGTTTTCTTCTTGTTTTCCTTCGTCAGATTCACTTTGACTTTATGAAATGAATGGAGGGATAAAATGAATTAAATGTGGCCGCAAAAACATCGAAGCAACATAAGCATAAGCAAGCAATGGATCAGAATGACAAAAAATCCGAAAAGAAACCAGTCTAAATTGATGCTTCTTCTCTATGGCATTAAGTTGACCGTCCATCGTTTTGTCTTCTTTTTCTTTTTTTCTTTTTTTTTCCTACGTTATTGTACATATATTCTTCTGTTTATATGTATGTGTTGTATCGCTTCGGCTTTGGCTTCTTCTTCTTCTACTTTTGCCGCCATCCTTTCTTTTCTCTTACCGATATCTTGTTCCTCGTTTTTCCTCCGCCTTCTTCTCCTTCTTCTTCGTTTTTTTTCCTCTTCTTCTTTCTTGGTTCTTAAATATCTTCTTCTTAACCAAATAATTGTTGACCAACGATGCGTCGTTGGCTTATTTTGATATTGGTGTCGATTTTGGTGACAACGACAAATGCACAATTCGGTGAAATTGCCTCGTTGGCCACGTCATTGCTTGGAAGTGCTCTTGGTGAGTTTTGAATCTGGGATTTGGGTGTGTGATGGTATTGGCTCAAGATTTTTAATCATACTTGAATATTTGTTATGTTTAGCATACTTTTTGTTTTTTGATCAAGTTCTAAAAATTCTACGATTTTTTGAGGATCCCAATTAAATTGTTTTAATGTTCACAGTTTTCATTTCTCAAACTTTTGAGAAAAAACATGGCAACTTTGTTTCTAATTATCATTATTCATTACCAATTTTCATTATGAAATTATAATTTAAACTTTTCAATTTCCAAAGAAACATTCCAATCCATCACGTTTTATTTGGAAATGAACAGAGAAAGTGGATCAAAAGTTTTCTAACGGCAATTTTCACAATATAATTGTTTTTTTTTGTGAAATCGAAACTTAACACAATTTTATTTTCAATTTCATTTTCTAGTAACATAATTAGTTTTTAAAATTCCTGAACCTGCTTTACCAAATCTTCAAAATAATCTATATAGTTTTTTTCCCGTAAAAATCCACGAAAAAATTCTATTGAATCGAGATAAAAAGCTTGAAACATTTCAATGTGTGTATTATCAATTTGAAAAATCATCATCATCAACGTCAAAAAAACTATTATTTCAAGAAAAAACACGCTTTCTTTCTCAAAAAAAAGATGAATTGTTTGTTTCGTTTTTTTTCCTTCGGAGATTAATCAGATAATTCGGTCGATTTTTGAATCGTCAAGCTAATCGTTGACTAATTATCCGACATATTTGGATTGAAATGGAAACTTGAACAAGTTGATTTTTCGTGAAAGTATGAAAGTGAGAGGAATAAAATTTTATATTTCAGGTGGTGGTGGAGGAATTGGTGCACTAGCAGGAGCCGGCGCTGCTGGAGCTGGGGCTGCTTCACAAGCTGGTGGAGCTTTGGCTCAAATTGGTCAATGTGGGTTAAATTTTTCAAAATATTTAAAGTTACTCTCAAAAAATATAACAATTTTCAGTGTATCAATTGGCTCAAGGAGCTCTCCAACTTACTGGAACTGGTGTTGGAGTATTGAACCAAGCATCTGAAGGGAATTGGTTTCCAGCTGTTCTAGAACAAACAGCAAAAAGTTCACGTAAGCTGAAAATACCCAAACATTAAATAAATGTTTTTTCTAGAATCTCTCATGAGACCTGGAGGAGCTGGTGGATTAAACCTTGGAGCTCTTGGTCCAGCACCAGCTAAACCAGGAGCAGGACTTGGTCCCGAATTTGGAACAAGTTTCCCAGCGCCAAATATTGATGATTATGATGAGAATGCGGAAATTCCGGGGTTCGGAAAAAGAGAAAGAAAAAGAAAACTCCAAGTCCACCAGATGGTTTGATTGATATTGATTCGGGAGATTATGAAGGTGAAGTTGTACAAGCTACTACAACATTGCCGCCAGCATCGACCACCATTTCGACGACTACTACGGAATTGGTTACTTTGTTCCCAGAGGATGGAGTGAGTAGAAATAGAAGGGAAAGGGATGTTAGAAAGATTAAAGATTTTAAAATTTGAAAAACGGAAATAACATTTAATAGGGATCTTCATCATGATTTTATTTTTGAAACCACCCTCTCCTTTTTTTCAAACCACAATAAACTTTAATTCCAGGAAGAAGTGACTCCAGAGCCAACAACTCCTACTTCCCGCCAAATTCGAATTCAATTGCCGGACAAAAACGGGAATTCGGGAGTCGGTACAGAAGAAGAATTGGATTATGAAGACTTGGTAAGTTTTTTCTCATCTCAAACCTTCTCTTTCATAACGCGATTAATTCAATACAACAATTAATTGTTGTAGATTAAAAATAGTAAATCGAAAACTGGAACACCAGAGAAAGTTGTTTTACCAACGATTGATGCAGAAAGTTCAGAGGTTTGTTGTTTTCTGCTGGGTTCATCAAAACAATTTATTACATAGTTACAGGAACTAAAGAAAAATGTCATTACTCATGGAACAAAGACAAAACCAATTGTACCAAAACTCGATAAGCTTGTAGAAGTATTACAAAAAGAGTAAATTATCACGAGAAGAGATTGATGAGATTGTTTCACAAGTTGAGGGAAACAAACGAATTGAAAAACCACCAAAATATGATTTCAATTCGGGAGTTCAAAATATCAATGAGAAGAAAAATGAGATTAGACAGAAAATTACTGATGCTTCAAGACAAATTAATGCAAACTTGGAGAATCAAGGAAATGAGAATAGACAAACTATTGAATCAACTGTTAATGAATTGAAGGTCATTCCTGATTTATCCAATACTGTGGTAAGTTTTTTTCGCTGGCTGTGAGAAGTTTCGGAAAAACCGGGCATCATTATTTCTCTGTTGAATTTTAATTTATGGATTTCCATTTTCAAAACACAAAATCCAAACTTTATGCTAATCGAAGTGATACGAATAGACTTTTTGAACCTATGGGGTTTTCGATATAAAAATTAGGAACCCATATGAAATATTTCTAAATTTTTTAAACTACTATTATTGTTAAGAATCACAGGGTTTTAATGGATAACTTCTTGAGTGCTAAATCTACTTGTTTGTAGTCTATACAACCCGAAAGTTCTAAAAAACAAAAATTTTCAGGTTCCAACATTGGCTCCACGAGTGATTGCTCACACTCTCCCAACAATCCCACGTCATATTCCACAACCTCGTTCGGTAGCAACTCCTCTCGCAGTTCCTGCATCAGCTCCAGCCCCAGCAGTAGCAGCATCGACTCAAGTTCAACAAGCCACAGTTGCTCCACAACCACAAGTTGCTCAGCCACAACCAGCTGCTCAAAACTATCTCTACCCACAACAAACTTACCAAACCCAACAACAACAACAACAGTATCAACAATACTATTATCATCAACAGGTTTGATTTTTTCTCTTGAATACTATTTTGAAAAACCTGAAACATTTTTTTCAGCAACCATACGGTCAACAAACGCAAAATTATTGGGGATATAATCAAGTAAGTATATAATTAATGTTTTTTGTACATAAAAAATGGTGGAAAACATACATATTTTTTTATTTTTTAAGTATGGTCAACCACAGTACTACACAACTCAAGTGCCACAACAACCACAAGCTAATTATTATTATAACCAGGTGAGGAAAAACAATCTAGGAGATTTTAGTTCTCTGCATAGCTGGAATTACTGTAACTTGAAAATCAATTTGAAAGAGTCTTATGAACATTTATTTTCAATCTTATTCAGAAGTCCTCAGGTGTATAGATTTTTTTCGAAGAATTGGAACCTGAATTCCAAAAAAACATTGGTGTAATTGTTAAAATTCATGCTATCTTGATTTTTCGAAAGCAGTTTTATAGTATATTTTGAATGAAAAAAATTCGGAACTTAAAAAAACTAGAAATGTCTTTATAGAATCAGTATTATCAACAGCAACAACAACAACAAGCTCAAAGAGTTGCTCAACCTCAACCACAACAACAAATATATCAGCAATTGCCAGCTCAGCCACAACCTCAACCTCAACAGCAAGGACTTCCAGCTCCAACCAGAGTTCCAGTCGCAGCACCTACTCCAGTTATAGTTCAACAAACAACACCTCCACCAGCCCCACAAGCAACACAAAATCCAAATCAAGTGTTTCATTATTATCATGATGGTCGACAGATTATTCAACAAATTATTCCAAAACAATTGGTTCAACGGAATAATCTTCCGTTGAATGGACCTTTCAAATCACAAAATGTGAATGCTGCACCAACTGATCAGAACGAATATTTGAGAAGACAGAGAGCACTCTCACAGGTAAGAAGCATTTTTGAAAATATTTTATGTAGGGAAGAGACATTGAAGCCTTGTTTTCAAATTGTTGTTAATAAAAATTCAATTGTTTCTTCCTCTCTGAAATATTTATTTAATCTCATCATAGTTTCTTCAGAAGTCTCATTAGTTTTCAATGAATTTTTTAGGCCTATACTCAACCACGAACACGAACCAATGCAGTTGCTCACCAAGCTTCAACTCAAAACATTCCAAATCCAAAACCAGCTCCAAAAATTTTTGAATCAACAGTTAGCGCAACTGGACACAGTCAAGGTAACTTTCTCTTTCCTCCTCAAAATTCCAGAACTCCTCAGACATTTCTTTAATTCAGCACACGCTATCCGAACATATCAAGCAACTGCAAACACAGCGGCGCGTGTTCAACAAAATCCTGTTCAACCATCAGCAAAACCAAGAAAATTGGTGCAACCACCAGCGCCAGTTCGAAGCACTGGAAGATTTGCAACTTCTCAAAAACGACCAGTAATGAGTGGACATGTTATTCCTGGACCAACAATTGATCATAGAGTATGTTGATTTTTTTTTCATATTGAAACCGAGTGATGATTTTTCAGAGTATTCAAGAAAAACGAACAACAGCCAAACCACGATTTGCTCGTATGCCATAATCAAAACGGATCTGATTGTTTTCTGTGACATTTTTTATTTCGCGCCTGTTTCAAGGTGTCATTTCCTAACATCTCAATGTGTTTTTTTAAACAAATGTTTGTACATAGTGTTTTTTTGCTAACCGAATAAATTATATATTTTTTGAAGTTTTTGGAATAAACTGTATTTATTTTTACCTTGTCCCTTTACAAAACATTTTCTAATCCAATTATGCTTTACTCACATTTCCCTTTCACCCTTCCCAAAAATCCATGTTTTAAATATCCGCCCTTTTTCACCTGTCACCATAGCAACAAATAAAAACAACGTTTGGTCTCTTTTCCCAATATTTTTATTCGGAAACAAAACATACATTTTCATTGTTCATTAATCTTTCTAGATGCAGAATAATGAAGAACGTAACTTTGTTTTACGTCCAACACCAGATCAAAAGTAAGTTTCTCACCTCTGGATGTGTTTTTTTTCAAATAATATAATTATTGAACAGATTTCGACCCAACGCAGTGTTGCCAATGATTAAAGAAGTGGTTACGGATAAACTATCTGCCACAACTTATAATTTTGATGAAGCTGAAGATTTGTCAAAAGAACTTTCTTCAACAATTAGGAATCGATTGAAAGGTGAGCCTCTTTCATTATTCAAAAACTGATTTTAAATTTAATTTTTGTAGGATTACAACTTCCGAGATACAAATATATAGTGCAAGTTTATTTGGCAGAGCAAGCTGGACAAGGAATGGCGTGAGTTTTCTTTGGGAAAATATGGAGAGAAATCAGAAAAAAATTTAGAACTGCTACGCAAAGTGTTTGGGATGAAGATTGTGATTCATATGTCAATTACCGGTTTACTAATGTAAGTTTTTGGGGGTACGATTATTATTTTGAGAGGAGGTTATCAGAAGTAACTCAGCAAAAAAAAACTTACAGTAATCATCTTAGAAGGAATGATCCCCGATTTACCCCCCTGGATTTTGATGATTATTTTTTTAAAAGAAGTATATTTGGGAGTTATGAAACCCCATAGTAGCATTTTGCAAACTTCGGCCTATTTCATGAGTTATGGGAAGTCCGTGATTTTTGAGTTAAAAACTGGTCTTGAAACTTCTCGGGGTCGGAACTTTGTTATTTTTCATCGAAAAACGTCCACCAAAAAATCATTTTGAAGCTAAAAATGCGAAGATTTCAAAATTTTTGGTCCCCGGAATCATTCGATAACGTTATCATATGATAATTGTGAAATTTCAAAAATTCGAAATTTTCAAAAAATCAAAATATAAAACAAATAGTATTCAGAGGGCTTGGGGGAGAGTGGACACCGATTGCATCGTGTTCCTCATCAAAAATTAGGTCTACGAGGATGGTCGAAAATATCTGTAATCAGCCTTTTACAAGAAAGAAAAATTGATTTTTACGTTTTTTCACTATTTCAGATGAGCATTTTCACTGTTTATTGACAAAACTACGATTCTATTGTTTGCATAATTTTTTAAACAATGTTTTTTATTATTAAAACGTTGATTTTTAGCAATTCTATCATTTTCCGATCATTTCCAATTTTTCTCAAAGTCTCCCAACACCCAAACAATTAAATTTACAAATTAATTGTTTCAAAAATCTTTTGTCAATAGTTAGATCATATTTGAGTTCTGAAACCTGAATTAGCGTTTTCTACGTCAAAAATTGATCCAGAAATAATTTTCTAAAATACTTCGAACCGGCGTATTCAAAGAGTTACAAATGAGTTATTCACATAAAACAAAAAATCTATTTTTTTTTTGATAAAGAACATCAGAGAGCTTTATTTTCAATATCGATTTGCTTTTATTTTATCGGATAGTGATATTTTCATATATTTTTTCTGGATCAATTTTTGACGTAGAAAAAGCTAATTCAGGTTTCAGAACTCAAATATGATCTAACTATTGACAAAAGATTTTTGAAACAATTAATTTGTAAATTTAATTGTTTGGGTGTTGGGAGACTTTGAGAAAAATTGGAAATGATCGGAAAATGATAGAATTGCTAAAAATCAACGTTTTAATAATAAAAAACATTGTTTAAAAAATTATGCAAACAATAGAATCGTAGTTTTGTCAATAAACAGTGAAAATGCTCATCTGAAATAGTGAAAAAACGTAAAAATCAATTTTTCTTTCTTGTAAAAGGCTGATTACAGATATTTTCGACCATCCTCGTAGACCTAATTTTTGATGAGGAACACGATGCAATCGGTGTCCACTCTCCCCCAAGCCCTCTGAATACTATTTGTTTTATATTTTGATTTTTTGAAAATTTCGAATTTTTGAAATTTCACAATTATCATATGATAACGTTATCGAATGATTCCGGGGACCAAAAATTTTGAAATCTTCGCATTTTTAGCTTCAAAATGATTTTTTGGTGGACGTTTTTCGATGAAAAATAACAAAGTTCCGACCCCGAGAAGTTTCAAGACCAGTTTTTAACTCAAAAATCACGGACTTCCCATAACTCATGAAATAGGCCGAAGTTTGCAAAATGCTACTATGGGGTTTCATAACTCCCAAATATACTTCTTTTAAAAAAATAATCATCAAAATCCAGGGGGGTAAATCGGGGATCATTCCTTCTTAAGCTTGAACTTATCTTTTTTGAATTTTTTCAGACTTCAATTTGGTGTCAGGTTTTGGTTCATGCAATTTTTCACTATTAATTTCTTGTCTGTCATTTCTTCTGTATATTCAAATGTGCAATAATCTCAATGGTTCATTTCATTAATTCATTTATTTATAAAAATCTTTTTTTTCAAACAATTCGTCGGTACAAAATCACAATCATAAAAAATACTCGTTTTAATACTGCACGCAAATTGAACAAAGAGAACAATAATACAGTAATGAGCAATTGAGTTGGCAATTTTTGGGGGAGAAACTTTCAATATTTCAAAATATTTGGATATCAAAAATCATATGGCAATAAACGAAGGAGGGGTACACAATGTTGACTAGTTGATTATTTACAATAATAAAAAAAATGAAAATAATAAAGGCAAGAATCAATTTTCGAGAACAAAGTTTTTGTGTTTGTTTTCAAATGCGATTGTAGACACCAGTTTCGATATCTTTTTGCATATTTTCGTCGAGTTCTTTGTATTTCTTATCAGGAGCTGACCAATAGAAAACTCTATCACCCTTACATTTCACAAGATCGAACCCGGCTTTTTGGAGATCTAATTTTTTGAGTTTGAATGTTCCAGTTCGATCAACTTCTTTGCAAAGTCGAATAAACACTGGGACTGCATAACTGGCAAGATTTTCGGTTAATCGTTTGGTGATTTCAGTTAAGAAAAGCTGAAAAATTATCATTCATTCATTAATTACAGAATTGTTTTTTTTGCAATAAGTAAAAAAAACTTACATCAACATCGGTTCCTTCTTTCAAAACAACTCCAGCCATTCCAGCTCTACCTTCATTTTTACCAACTTCAACACCATAAACCGTGGCATCTTCAACTTCCATCACAGGTTGTAAAATTCCTTCGACTTCAGTTGTTGATACATTCTCTCCCTTCCAACGGAAAGTGTCTCCGCGGCGATCTTTGAAGTATAAATAACCAAGTTCGTCCCAGAATAGAATGTCACCAGATGCGAAACACTGGAAAATTGTGAAAATGGGGTGGGAATTTTATTATCATTTGAAAAATTGTGGGAATCTTGTTTTTCTATCTTTCAACGCCCCTTTAATAAGTTACCTCATCTCCATTTTTGAAAACATTGGTATAAATTTTCTTCTGCGTATCTCCCGAATTCACATATCCTTCAAATTTCAAAAGAGCATCCTTCTTCTTGATAACTCCAACCATCTCACCAAGCTCTCCAGGGCGACATGGAACACATAATCCCTTCTGAAAAATAATCAATATTATTTTCAGACTTTCTGTTTTTTCAGTTACCTTATCTCTAACTAATTCTCCAGTCTCTTCATCAACTTTGATCAATCGAACTGGATACAAACTTCCAATCATTGGGTAAATTGGCATAAATCCGCAAGCACCTTTTTTGTTATCGAGGTTGACTGAAAATTGTTACATGGGTTTTTGAAAGCAAAAACTTGAGAAAAAAAGCCTACCAATATTTGAGTTTCCTTCAGTTGACCCGTAGAGTTCTCCAATTTTCTCAATGTTGAATCGATTGACAAAATCGGTCCAGATTTCAGCACGCAAACCATTTCCCCACATCATTCGAACTTTGTGTTGTTTTTCTTCTGGAGTTTGTTTTTGAGCCAGCAAATATCTGAAAAATATTGGATTGGGGAAGAAAGTTCTAGACTCAGATTTTTGAGTTTTGTTTTTTTTTGGTATAGAAATACACAGACTTACAAAAATATGAATCACATTCTTAAAAATAAGTCCCTTATTATTTTTTGATCTACAAAATCCAATGAAGCTAAAACCGCAGAGACCACCCATATTATTTACAGTTGAATTTCTCCGTATCTCTTTCTCTCTCTCTTTCAATGTTTTTTGTTTTCAGAAAACGTTTTGTGTATTTATCAGTTCAGCGTGTTTTTCTCAGCCTAATGATAACACTAGGAAAAACTAAAAAATTCCAGTAGTGTAAAGTTTTTCTACGATACCTGCAAATTTCTCCAATATATTGACTGCAAGTGCAATTGTATTTGACACAATCTTTCCAGAAATTTGAAGCAGAGAATTTTTTTCTGATAACAACTGAAGTTCCAAAGCTAATCAACGATCCGACTCCTAAAATTCCAGCGGCTGAATGATACATTGGCATTGTGATATAAACAATATCATTAGATGTGATTCCAAAAGCTGATCCAGATCCCATCGACATCCAATAATAACGGAAGTGTTTGATGACCGCTGGCTTTGGATTTCCGGTTGTTCCAGAAGTGTAAATGTAGCAGAGGACGCCTGAAGACATTTGTTTTTTATTTGGAGAAACATCTAGGGACTTACTTTGGAAGTTGATTCCATCAACATGTGGTTCGGCATCCGATGTGTGTTGAAGTTCCGCATTGATATTTCTCAATCCTTGCACTGAAGTTTCACTAGCGATTACAACTTCTAAATCGGACGAGATCAAGTTTTTTTCAACGGCGGCGTTGTAAGCTGAAAAATGATAGATTTTTGAATTTTTATTCAACGATTGATTCTTGAATTCACATTTTTTGAAAAAAATTATTGAGATTAACCAGAACTGGACGGACAAAAAATTATTGTTAATTACTTTCCGTTTTGCCAAATTGAACAATTAGTCTTTGTACGGAATATTTGTATGTAGTTTGAATAGCTTGTGATACAGAAATCAATTAAATTTTTTGAAATGAAACGAAACTGGATGGAAAATGTTTTGCAAACCAATTAAACAATTAGTTTATGTACAGAATATTTGTAGGTTGAACCAGGAGTTGTATGAATTTTTAAATTTCAGATTTCAATTTTGAATCTATTATCGTTATCAAATCCTAGCCTGTTCCCTACTTACTCGGAAGCAATGATGGAGTTGTGATAACTGATTTGCATTTGGAGACATTGATTGAATGTGCAAGAGGTTCCAATTTCAAATTTGAATTGATAAACGCAGAAACCACTCCAATTTTTGAAAAACCAAGCCAGATTGCAAAGAAATCAATACTATTTTCCATAAACAACGCAACAACATCTCCAACTCTATATCCTTCTGATTTATATAAATTGGCATATTTATTCATCAAAGTATTCAACTCCCGATATGTGATTTCTCTACCAGTTTCAACTTCCAAACATGCTACTTTATTAGGGTTTTGGGCAACCTGAAAATAACTTTTTTTTTTCAATGAATTTTTAAAATCACTAACCTTTTCGAGGAAGATTTCATGGATCGGGCGATTTGCGACAAGTCTCTTGTTAATTTCTCTCTTAACACGGACAAGTAGAAAGAGACCTCTGAAAAAACAAACATCTTCCCTTTTTGTGTTTTAAAAAAAGAACACACACACACACACGCACATATAAACGCTCATGAGTGTCTGTTCGTCTGGTTGCTGTTAGGTCTATGTTTTGTGTGCAGCTGTTTTCCGTCAGCACGATGGCCGAGTGGTTAAGGCGTTGGACTTAAGTTCCAATGGATGCGAAATCCGCGTGGGTTCGAACCCCACTCGTGCTAGATGACTTTTTTTTGTTTTTCAGAGGTTCTGGATTTCGATGTAGAATTTAATGCGACAACTTATTTTTAAAACAAAAATGAGTTTCATTGCAGAACTATGACATTTTTAATTTTTTGGGTTTCAGAGTTATTTCCTTTTTTTATTGGATTTTGAAAAAATAAAGATGTAAAGGACACATTGAATTAACATTTTCTGATTTTCAAAAATGTTTGCTTAAATAAATCGAATTTCTGGATAAAAACTAGATTCTCTTTACATATAAAACCTTCCCAAGTTAGCCTAACTTACGTTAAATCTCTCGACAATGTTTTCATCGCCCTTTTTGCAAAATCAGTCTGCATTAACCGAAAAACGGCATATCCAATGAATATAAATTTCCATAATGAACTGTTGACCTTGTACAAAATTGCTGCATAAATGACAAAACTAGCAAGGGCAGCCTTTGGTGTTTCTGGCATTTCCCTGGAAAATTTGAGGGTTCATACATAAAGGAAGAGGTAAGAGGTAAAGGAAAATACAAATAAAAGTAATATTTTTTTTAGAATGATAAGATGAACAAGTGAGCGAATAAATGCACAAAACAAAACAAGACTACTCTGGAGTGTATGATAAGAATGTCAGAAAAAAGGTTGGTTATTATCAATCCTTTATTGTTATTTGCTGGTTGGGCCCCTAATTTCTTCGCTCGTCTTATCAATGGCTCTCTAGAATTTTTGATGGATAGAGAACAAAGTCCAAAAACATGACAGAAATGATCACTTGTTTTCTAGTGTTGTTTGTATCTATGTGTACTAATGATAAATTCAATTTAATTTCATTTAATTTGTTGTTAACAAATTTTCTTCTCTGTATGTTTGAAATTAATTGAAAACGATTTAGATGATGTATTGAGAAACATTGATTAAGAGAAAAAGTTCATTGAAGTTGGAGAAAATTATCAAATAAAATTCCAAGGTCAAACTAAATACTTTTGTACCCATGGATCACTGAAACAAAGATTTTGAAGTGTTTTTAAAGTTTTAGATAAGCGTAACACTAAAAAATACATGGATTTTGTTCACATTTCAGTTTTTTTAGGGAATTCAAAATTTCTCACATTAATTTTCAACAAAAAATAATTCAGAATTTTTAAAAAAATATTTGTGAGAAGCTATAGATGAAAAATACCTAACATAAAGTTATGAGGTCAAAGATACTAACATAAAAACAAGTTGTTTGTCATAGACTGATAAAGTTCGTGTTATCCGTAGCCTTAATGTTAGTACTCTTTGATATCAAAACTTTGACATACGCTTATTTACTACCAAAAAAAATTTCGTATGTTCTGAGAGGCTCAGGGGTGGAACGAAATTCAACGCCAAAGTGAGAGATTCAGAGAAAATACTTTTGATCTACTAGAAAAGGTATAGTGTATTTGTGTTCCAAGCTACTTTTCAGAATTTCAGATCCTATACTGAACTTCAGAATAAAAACAAACTTTATCAGATATTTCCCAGAAAATCCTATTCGTAATCTCCGAAAAACAAACAATCTTTAAATTATTTCTATCTGATTGTTTTTCAAAAAGCCTTTTTTGAAGAAAAAAACTATTTATTTATTTAAAGCCTAAAGTTTTCTGACAAGTTGTTTATCAATTTTTGTACGTAGGTTGATAAGAGAAGTTCAAGATGGTCAGCAAGAAAAAGTAGTTTACTAGCAGGAAATTTTTGATCGAAGATCTTTTTCGGAGTGTAATTTACTGACTGGAATGCAAAAAATTCTGAAAGTAGAAACAACAAAATAAAAAAAAGGAACGAGAAAAGGTTGAAGAATATATAAATAGTACAAAAGGAAATGACATTCCAAAAACGGATCAACAGGAAATTTAAAACGAGAAGATGAATGTGATGTAGATCATTTTCGAAAATCCACACAAAAATTGTCTAATAGCATGTTGCATGGCTACCGCAACAAAAATCGAAAACCGTAATAGACTAAAATTGTAAAAAGTGAAAAGAGTTTAGTTTCAAGTTTTTTTTCTTTTCCAGACTTGCGTCATTTTTTTTCTCTGTATGTATTATTTCCGATAACAAAAATAAACATATATAAATAAATGAAAAAATAAATAATATGAGAAGAAAAGGTGGTCATTGTATGAATGTTTTTATCATTGTTGTACTTTTGTGTGTCAAAATTTGCCTATCTTCCACCTTTTCTCGTTTTTCCTCTCTTATTGCGCACGTTGCGCCAAAATCAAAGACCGGTTCGCATTTTTGTATTCGAGAAGAAGAGGAGGAGGAAGAGGAGATGAAAAAGAATTGGAATTTATTTCAATTGCCAATAGAATTATACATATAGATATGGATACATGTTTGATTAGATTGACGATTTTTTTGGAAATAGAAAATTATATATTTTTTGAAGGTCGAAATTTTATTGATACAAAGTTTCACGGAAAAAAATAATGAGCACTAATGAGAAACTTGAAAATATTGTTAATTAAAATGTATAATTAGGATTCCAACAAAAAAATGAAATCTATTTTTGATTGAAGATGAGAGGGTATGAAAAAATTGGAGCCAAGTAAAGGAAATTAAATTTTTTCAAAGTACAGAGAGCTAAAAATAAGTTTGGGAAGTTTTTAGAAAAAGTAAGAGAAATTCATTCTAAATGTTTTTTCTTGAAATGTATTGAAGTAAAAATCGTATGAAATTAGAAAATTAGCATACAAAGGTCAAAATGACGAATTCACCATTAAAATGGACATCGGGAAATGCAGAACTACAAAAAGTTTCTCAGATTTTTTGAACTTCATAGAGAACAAAACAGCGTTGAAAATAAATAAGAAAAATTTTTCAAAATACATATATAAATCTAGAATGTTTGAAATATAGAAATAATATTTTGATCTTCAAAAATTGCCGTGAACATTCCTTAAGTTCTTTAGGACATCAAGAGGCAAAATTTCACTTTTTCGACAACATCTTTTGAAAATTCCAATTGTTGGAAATTCTAGAAAAATGATTTTAGGAAATATAGAAAAATTACCCAATGTGAAAATTTAAATGAAAAAACGCTTTGTTCGCAGGAATTCAAGAAAATCGTTATTATACAATAAATTTACATAAAGAGAGATCATGGCAAATTTCTAGAAAAAAAACTTGGAAGAAATTTTTTTAGGAATGAATACTGAAAAATAGCACACTCATAGGTCAACAAAATTTAAAAGTCATAAGTATGACCGAGTTTTTTCACAAGAAAAATAGAAAAACAAATATTCCGAAAAAAAAGATTTTTCATGCTTGCGTCAATAATCTTTTATTTTTTTCAAAAATCGATTTGAAAAAAATTATTTTGCAAAAAAGTTGCAAACCAAAACATTTTTCTTTGAAAAAAAACGGAAATTATTTCGTAACAAAAATGATTCACTGAATGTTTTTTGAAAATCAAAACCAAAACAAAATTTGAAACACTATTTATATGTACAGATAAAAATATGAATGAACAAGGAATTAAAATTTTGAAAAAATATGTTTTGATACACTGTGGTCGCCCTAACGTAAGAATACATCGTAGCAGTACTTGTTTTTTAAAATTTTAAAAATAATAATATGCATCTACTGAACATGATTCAAACATGTGTAAAACCACGCCAAGAAAAATGTAATCCAAACAAACGTAATTATTACTTCACACCACTCCAAAGCATACTTGACACAACTTTTTGGGAAGAAAAGTTAGCTATGTGTATTTTGTACCAAAAACAACACATATTCAAATTTGCATCGTATTATCAATAAAAAATGGAACGGGGAAAAATCGAGAGAAATATAAATATATATATTATGTATATTTTTGTTTTTTATTAGTAATGATCGGTCAGCGATTGATATATATCAATTATATAATGATTTTTATGCGGGTGGTCCAGGAAACCCTCATGAAAAAATAAATGTATACAACTAACCGAAAAACGTGGGAGAAAAATGTACACAAACTGGTTGGTAAAATGACAAAAAATGAAAGGAAGAAGAAGAAGAAGAAACAGCGAGTACACTGTCAAAGAGGACACACACATATATAAAAATCAATGTATTTGTTTGCTCGGTGAGCTTATATTTTTGTAGTCTTGTGCCAAGTGGTTTTTTATTCTCAAAAATTTGGAAAATGCCAAAAATTTTATGTTCTTTTTTTTGCTGGATACATAAATAAATGAAAATTCAGTTTTCATGGAAACAATTTTTATTTTTTGAAGAGAAATTTATTATTTGTGGAAAATTAATGGTTGTAGAAAAATTGAAATATGTTTTTGAAATAAATTATGTTTTGTTTGAAAATAGAAAAAATGGTTTTGTTTATGAACTGAATGTTGGAAAAAACAATGTGGAACTTTAATAAGAGAAGAGTTACTAAATTCGGAAAAATTTTAGCGACAAGTTAACCCATAACCTTTTAAAATTTTTGTTGGCTCAGTTTCCAGTTTCATATCACAATATCTTTAATCAAGTATAGTTTCAGATTAAGAATGGTTTCAGATGATATTGTTTCAGATGATCGGAGATTTTCAAAATACTTTTCACAATTTGTTCTTCACATTTCACGTCAGTTTTCTCTAGAATTCGGATCGTTTCACGACTTCAGTAAAAAAGTCTTCTTTTTTAGACACAATGGTTTTTGTTTTCTTAAATTGGTTTTCAAAAAAAAACAACAAAAAGAAAAGGAAACAAGAATCGGATTTCTGAACTTCTAAGAATTTTTTATGAACAAAAATTTCAATTTTTCTCAGAACTCCTTTTGAAAATAGTTTACCAAAAGAATTGAATCATTTTTTCTGTATACATATTTTCCAGATTGTTGGTTTTCTATGAACATTGATTTGTCTCTTCCGCGAAAAAGTCTGTATTTAGAAGACAAATTTTTAACCCCCTTCAGGCACAAAATGTTTCACAAACTACATCCCATAATTTATAAAATCCAGAATAATTGAGAAGCTATTAATCATCAGGCCCACACATTTTGACTTTTGACTTTTTAATAGTGTTTTCATGTTTTTTTTTGTGTAGGAAAAATGATACACTTGAGTTATTCAATTAAAAAGTACTCTGTTTTATGTTTTATTTTTTATCTCATTTTTTGTCTCGAAAACGTTTTTTTGAATGACATGGTGAATAATTTGTATTGCCAAGCCAGACCAAACTTTATATTTTCATCTTCGTTAATGATCACTGATGGACCAAATTTGTTATTCATCGCCAATGTTTCATATACTATGATTAATTAGATCATTCAAAATAATTCTTGATCTACGCGAAAGGAAAAACTAAAGTTCCCCATTTCTAGAAATATATGGAAGAAAATGAGGTCGAAACCGAAACAAACAACACAATGTGTACTTTCAATTAATTTTTTTTGTTTCTCCCATCAGTGAAAATTCTAGTGAAAATGAAATAATTCCTCATTCGAAACATATAATGTGTTT